GTGGGAGGTACGGAACGAGAAAAACATAAGAGAAAGCGGCTTATTTGTCGATGTTAGCTTGAGCGCTGACGCCGCCTTTGCACGCAGGAGCTGACGCGGCTCGCCGAGGACATCTGGCCCAAGGCCGACAAGCCCCTGCGCCAGCGAATGGCGCCCCTAGCCGCCGGCGCCGCGTGGAATCTGAAGCTGTGGAAGAATATGGACGAGTACATCACCGTCATGCCCGACACCAGCGTACGCTGCCCCCCCTCTCCCCAACGTTGTCGCACCCCGTCGACTATAAACGGTTGGCTAACGACTTTCTTCGCTTCGTTCGTTCTTCGTTCTTTGTTCTTCGTTTTTCGTTCTTTGTACTTCTTCGTTCTTCTTGTAACCTTTGGCGTGACAGCCCGATGGGACCTTCTTCAAGGCGATCCTCAACCTCCACATGGAGGACTACGAAGAGGCCCACAAGTACATCGACCGCACCCGCGAGTTGCTCGACACCGAACTGCGCGCTCTCGTACGCCCGACACCACGCACCACTTACATGTTGTAGATGATGGTGGTGGTGATGATGATGTTGACGATGGTGGTGGTGGTGGTTGTTAGGTGGGCGAGTCGTACAACCGGGCCTACAAGGTGGTGGTGAAGGTGCAGCAGCTGGCCGAGATGGAGGAGGTGATCAACTACAAGCAGTCGACGGACAACGAGGAGCGCAAGGCCATGATCCGGTCGATCTGGACCAAGCGGCTGCGCGGCTGCCAGCGCAACGTGGAGGTGTGGCAGGACATGCTGGCCGTGCACTCGATGGTGATCGCGCCCATCGAGGACATGGACAACTGGCTCAAGTTCTCCAACCTGTGCCGCAAGAGCGGCCACATGCGCCTGGCCTACAAGACCCTCGTCAACCTGCTCGGCTGCGATCCCGCCCAGCACCCCGACAAGTTTGCCTCCCATCCCCACCCCGGGTACGCCGCACACGCCGCACACGCCGCACACGCAACCGCACACACCACCGCACACGCACGCCGCACACGCACGCGGTGTCTCATTGTATTGCGTGTGTGTGTATACAGAGTGACGTTCAACTATCTGCGGTACATGTACGACGCGGGGGACAAGAAGGCGACGTTCGACCGGCTGCGGGTGTTCACGCGCAACCTGCAGGACGACGCCAAGCTGCTGGCGCGGTGCCACCTCACGCTGGGCCAATGGGAGAGCGAGCTCAACTCCGACAACCTATCGGAAACCGCCATTCCGCACATTCTGGCGTCGTTCAAGGCCGCCACCGAGTACGACGACCACTGGTACAAGGCGTGGCACTCGTGGGCGCGCTCCAACTTCGAGGTCATCACCCACTACCAGAAGCAGGGCCTCCACGACAAGATCTCGCCCCACCTCGTGCCCGCCGTCTCCGGCTTCTTCCGCTCGATCGCCCTCGCGCCCCAGGGCAAGAGCCTCCAGGACACCCTCAGGTGCACCTTCTCTCTCTCTCTCTCTCTTTCTCTCTCTCTCTCTCTCTCACACACACACACACACACACGCACGCACAACACTGCATTCTTTGAATTGGCTCACGCGTGTCGTGTGTCGTGTCGTGTCGTGCGTGTCCTTCGCAGGTTGTTGACGCTGTGGTTCAAGTACGGCGATAAGAGGAAGGTGGAGGACGCGCTGATCGATGGTTTCAACACCGTCTCGATCGACACCTGGCTGCAAGTCGTGCCTCAGGTACTCTCCTCCACCGCGCCGTCGCCCTCCAACACATCACTTTACACACGAACTAACAACTGCCTCGTCTCTCTTGCGGCAACACGACACACACGACACACTCACGACACACTCACGACACACACGCGACACACGACACACACATACAGTTGATCGCGCGCATCCACTCGCCGATGCCGAGCGTGGCGCGCATGATCCACGACCTGCTTACCAACGTGGGCAAGGAACACCCGCAGGCCCTCGTGTACCCCCTCTCCGTGGCCTCCAAGTCGCAGGCCTCTGCCCGCGTGTCCGCCGCCAACAGGTTCGGCCCGCACCACCACCTCCCCCCCCCATCTAGCGCCACTGCCGTGTCTCACTATCGCGCGCGTGTCGTGTGTCGTGTGTGTCGTGTGTGTCGTGTCATGATGGTAGTATTCTGGACAAGATGAGGAAGCACTACAACTCGCTGGTGGAGGCTGCGCTGCTGGTGTCGAAGGAGCTGATCCGCGTGGCGATTCTGTGGCACGAGATGTGGCACGAGGGCCTCGAGGAGGCCTCACGCCTCTACTTTGGCAACCGCGACGTCGAGGGCATGTTCAAGAAGCTGCAGCCCCTCCACGAAATGCTCGATAAGGTACCACCGCACCACCACCGCACACGCACGCACCACCGCACACGCACACGCACACGGGCCTGACGCGTGTGTCATGGCAGGGACCGGAGACGCTGCGCGAGGTGTCGTTCCAGCAGGCCTACGGGCACGACCTGCAGGAGGCGCTCGGGTGGTGCAAGAAGTACTCGCGCTCCAACAAGGTGTCCGACCTCAACCAGGCGTGGGACCTCTACTACCACGTCTTCCGCCGCATCAACAAGCAGCTGCCCCAGATGACCACCCTCGAGCTCCAGTGCGTCTCGTCTCCCGTCGCACACGCCCACGCCCACGCCCACGCCCACGCCCACGCCCACGCCCACGCCCACGCCCACGCNNCGCCCACGCCCACGCCCACGCCCACGCCCACGCCCACGCCCACGCCCACGCCCACGCCCACGCCCACGCCCACGCCCACGCCCACGCCCACGCCCACGCCCACGCCCACGCCCACGCCCACGCCCACGCCCACGCCCACGCCCACGCCCACGCGACTGGCTCAAGGTGCTGACGTGTAATGTTGTCGACTAGGTATGTGTCGCCGAACCTGCTGGAGGCGAGGGACCTGGAGCTGGCGGTGCCGGGCACCTACGAGGCGCACACGGACGAGGTGGTCAAGATCGCCTACCTGGCGCCCTCGCTCTCGGTCATCACCTCCAAGCAGCGGCCCCGCAAGCTCTCCATGTTCGGCTCCGACGGCAAGGAGTACACCTTCCTCCTCAAGGGTACCCATTCGCCCCTCCCCATGCGTGTGCGGTGGTGCGTGTGCGTGTGCGTGTGGTGCGTGCGTTAACAATTTTTCGACCGCACACGCACACGCACACGCACCACCGCACACGCAGGTCATGAGGATCTGCGACAGGACGAGAGGGTGATGCAGCTGTTTGGTCTGATCAACACGCTGCTGGCCAACGACCGCGAGACGGCCAACCGGCACCTGAGCATCCAGCGCTACGCCATCATCCCGCTCTCGCCCAACAGCGGCCTCATCGGCTGGGTCCCCAATCACGACACCCTCCACATCCTCATCAGGTCAGCCCACACACACACACACACACACCCATCGCACGCGCACACACCACCGCACACACAGTTTTGCTCATTTGAATGTGATTACCAGGGATTACCGCGAGTCGCGCAAGATTCTGCTCAACCTGGAGCACAAGCTCATGGTGCAGATGGCCTCCAACTACGACGAGCTCTCCCTCATCCAAAAGGTGCGGCGACGACCACTTGGGGGGTGTGGAATGGTTGGCATGTGAGGCCCAAATGACTGAAAATTGTTCACATTCCCCTCATAATATGCATTTTGTGTAGGTCGAGGTGTTCGAGTACGCGCTGGAGAACACGAAGGGCTCTGACCTGGACAAGGTGCTGTGGCTAAAGAGCCCCAACTCGGAGGTGTGGCTCGACCGGCGCACCAACTACACGCGCTCGCTGGCGGTCATGTCCATGGTGGGCTACATCCTGGGCCTGGGCGATCGCCACCCGTCCAACCTCATGCTCGACCGCCACACCGGCAAGATCACCCACATCGACTTTGGCGACTGTTTCGAGGTAATCATTATCATTTATCATTTATTATTTCTCACTTATTACTTATTGTTCTTTTCTTTATTATTTGTTTTGTTTTGTTTATTTATTTATATAATGTGTGGTGGAATGTGTGGAATGGAATGTAGGTGGCGATGCAGCGAGAGAAGTATCCGGAGAAGATTCCGTTCCGTCTGACGCGGATGCTGATCAACGCGATGGAGGTGAGCGGCATCGAGGGCAACTTCCGGTTCACGTGCGAGAGCGTGATGCGGGTGCTGCGCGAGAACCGCGAGTCGGTGATGGCCGTGCTCGAGGCCTTCGTCCACGACCCGCTCATCAACTGGCGCCTGCTCCAGCCGTCCAACCCGACCACCGCCTCCGACGTCCAGAACGCCAAGAACAGAACCAACTCCCTCGGACACGACGGTACCGCACACACCGCACACGCACGCACCGCACGCGCACAGAACACACGCGGCTAACGTGTGCGGTGTGAACAGATCACGACCCGTTGGGCTCGCCCTCGTCGCCCTCGGGCGCGTCGGCGTCGCCGCACACCTACCGCTCCAAGAGCATCCTGGCCCGGGCGGCCACCGCCGAACTCGCCTCCGGCACCGAAAACGGATCCAACGAACGGTACGAACGCCCCCTCCCCGTGTGCACCTTCTGTTATCAATCACATTGACACGACACGACACTAACATAAACTGTTGCTTTTCGCGCTGCGCGCATTGCACACGACACGACACGACACGACACGACACGACACGACACACAGAGCGTTGAAGGTGATCGAGCGTGTGGCATCCAAGCTGCGCGGTCGCGACTTTAGCAAGGAGCAGAGCTTGGACGTGCCGCAGCAGGTGCAGCGGCTCATCGACCAGGCCACGTCCCACGAGAACCTGTGCCAGTGCTACATCGGCTGGTGCCCCTTCTGGTAGTCATGATCACGCGTGTGTGTCGCTGTTGCCCTCCCCACTTTTATGTGATGATGTACATTGTCGATTACGACTACCACCATTTTGGATAAATATTTATTACTATTACTATTACTTTTTCCACGCCGACGAATGTAATAAGTATTTTTTTTTACCAGTAAAATAACAACAACACTGGCCTGTGTTCAGTTGCCGAGCGAGGGGTCGCGGATGATCTGCTGCTTGAAGTCCTCCTTGACTGCTTCGGTGAACGAGCGCGCATAGAGGTCCAGTCGGCCGGTCATCTGTGCACCGCACGCACAACACACAACACACGACGAAAGTACGAACACTTCAGAAAGAAGAACTACGTTGAGTGTTGATGTGGTGGGAGGTGGGAGGTGGGAGGTGAGCGCCGACCTGGAAGCTCCACTTGTCGCGCACCTGACGGCACAGGTTGAGATCGAGCTCGGCCACGAGCAGGCCGTCCCTCGCCCGCGACAAACCCTGCCCACGAGTCGGATCCACAATCAGCAATCAACGCGGGCGGCGTCGCCAAAAGCGCACACGCGTGTGTGGCGTGTCACGTACGGGAGTGCGAGAGGCGTCAGGCGCGGCGACGTATGACGAACCGTAGAAGTGGCCAAAGTCCTGCGTCAAGCCCCCCCACACCCGACCGCGTGTGAGCCCAATAATAAGAATACAATAATAAATCAATCATATAAATATGAATCAATAAAAAAAATATGAAAAACCATAGCCACGGGGGGGAGACCTTGTGGGCGGGCTTGCCGTCTCCGGAGGTGAACTCGTTGGGGAAGGTCTCCGTGCCGACGCGGTTGATGCCCGCCGTGAAGTACCTGCGCTCGCGTGTTGGCACCGCGTTAGCGACTGCGTGCGGCGTGTGCGTGTGCGGTGGTGCGATGCGTGTGCGTGCGGTGATGGTGGTGCTGGGGCGGTACGAGTTGGCGATGGCGGCGTTGCGGGCCTCGATGGGCCACATGGGCTCGGACAGCGCACCCACGGTGGCCGACGGGTTGAACACGATCTCGGCCCCGTTGATGCCGAACATCTGCCAGTTGAGCGGGTGGTGGCGCCCGTAGCAAATATTCACCGCGATCTTGCCTGCCCAACACAAAAATAAAGAAATAAATACACGACACACGACCAACGACACGACACACGACACACGACACACGACGCGCACCGAACTCGGTCTCGAAGACGGGGTGGCCGTCGTTGCCCTCCATGTAGTAGGTCGACTCGTTAAAGTCGCCCACGCGCGGGATGTGGTTCTTGCGGTGCTTCCCGATGATGTTACCGTGGTTGCCCACCACCACTACCCCCACGACGATGACGACGCGCCACGTCAGCATGACAAGGCCCGACGACACACACGACACGCACGACACACACGACACACACACACACGACACACACGGCACACGGTGGCGCGAAGGAGTGGTACCGGCGGTGTTCCAGATGGTCTCGCCGTGGGCGCTGTCGCGCTCGAGGATGGAGGAGACGATGACCATGTTGTGCTTGCGCGCCATCTCCTGCACGAACTTGACCGAGTGGCCGTCCTTGGCCGACTCGGCGAATTCGCACCAGGTCGCCTTCTCCCGCGTGCAGAAGGCGAACGGCATCGTCCACGCCTCCTGCGCACGCGCCGCCAGCGGTCAGGCAAGAGACCGCGGCAGCACATTATCGCACACGACACGACACATGACACGACACGACACACACAACACACACAACACGAGTCGAAGAGGGTGGATGGTGCACCTGCAGGCACAAGATGTTGACGCCCATCGAACCGGCGGCGTCGATCAGCTCCGCGATCTTGGCTTCAATGGCCTTGTACTGCACACTCACGAAACAACGATCATCAGCCCACACGACACGACACGACACGACACACGGCCAACGACGCGATGTGCCGTCAAGCAGGTAGCGAGAGGCGAGCGCTGAACAGTATGATTGAAGTGGCTGGGTTGGCTGTACCTGCTCGAAGAGGGGAGCGGTGGTGGGCGCGGCGATCGAGTTCTGGATGAGGCCGATCTTCACCACGCGCGGCTTGCGGAGCTGCTCCGGCGCCGCATCGAACTTGAACGCCCTGGTGAGTGTCGTGTGTGTCGTGTGTGTGTGTCGTGTGTGTGTGCGTGTGTGTGTCGTGTTGAGGCGTCGGTCGAGGGATGGCTCAACTGCACACGACGCGCAACACGCACGCGCGTAGAAGCAAAGTGTTGGCCAAGTGGGTTGGGGGGCGGCGACGTACTTGATGTCGTATTGCCGCTCGTCGGCGAGCTTGCGGGCAGCGTCGGAGATGGGAAGCGAGGCGGGCACCTTGCCGTACAGCAGGCGGCGCACCTCGGCCAGCTCGGCCTCCGGCAGATGCGCCTCGAGCACCGCGTCTGGTGGCATCGAGTAATCCATAAGGCATTTTCAATTGAAAGAAGAAGGATTAATATAAGGTGCATTGCATGCTCTACATTTTTTTGAGGCATCTCTTGCGATGCATTTGAACACATGCTGGCAATCGCGTAGAATAATGGCGAGGTGGTTGGTGTACCCAGAGAGTCCACCTCCTTGCCGACGTAGAGGGACTTGTTCGATTTCTGTTCCTGCGACTGCATGGCTGGGATAACGTGCCGGGATAACGTTGAAGAGGGTTGAAGAGAACAGATGGGCGAGATTGATGCTGTAGGCGACTGTCGTCTGTTGCTGTTTCGTTGCTCTTCTGCCCAAAGGCCAATAAAACTGTCAGCAGCCATCTTAACCACTGCTCCTTGCCGATTGCTTGTAGTCTTCAAGATCAGTGCATCTGACCACAAGCCAGACAACTTCATGCGCGTCAAGCCCCATGCAAGAGTACGTTGGCATTTGCAGCTTCGTTTTTGCGCTTCACCTCCCGCTACGCGAATCTGAAGATGGATGGATGGATGCTGACACTGGGCGGACCGTGTTGGTGATGCACAGAAGAGCACAGGCGGCAGGAAGCCGCACTGGGTCCCCCACCCAAGAACACCCCAAATGGTTAGCCCCTCTCCCAAATGCGCACAATCTTGCCAGGCGTCTAATGATGCATGCACGCACACAGAGAAAGGGAGACCCCCCGACACCTGCCTCTACGCCGTCAACGCCACAGTCTTCTACTTCATCACCTTCTTCTTCTTCTTCTTCATCTTCTTTCTACACAGCTTCATCTTCTCTGCGCGAAGCAGGAAGGCCCATTCAAATGCAGCGGGAAAGGTGCTCCCAGGCAGCACGCAAGTCCCTGTTCGGGCGTCGGCCCAGCTACCGCCACTCGCCCGGCTCGCTCGCCCTGCGCGAAATCCGAAAGTACCAGAAGAGCACCGACACACTCATCCCCAAGGTGCGTGTGCGGTGTGTGTCGTGTGTGTTGTGTTGTGCGTGTTGTGTGTGTTGTGTGTGTTGTGTTCTGCTTACTTTGTTGTTTCCCGGCAGGCCACGTTCTCGAGGTTGACGCGGCAGCTCACCCTGGAGATCAAGCCCGGCCACAGGTGGACCAAAACGGCGGTCGACGCCCTCCAGCAGGCCGCCGAGGCCTTTGTGGTCGGGGTGCTTGAGGAGGCCAACTTGTGTGCCATCCATGGCAAACGTGTCACAATCATGGACAGAGGTACCGACTACCACACACACACAACACACAACACAACACTGATCAGAAAACTGATTACAATTCATTGCGTATGATTGTGTCCTGCAGACATCTCACTGACACTGCGCCTCCGCTTGAAGCACACGATCCCCCAGTAAAGGGCCAGAACAACCCACAGCGATGTCAAGCCCCTCCTGATCGTGTGTCGGTGCGCGGCCCATATATGCACCTTTTACCTGTCTCGTCTGGTGTTGTGTGTCGTGTGTCGTGTGTCGTGTGTCGTGTGTCGTGTGTCGTGTGTTGTGTACGTGTGCGAATTGCGTGTAGGGCCGCGGGTGGTAGTGAATTGGTGGCGTAGCGGTCGGGGCCGTTTCGTTGCTCTTCTGTCCAAAGGCCAACAAAACTGTCAACGGCCATCTTACCCACACTGCTCCTTGCCGCTGGTTGCTTGTATGGCTCTTCAAGTTCTGTGCGTCAGAACACCAGCCAGAGCATCTTCATCTTCATCTTCAAATGCGCATCAAGGCCCAACCAAGAGTACATTCTACGCGAGTCTGATCTTCAAATATGAATGAACGGATGGACGCTGACGCTGTGTGGGCCGTGTTGGTGGTGCGCAGAAGTGTATACGCGTCGGGAGGCGGCGCTGGGTTCAGCTGGTGCCTGCAGCCCGCCCAAGATCACCCAACTCGCCCCATCCCCCAAATGCACACAGCCTCGCCCGGCGTCTAATGATGGCATGCACGCACACAGAGTGAGGGAGACACCTCTACGCCTCCCTCAACGCCGCCAACGCCTTCTTCATCAGCTTCTTCTTTTTCTTCTTCTCCCTCATCATCTTCTACTGCGCAGTGAATGGGTGGCTGATGAACTTCAGCTGAAGGCCCAGAGCCGCGGGTGCAGCGTTTTGACTCATTCGTTGAGTAGCGAGGTTGGTCTCACCAATAAAGAAAAAGTTGGGTTTTCTCTTTCGTCGAAACTTTTTGTTTATTTAAATTTTTTTATCCACGTTATTCTTTTTCTTTTTTTTAACTTCCTTTGATCAAAGTTCATCTTTAAGCCCAAAGATGCGTGGCGTGTGCGTTCGCGTTACGGGACGAGACCCGCGGCAGTCCCTCGCCCCCGGCTGGCCCGCCCGCCTGCACAAGTACTACTTTCTTGTTTATTTTATTATTTTTAATTTTGCAGTGAGATGAATTGAAATCCATTCAGGGATGGGGCGACGTGGGTGGGCGCCTCGGGCGTGGCCCTCGCCCCCGGGCCGGCCGACGGCGGGGCAGAGCTGGTGGTCACCACCGGGACCGTGCTCGTTCCCTTCATGACCACCCCCACCGCCATAGATGCCTCGTCGTCGCCGTGGTCGTCGTCGCCGGCGCTGGCAGCCGGCACGCGCGTCGAGGTGCTCCTGCCCGACGCCGGCGAAGTCTGGCGCGAAGCCCGACTCGAACGGTACACACACGACACACGACACACGCGACACGACACGACACACGCGATGATACTGATGCGCGTGTGCGGTGGCGTGTGTGTGTGCGGTGTGCTCTCCAGTGTGTACTGTCCCAGGGAGGCGGTGGAGGCGCTGCTGCAGTTGACCGGCGGCCGAGACCAGTCCACGTGGGGCCTCGGCTGGCGCGAGGTCGGCCAGCCCCTCGCCCCCGCCTGGGACCCTCACACCGCCGCCAGCCTCGCCCTCCTCCGCCTCCTCCCTCCACCATCTTCATCTTCATCTTCATCTTCGTCATCATCTTCACCATCGTCATCTTCATCATCTTCTTCATCGTCGTCGTCGTCGTCGTCTTCATCATCATCATCGGCGTGGGTGTCGGCGTCGTCGCTGGCGCAGGGCGATGGGCTGCACGTGTACGGGTCGCCCTACGGGCTGCTGGCGCCGCACGTGTTCTTCAACTGCCTGGCGACGGGCGTGGTGAGCGGCCGGCTCGAGGCCCCGCCACCGCTGGTCCACGACGACCACCACGACCACGACCACGGCCACGACGACGACGACCAGGCGAAGAAGTCGGCGCAGCCACAGCCGGCGACGCGGTTTCCGCTGCTGCTCACCGACGCGCGGTGCATCCCGGGGTGCGAGGGCGGCCCGGCCTTCAACGACCAACGCCAGTTCGCGGGGGTACCGACGCCACCACCACCGCGCGTGTCGTGTCGTACGTTCGGCCAGTGCTGATTTCTTCATCAATTCTCCTCCTGTGCAGATCGCCATGCCGCCCATATAATATCCTTTCACATCGCCCCACACACCGCACACCGCACACACCGCACCGCACACGCACACACCGCACACGTGCATCGATGTGGGTTTGGCGCCTTAACGCGAACTTTTCACCTTGCGGAATGGGTCTCCAGTGGAGCTGAACCTCATCATCGCGGCGGACGTCGCCATGTCGATCGTGCAGCAGCACCACCTGGCGGCCGCCGCCGCGAGGGGCTCGACGGCCGCGTCGTCGTCGGTGATGCGGTCGGTGCCGCCGCGAGAACGGAAGCCGACGGAGCCCTCGGCTGCAGTGCGACGCGCGCAGAAGTCGCTGGTGCTGCTGGAGGTCGGCAACTCGTGGGCGTCCGGCATCGTGCTCTCTGCGACCGGCTGTGCGCACACGACACACACAATGACACGCACGGCACACGCGACACACGCACACACGCACACACGACACACGCACACGCGACACGACACACGCAGGCTTGAATGGCGTGGCTCATCGATTTTTGTTGCCTGTGCTGCTGTCCTTAGATATATTAACGAACGCCCACGTCGTGCGCCCGTACTTGAGTGCGATAGGTAACACCACCACCACACACGCACACACGCACGCACACGACACGCCCACCGCACGACACGACACACGCGCAAACAGCACACAACGAAACGGCAGACGCCCAAGTCAACTCCACTTTGTGTGTCTGTGCGTGCAGAGGACTCGGTGCTGCAGGCGGGCATATCGGTGCGGGTGCGCGTGGAAGACGACCAGCACTCGGCCGGCTATTCCTGGCTCAAGGCCGACCTCGTCTTCGCCTCTTCGTCCTGCATCGACGTGGTGCGCATACACGACACCACACACGACACGCGCACACCGCACGACACACACGACACACGCACGGCATAACTTTTTGGGTGATATGGTAGGCACTGCTGCGGCTGAAGAATGACCGAAAGTGGCCCCCGCTCGTGCCAGCGAGCTTCGCCCAGCAAACGCCCCGCGTGGGTGACAGCATTTTCGTCATCGGCTACCCGCTCTTCTTTCCCTCCATCGGTACGCACACGCACCACCGCACACGCCGCACACGCACCACCGCACACGCAGCTCATGAGGTGTGAATGAAGGCCAAGGGTGCCTGTGCACCGGTGGCCAAGTGGCGAAGGTGGTGACGACGAGCGACGGCAAGCCGGGCGCCATCCAGACCACCGCGGCGGTGCATAACGGCAACAGCGGCGGCGCCCTCATCAACAAGTTCGCCCACTTCCTCTTTGCCTGAACCAACCGCACACGCACAACCGCACTCACCGCACGTGCAGTGCCGGACGTGTGGTGGGGATGGTGACGTGCAACATGCGGCGGAAGGGAACCGAGGACGAGGCCGCCGGGGTCATCATCCCGCGGCTCAACTTCTCCATCCCCGTGCACCTTCTCGCCCCCGTCCTCTCCTTCATCCGCGACCCTTCGTCTTCCGGTTCGTCGTGTGTGTGTCGTGTGTCGTGTGTCGTGTGTCGTGTGTCGTGTGTCGAGTGTGTCGTGTCGAGTCGTGTCGTGTCGAGTGTGTCGTGTGTCGTGTGTAGTGTCGAGTGTGCGGTGGTGTGTCGTTCTGTGTTTCGCTGATGAGTCGATGGGAATGGAGCAGATGCACGGGTGGCGCTGGCGCCACTCAACGAGGCGGGGCGCGAGCTGGATGAGGTGTGGAAGCTACAGCGGCTCTCGGCCTTCCCGTCCCTCCCGCCCGACAGCAAATTCGGCCGCTTCGTACGCGCCTTCGCCCCCGACCCTCGCACCGCCTCCACCACCACCACCACCCCCTCCAGCTCGGCGGCGGCCGACGACTCCCCTCCCGCCCGCGGCCCACCCTTCGCTTCTTCCCTCTGAGAAGCGACGAAGGAAAATGCTGTTTTTTTATTGTTTGTGATAAAAACGTCGTCTAACGACGCAGAGGCAGGGCCGAGCACGCTTGGCAAGGCGTGTCGGCCCTTAACAAAGCTCTATATTGACAGAGAGAAAGAGAGAGAGAAAGAACGAAGAAGAGCGAAAGCGAAGAGCCAGCGGCTGACGTGGTGTGTAGCGGGAGTCGAGACCAACCGGAAGAGAGCGCGTAAACCGAAAGAGAGCTGCTTCGCTTCGGAGAGCTTCGAGAACGTTGAGCTTCCGAGTAGTACGATACGTCGCCTACTCCTCGACCTTGAGCGCTTCGGAGCGAACCTCGTCGGCCTCAGCCATGAGTACCTTGCCCGCCAGAACGGGAGTAGCCGGCAGCTCCGCCTCCTCTGCCGCGCAGTTGGTCTGGTCCTCGTTCGGTCCCTCCTGCTCCACCTCAGGCTGGGTCTCGGACTCGGACTTGGGGGTCCCGTTGAGCTCGAGCTGCGGGTCCTCAGGGCTCTCGACCGCCTGCCTCTTGCTCGGCGGCGCCTGCTCGTCGTCGTCCACGTCTTCGGCCTCGAGCTCCTTGGTGGCGTCGTCTTCGGGGGGCTGGGCGTCGCTCTCCTCGGCGGCCTGTGACGGGTCGTCGCTCTCCTCGCGCTTCCTCTTCTTCGACCCCTCGCGTTCCGCCTGGTCGACGTCCTCCTGGCTGCTGGCCTCGGCCTCGTCGTTGCCCTGGGCCTCGACACCGACGTCCATCTTCTCGACGACGGCCTGGTCCAGAGACTCCTCGACCTGCGCGTCGCCCTCGGCTTCGAGTAGCGGCGTAGTGGGGGCGGCGGGGGTGCCCTCCTCAGAGCTCTCCACGGCCGGGTCCTCGGCGAGCGCGGCAGGCGCCGTGGTGGCATCCTCGGCAGGAGTGGTGACCTCCTGAGGCTGGGCGACTTCGTCGGGGGTAGCGATGAGGTTCAGCGTAGCGGTGGTGTTGATGGTGGTCGAGTCCATGGCTGGTTGGTCGTAGTTGTGAACGGCAGGTGGGTTGGTAGAGTGAATGTTTCGAACTGCCGTGGGCCTCTATTTAAGCCGTGGGCCGGCTTCCAACGCAGGCAAAACGTACAAAACGTAGAGCGTCGCACACGCGTGGCGCAAGCCGGCGACGAGTCTCTACACGCGGCCCAAGCGTCGTTCCCGCCCTTTCTGTCGACATTTATTGCCGACAGTGACTAAATGCATTTCGAAAATACGACGAAACGCCAAGCATCTAAGTCAGCGAGTAGAGATTGAAGAGGGACGCGTCAGCAATGATGTGGCTCGTTGCCGGGTGGGCTGCTTACTTGGGCGCCTGGTCTGCCGCGGTCCTGCTTGCCGCAGCTATCTGCACGTGGGCCTTTGGTGCCGGCCTCCTCCGCGTAGTGTGGGTCTCCCCTTTTGTGCCCCTCCTCTTGCCCAACCCTCGTGGCTGGCGCCTGCTCCTGGCTCGCACCCTGCCGCCACGTCAGCGTGACGCGGCCACCGCCCCAGACACCACCGTACATCGTGGGTGGGGCCACGGCTGGGGCTGGGCCGGATGGCGCGGCGTGTGGCTCGGCAGCTGGCTCGGGGCGGCCATGTCCGGCCTGGGCTGGTTTGCGCGCCGGTCGCTCGTGGCGGCCCTGCGCGACGGCGCCCGGGCCAGCAACGCGACCCTGGCCGGCATCGTGCGGCTCAACGCCCACACCACCTTCGGCCGCCGCTACGGCTTCGAGGAGCTGATGGCGCCGCTGGCATCGGCGACGGCGGCGACGGCGGCGAGCAAGGTGGCGGCAGAGAGGGAGGTGGTGGAGGCCTTTAAGGTGGCTGTGCCGTTGGCAACGTATTACGACCTCGCGCCGTGGGTGGCTCAGGTCGCCGGCGGCGAGCAGAACGTACTCACCTCCGAGTCCATCATCCAGGTCCGCTCTCATCGCACACACCACACACCGCACACACACACACACACACACACACGATGCTGTGAATCTCTGAATGATCGTGTTGCGTGTCGTGTGTGTCGTGCGGTCAACGTGTGCGCAGTTAGGGGTGACGAGCGGGACGTCGTACAGCAAGAAGCAGCTGCCCGTGACCCAGCGCCAGAAGACCAACTTCTTCTTCAAGGGCATCGCGCCCTTGTTCGACGTCCTCTTCACCCACTTCCCGCAGGCCCGCGGCCTCCAAAAGAGCCTCAAGATCATGTTCCAGCCCACCTACTCCACCAGCCCGGGCGGCATCAAGGTTCAACCACCGCACCTGCTCACCACACACACCACACGACACACGACACACACCACACACACGACACACGGCACACACACGCACTTTGTTTACGACAATGTTGATGGCGGCCGCAGGTGGGGGCCAATAGCAGTGCGCCGAGCGACTCGCCGACCCTGCTGAACATGTACACGACGCCGCCGGTGGCGTACGAGATCATGAGCGAGCCCGACCTGCTCTACGTCCATCTCCTGTTCGCCCTCAAGGTACGCGTGCGGTGCACAGTGTGTTGTGTGTCGTATCGTTGGTCGTGCCGTGTGCCGTGTGTGCCTTAATGGAGCGGGCATGTGCAGGACGAGTATCTGGGGAGTCTGGAGGCCAACTTCGTAATGCTCATCCACCACCTCTTTGTTCGCATGGAGAAACAGTGGGTACGCCGCGCGCACGCAAAGTCGCACTCACCGCACACCACCCAAACCGCACGCACGCACGCCTCTGTCACTCATCGCACACGGCACGAACCCAACACGACAGAGGCAAGCAGTCGAGGACATTGAAAGGGGTCGTGTGAGCGCGAAGGTGCAGATGCCCGACCACGTGCGAAGGCAGCTGGAGGACTACATGGCCGGGCCGGACGTGAGCCGCGCACGCATGCTCACTCGCGAGGTACACGCGCACGCGCACGACACGACACGACACGCCACGGATGGCACCACACACAACTCGTGTTCGGGCGCCTGACGGGGTCGATCCTTTTGGTTGGTGTAGTTCGAGGCGGGCTTCGAGGGCATCGCGCGTCGCGTGTGGCCGCACATCAACTTCGTTCTCTCCGTTTCGACCGGCACCTGCCCCACTTCCATCACCCTCTTCGTTTAATATTATTTATTTACTCTTATTTGTTTCCGCGTCGTCGCCGATTAGGGAGCTTTTCGCTCTACGCCGAGCGGGCGAGGTACTACCTCGGGGACGTGCCCATCTACTCCCCACTCTACGCCGCCACCGAAGGTTTCCCTTTGCCCCTCCACAACGCTCCGCTCGTGTGAGTAAGACTTGACTTTGTGCCGTGTCGTGTTCCGTGTCGTACGTGTGCGGTGTAGGGCTGCTCGGTGTGAACCTTGATCCAAAGGGGAGCGCGTACTACCTGGTGCCCTCTAATATGTTCATCGAGTTCATCCCCCTTGACCACTGCGACCAGGAGCAGGTGCCGCTCGCACGCCGCATTCCATTCCAGGAATGTGACTCCTTTCCTTGCTCACATTCCATTCCCTTTCGCCAGCCGCCCACGCTGGGCATGGACGAGGTGGAGGCCGGCCAGAGCTACGAGCTGGCCGTCACCACCGCCTGGGGCCTCTATCGCTACCGCCTCGGTGACGTCGTCCAGGTGGTCGGCTTCTTCGAGGACGGCGACGGTCGACGCGGCGCACCGCTGATCGAGTTCGGCTACCGACTCGGGCAGCTGCTCAACGTGCGCGGCGAGAAGACGTCGGAGCGGGCCATGGCCGAGGCCCTCCGCCACGCTAGCGCGTTGGAGGCGTGGCGCGGGCGCGGCGCGGGCCTGGTGGACTACTGCTGCGTGGACCCGGCCATTCCGCGTGCGTCGTTCCTCCCGCCGCGGGGCGAGAGCGACGACGACGATAACGAAGATGAACAGCCACGTGCGCCACACTACGATCTCTTCGTCGAGCTCGAAGAGGAGAACGAAGCGAAGAACACAAAGAACGAATACGACGAAGAGCTCTGGGCGCGGAGGGCGGAGGTGGTGGACGAGGAGCTGTGCCGCAGCAATCCGATCTACAGGTCCTTCCGGGTGAAGAACGGCATCGGTACTCGACACTCACGCCGCACACACGACACGCCGCACATGCGCGCGCGACTGATAGGAGTGAGGTGGTGATGGGGAATGCAGGACGAGTGGTGGTTCACGGCGTGCGTGCGGGCACATTCGATGAGTTGCGGGCGACGATCCTGCGCAACGGCGCGCCGCCCAACCAGGTCAAGGTGCCGCGCGTCGTACGCGACCCGTCGCATCTGGCGTGCCTCGCTCGCGGCCTCCTCGTCACCGCCGCGGCCGCAAACTGAACAGCGACCTCGAAACTCGTCTGTCGGGTTTGAGTTCGTCGTGTTCGTTGTCGGTTGGCGCGTGCGTCGTTGGTTGGCAATGGAAACGAAATTTCGGCCCAAACGCCACGTCAGCGTAGATAAAGTGGTCTTTTGTTGCGTTTTATAAAATAGTTCGCTCCCGCATTCGATCCTTTTACACGCCCACGCGTCCTCTCTCCATCTATCTCTCTTCCATCTCTCAATATGAAGGCCCTCATCCTTGTTGGCGGCTTCGGAACGCGTCTGCGTCCTCTTACGCTCTCTGTGCCCAAGCCCCTTGTTGAATTCGCCAACAAGGCCATGATCCTACACCAGATCGAAGCCCTCGTCAAGGTTTGTGCTGAGCAACTCCCCACATCTTTAGATGACGACCTTTTTAATCACGCTGGATTGAGTCCTGCTAATCTGCAGAACTAGTGTTTTACGCGTAACGGCTTTTTTTACATTTGCATTTCTTTTTGTACATTCATTTGATTGACCATGAAATCGACCAGGTCGGCGTCAAGGAAGTAGTGCTGGCGATCAACTACAAGCCAGAGCTCATGGCCAACTACCTCAAAAAATACGAATCCGAGGTACAGCTTCATAAGAGTCTCGCATTTGTTTCCCATCGCTTCATTTGTCCCCTTACCGGTCCCCACTCGACTCCACCACGCTCCATCTTCTCCAGCTTGGCATCAAGATCTCCTACTCGCAAGAGACCCAGCCTCTTGGCACTGGTGCGTCAAGATCTTGGCTTTTCGCTGTAGCGCCATCCGCGCCAAGACGAACCTTTGCTTACACGCCGTCTCGACTTCTCTTTCTCTACGTGCATGCGTGTGGTGTCGTGTTCTCTCTCCAGCTGGCCCGTTGGCTTTGGCCCGCGAGATTCTGGAGGAAGACGGTGAGCCCTTCTTCGTCCTCAACAGCGACATCACCTGCGAGTACCCGCTGGCCGACCTGCTCGCCTTCCACAAGAACCACGGCAAGGAGGGAACCATCATGGTGCGGCGATCACACCTCGCCTTGTAAAACTGTGCGTCAAGGGCCTAACGCTCCTTCTTGCTTCTTCTTCTTCTTCTTCTTCAGGTGACCAAGGTCGAGGAGCCCTCCAAGTACGGTGTGGTGGTGCTCAAGGAGGGCGGCCAGATCGACAAGTTTGTGGAGAAGCCCAAGCTCTACGTGGGCAACAAGATCAACGCCGGCATTTACATATTCAACCCTACCATCCTCAACCGGATAGAGGTACGCTCCAGAGTCAGGCCGTTGCGGCGCGTGTCGTGTTCAAGCTCCTCACATCGCGCGTGCCGTGTCGTGTCATATTCTCTGTGTCGTGTCGTGTTGTGTGTGTGTGCGTGTTGTGCGTGTTGTGCGTGTTGTGCGTGTTGTGCGTGTTGTGCGTGTTGTGCGTGTTGTGCGTGTTGTGCGTGTTGTGCGTGTTGTGCGTGTTGTGCGTGTTGTGCGTTGTGTGCGTTGTGTACTGAGTCTTGCGTGTTGTGTGTTGTGTGTGTGTGTGTGTGTGTGCAGTTGCGTCCAACCTCCATCGAGAAGGAAGTGTTCCCCGACATGGCGACGCAGGGCCAGCTCTGCGCCATGGAGCTGCCCGGCTTCTGGATGGACGTTGGCCAGCCCCCGGACTACCTCATGGGCATGGCCCTCTACCTCAACAGCCTCAAGACCCGCGACCCCAAGAAGCTCAGGACTGGTGAGGGCTTCGTCGGCCCCGTGATGGTGGTACGACTGCAGACCGTCGTCGCCCCGGCACTTGTTCTGTGTGTTACGATCGCTACGGGCCTTTGCTCACGTGCCACCATGACACGCAGGATGAGACCGCGAAGATTGGAGAGAACTGCCTGATCGGACCGAACGTCATCATCGGCCCGGGGTGCGTCATCGAAGATGGTACGTACGATATTGAGAAAGAGAAACACGCACACGCACACACTCACCGCCCGCATGCGTGTCATTGACCAGGCGTGCGCCTGAGGGATACGACCGTGCTCGAGGGAGCCGTCATCAGGTCCAATGCCTGGATCTCGCTCTCCATCATCGGATGGCAGTCCTCGGTCGGCAGATGGGTACGCGAAACCCTTCAAGCCCCTCCTTTGTTTTCAGTCTGGCCTTCTCACTAACCAACCACTTCTTTCTTCTTCATCTTCTTCATCTTCTCGCTTCTTCTTTTTCAGGTGCGCATGGAGAACGTGTCTGTGCTCGGCCAGGACGTGCACATCGGCGACGAGCTCTACGTCAACGGTGGCCGCATCCTGCCACACAAGGCCATCTCTACCTCCATCCCCGAGCCCGACATCATTATGTAATTACCGCCACCGTCAACGTCGTCGCGCCACCCGCTCCCTCTTCCCTCCTTCATCCACGTCACTCCCCTCTTCTTCTTGGTCTTCTTCATCTCATCCTATTCATATTGGCCCTCCTCCACCTTCGTCCTCTCCGCACCATCAACGACCACGAGCACCCAGAGGACCTTGCAGGGAAATTCATCTAGAAAATACAATTCTCTCTGGTTGCAAAGAAAAACCCATTTCTCTGTTTGTGGAAAGAAATCGAGAGAGAAAAAAATACACGATAAAAAAAGGAAGAGGATGAGGGCGACACAGCGGCTCAACGTTTTGGTGGCGATTGCGGCTCTGATTTGCGGAATCGTGGGGGTCTATGGACAACAGCAGGATGCCACCGTGCAGCTTTCCATCGAGCACGCCATTGGCGGTGCTCCGTTTACGCCCCGCGGCCAGGTGGCCCTGCCGCAGGCTTCCGCCCTTTACGGCGCCCGCACCCAGCCCCGCCTCTCTCAGCCCGCGCTCTCTTCTTCCGATCTCCACGCACTCAAGGCACCTTTCCATTCAATTTTGTTAATTTACTGTTGTTTTGTTTATTGATTTATTCACTTACATCTTTCCCTTTATCGCAGGAGGCAGCGGCGAGCGGCGGTCGCTACCAGGTGCGGCTGCAGCTGCCTCTCACCAAGGACACGCGCCGGCAGATGGACTTCATCACTGCCTCCGTCCCTGCAGTACGCCCGCCTGCTCGCTATTGACTGGTGTGCGTGTGCGGTAGTGCGTGTGCGGTAGTGTGTGCGTGTGCGGTAGTGCGGTAGTGCGTGTCGTGCGGCTGGACGCACCTGAGTGCTTACGATGTGGCGCCTCCCTCAGTGCGCACTGCTGGCGTCCAATCTCGCGGACTCCCTCCGCCTCACCCTGGATCAGTTCGGCAACGTCGTCGGCGTGGACTACCGCACCGCCACCGCGGACTGCGGCTCCGCCACCGAGCAGCCCACGGTACATCGATCGCCTCTCTTCTTCTTCTTCTTCTCTTCTCGCCATCTCTATTCTCTTTTCGTGTACGCGCGCACTGACTCCGCCCGGCCGTCCACCAGTCCTCGAAGTTCGACACCAAGGTGAGCCTCAACGTCGGCGCCGAGGCACCCAAGTACTCCCACCCCTTCTCTTCTTTCTTCTCTTCTTTCTTCTCTTCTTTCTTCGCTCTTCTTTCTTCGACGGCCCACCTGCGGATGACCCCACATGTGTCCTCACGTGCTCACCTCCACCGGTGTGTGCCGTGTTCGCCATCCCCCGAAAAAGGCCGTTCCGTCAGGAGCTGGAGACGCCCGAGGCCGCCAAGGAGAAGGCCGAAGGCGAGAAGGGCTTCATCGCCAAATACGTACCGCCGCCTCGCTTGCACCCGTCTCACCTCACCTCTCTGACTCTGTCGTTGTTCTTCTTCTTCGTTTTCTTCTTCTTGAATGCGCAGTGGATGTACATCGTGCCCTTCGTCTTGGTGCTCCTCTTCAGCGGGGGTATGGGCGGCCAGGAGCCCGAAGCCGCCCAGGGCGGCGAGGGCGCAGCGCCCGCCGCGAGTGGTTCGTTTACCGCCCTTTTTCGTGGTATCGTGATCAAGTGGTCATCAATCCACTGCTGACCTTCTTCTTGGCTTCTGACGATCAACAACAGCTGGCCGAGGTGCTCCTGCTCGACGGGGAGGAAGGAGGTAGAAGAGGAGCGCCCATTTATTTCTTTTAGACTTGTAAAAAAGAAAAAGAAAAAGAGAATCAAAATCAGAATTTGGCGCCATTATTAATTGTTGAGCGATCGAGAGATGGAGGGGACAGGCGTCGAGGATGCAATCCAACCCAAAAGAGGTACTGCTTGTCTCGCCACCCCGTTCTCCATTCATTCAAATGTATGACATACATCGGGAGCTTAATAATCAATGAATTGATTTCCGCATTTCCCGTTGCAGAGAGGAAGTACACCGCTACCGACTGGGCCGAGTTCTTCTGGACTGAGTACGCACTTTTCTTTGCCTTCATCCATCGCTTCTTCATCTTTTTTATTTTACCTCTGCCTTCTGCAGCTTCGTGTTGAAGGATGATCCCAACATGGATGATCTGCTTTTCTTCGTGCCCGACCAGCCTCTCGCCCAGCCCGTAGCCGGTTCAGCCGAGTACACTCCCTTCTGTCTTTGCTTCATGTCGCGTGTCGTGCTCCCCTCTTGTGTCGTGTTCCCCTCAACTGACCATGGCCGTCTCTCACAACGTTTGCAGTGGTGGCCAGCAGGGCAGCAAGTTCTTCGTGGTGCGCAAGCACGAGGACGCCGAGCACAAGCTGCCCAAGCGGGGCGATCGCTCCATCAACTGGCAGGAGACCTACTTCCTCAACATCATCACCAACCACCTCAAGTACTGCCATCCCATTCCTTCTCTTTGAGTGCGTGCTGTTCTTGTTTCGCTGACCAAAGTCGAATCACACTCGACACACGACACACACGACACACACGACACACACGACACACACGACACACACGACACACACGACGCACACGACACACACGGCACACACGGCACACACGACACAAAACACACCAGATACACTCTCATTATGGACGTAGCGCACAGAAAGGGCCGGGGTTCGACCGGTACCCCCCCCTCTGGGCTCCACGTCCACGCGTGATGACATCGAACGTTGCGTCTCACACTCTGTTCCTCTGTTCCCCTTTCTCGCGCAGTTACTACACCGCGAAGTAGCGCACACGATACAGCAAAGAGGCAGCGAGTAGAAACCTGCGTCTACGCGTCGCCCACTCAGGTCAGCTTGCATTCTCTCTCTCACGCGCGCGCATTCGCATAGACCACAGCTGGAGCGCTGCACTCACATATCTGGACTTTCCCTACAACACTGCGGCGATGCTGCACAACACGACACACACGACACACACGACACGACACACAACACACAGGTGCGTATGGACATGAAGGAAGACGAGGTGACGGAGACCTACCCCACCATATTTTTCGCCGTCAACGACTTCCAGGAGATGCTGCAGGATATCACCGTATCCGAAGAGGGCGAGCTGGTGAGTGTCCTTGTTCGCACACACGCACACACGCACGCGCACGCGCGCACACACACGCACACACGCACACACGCACGACACACACTAGCTGACAGACTGTGTGAATGGCCACAGGTGTGCGTGAAGCTGCTGGCGACGATGCCCGAGGGCTCATCGACTTCGCTCCACCTCGCCGCGGTCATGAGCAAGACGGACCCACAAACCCCGACCCTTACCAAAAAGGGCGGCCCCGTCACCATCTTCAGCGGAGGTACGTGCCTTGTGTGCGTGTCGTGCGGTGTGCGCGCGTGCTGTTACTCACGCGTATGTCGTGTGTGTGTGTTGTGTGTCGTGCGTGTCGTGTTGTTATCAGCGGTGGGCTACGAGATTGTGCGACAGGCGTTCGGAATGGAGGCCAAGAAGCAGAACTCGCCCTCGACGCTGCGTTGGCTGACGCGATCGCGCGACAAGTCACCGCAGCAGGTCTTCCTCAACATGAAGGGTCCGTCAGGCAAGGGCAAGGCCCAGATGGCCGTCAACCCGGCCGACTCGCCGTCCGCTCCAGGCACTTAGCCTCCACTCCATTTCGCTGCATGTCGTGTGTCATGTGTGTTGTGTGTCGTGTCGTGTCGTGTCGTGTCACTGATGGCAATGAATTGGTTGGTACAGAGGTGGATGACACCAATCCCGCGGAGGAGGAATCGTTGGGGAGCAGCAAGAGCAACTCGTGGCTGAACCTCAGCGCCATGCGCAAGTTCCTGCCAACCGCCAGCAGTCTGTCCCCCTCCTCCTCCTCGTCATCATCTCCGTCCGCTTCCACCTCCCTTCCTCAGGCCTTCCGATGCTCGCTCACCTCTGTGCTCCTTCCCTGGGCCTCCATCATCGACGATGTCTACAAGACTGACCTCCTCTCCTCTTCTGCCAAGACGTCATCTTCATGAGATCAATGATCACTCTTTGCCAATCGAACTTTGCATAAACAGTTTTGTACAAAACTGCGCGAGCTGCGCATGCACTACAACCACCTCACCACGCTCCCGCCCGAGATCGGCGACTTTGCGCACCTCGAGAAGCTCTTCCTCTCCCACAACGCGCTCATGTCGCTGGAGATGGTGCAAGGCTCAACACTTACCAACGAGCTCATGAAGCTGCTGGACCCACGATCGAGGTGGAGCTGGTGCGCAGCAATCATGGTGCCCATTGGCTGAAAAAAGATAAACCAGGACCTCTAACAACTGTGTCGCCGGGCTCTTCCTGTTTTCCTGTTCACACCACACACACACACGACAAGACAAGACGAACAAGGCATGCTCGACCCCAACACCTCAAGTGACTCACAGGAGGAGGAGAAGAAGAAGAAGGTGGTCACTGTGTTCGGCCTGGCGGTGCCGGTCGATGAAGGCGACATGATCACATCGACAGCAGAGACCAGTCATGGCGACCCCAACCAAGAGGTGAAGAAGAAGGAAGCGGTGGTCTACCACTGGATTTCGGACGATGAAGATGGGGAAACGACTGCTGACGACGAAGAAGAAGTAAGTCTCCACATCCAGAGACTGCCCACGGACTGGACCGCCAGGTGTGATCCTTCGTTCTCTTCTCCCTCTTCTTCCGCTTCGTTTTCTCCTTCCTCCACTTCTTCTTCTTCTTCGTCTTCGGAGCCTCAGAGCGACGTCGAGAAGGCGAAATGGCGGAGATGGGAGGTCAAGTGCGCACGGCTCGAGCGGTGGATCCAGCGAACGGGCCGCCGTCCTACCACGATGAGGGGCAAGGCGCTCTATGAGTGGATGCGCTACTGGCGTCGGGAGCCCAGCTGGCGCAACCTCAGCCCGGCCCGCGCCGCCAAGCTACGCGCCCTGGGCCTGACGCCCTATAACTCGCGTGGGACGGCGACCAAGGGCAACGACTGAGATCTGTGACGCTTCTTATTTTGAAATTGATGCCTGTTGTCGCCTGATGTTTCCTTGTCGTTCTTCCTTGTCACTCGGTTGGTTACTAACCAGGACTACAGAATGACTGTAAGTGTGTGAGAATAGCATTAATTTCCCAGTCCCAATGCCCTCATTTGGAATTCCCTCTTCGGTCTGTCTTACTCTTCACACACCTTCATTCTTTGTCGTCTTCGCTCTTCTCTTCGTTTTCGCTTTTTGCGTTCACACACAAAGAGACCACCACCCATGCAAGACTGCACGGCCGACCTCAAAGACTCCAGCGAGCAGGTGCACCGGGAGGAGGAAAAGGTGACCTTCTTGTTGGGCAGCCACGCCGCACCCATCTGGGTGTCCGACGACGACGACTCTGGTGACGTCGACGCCGCGGCCGAGGGTTCAACCAACAACAACAACAACAAGAAGAAGGCAGTCTGCCTGTTCGGCGTGAAGGTGGAGTTCACCGACGACGACGAAGGCGAGACCACAGACGACGAAGAGCCACCACAACAACAACAGCCACAACAACACCAACAGCCGAGCATGGAGGAGCCCGGTCGTGCTGTGGTCTGCTGTCCCAATGCCCAGAAGGAGAAGAAGTTGAAGAAGGGCAGATTCATCATCTGCTGGCGGCCGGGCGGGGGTTGGGCCGCCCAATGGGAGCCGAACCCTTCCTCGCGCAGCACGCGTTCCACGTGGTGGGACATGTTGAGGACGAAGCCGGCGAAGGGAAAGCTGCGATCAACGTCGACGCCGACGCTGCGCCCAAGCTCGAAGAAGATGAAGAAGACGCGGGCCTCCCCGAGGCGATCGCCCAGGCGACACAGCAGCAGCGCCGCCGCAGACGCCGCAGCAGCAGCCAGAGCCCAGCCTCCACCGGATTCGCCTTCGCCTTCCCCGAAATCTGACAGGTTGATCAGCGAGACCGAGGCCAAGCAGAGGAAATGGGACGCCATGTACGCCGGGCTCAAGGAGTGGGTCGAGAGCGAGGGCCGCCTCCCAAGCAGGAAGGAAGCCCGGGAGATCTACAACTGGCTGCACTACAACCGACGGAAGGAGGCTTGGCCCAGGCGCACACCCACTCAGGTGGCCAGGCTACTCGCGCTTGGTGTAGCTCCATACGGGCAGGCGATCGACTCCTCGCCCGTGCCAGAGCTCGACATTTAATGAAGAAGAGCCACTCACAAGAAGGAAAGTGTGTGAACAGGGATTAAACCCCAGCAAATGCCCTTATTGGGACACCCTTCCCTTGTTCTCCTGGTCGTCTTCGCTCTTCTTGTTTTTGCGTTCACACACAAAGAGACCACCACCACCCATGCAAGACTGCACGATCGACCTCAACGAACCCAACGACTCCAGCGAGCAGGTGCACCGGGAGGAGGAAAAGGTGACCTTCTTGTTGGGCAGCCACGCCGCACCCATCTGGGTGCCCGACGACGACGACGAAGGCGAGACCACAGACGACCAAGAGCCACCACAACAACAACAGCCACAACAGCCACAACAACAGCCGAGCATGGAGGAGCCCGGTCGTGCCGTGGTCTGCTGTCCCAACGCCCAGAAGGAGAAGAAGTTGAAGAAGGGCAGGTTCATCATCTGCTGGCGGCCGGGCGGGGGTTGGGCCGCCCAATGGGAGCCGACCCCTTCCTCGCGCAGCAGGCGCTCCGCGTGGTGGGCCACGTTGAGGACGAAGCCGGCGAAGCGGACGCTGCGCGCAAGCTCGAAGAAGAAGCTGACGAGGAAACCAACGTCAACGACGTGGGCCTCCCCGAGGCGATCGCCCAGGCGACACAGCAGCAGCGCCGCCGCCGCAGACTCCGAAACAGCAGCCAGAGCCCAGCCTCTGCCGGCTTCGGCTTCGGCTTCGGCTTCTTCTGCTCCTTCGGCTTCACCGCCCAAGTACGAGAGCAGCCTCATGCGCCGCCACAGGGAGAGGCTGAGGAGGGAGTGGGAGAAGAACCACGCTCTGCTCCGGGAGTGGGTGGAGACGAACGGGCACCTGCCCAGCAAGGATGAGTCCGCGGTCCTCTTCTACTGGATGCACTACCAACGGGTCAAGAGAGCCAAGCTCGCGCCTGACCAGGTCGCCAAGCTGCGCGACCTCGGCATCGTCCCCTACCGTTCCAGGAGGAAATAGTGCGATTGCTATGCAACATTATAAATGGCCTGTCTATTTCTTGCGAAACAGACATCCAAAGAGAAAAGCGTTTCGTATTATTTCCGAAATGCGTTTGAGTCTTGTTGCCTGGCCAACGGAAGCTGTCGTGCTGTGTTTCTGCACGAAGCCTGATTCTTTCATAGGCACACGACACGAAATGGCGGACGTTTGGCCTTGCCAAGGTACACCTCCCCTTTTACACGCGATTTCGCAATTCATACTCTCCATATTAATTACTAAATCGATATTATTATTGTTTTAGAACTCTGTATCTTGATTCGGAAAAGCCTGTTATTGATTCTCTCTTGTGATTGTTTTTATTTTACTGTGTAAGATTTGTTTATTAATCGGTGGTTCTACGCTACTACGACTACAGCGTGCACGTTCCTGAACCACACGCTCATGAAGTGCTGCGAGGTCTGCGAGACTCCGCGCGGCAAGGACGGCAGCGCGTCGCCCTTCTACCCTGCGCCCGCCGCCGCCCCACGCGTCTGGTCCTCGCCTTCGCCCTCCTCGCCTTCGTTCTTGTCCCCTCCCTCCTCCCCGTCTTCGTCGTCTTCATTTTCTTCTGCTTCTTCGTCGTCTTCGCACTTTCCCGGCGGCGGCGACCACCCGGCGCCGTTGGACGAAGTCTCTCAGCGGCTCCACATCTGCCGCAAGCGCGACTACCGCTTCCTCTCCCTCGAGGCCCTCGCTCTCACCGCCCTCCCCGCCACCCTCGCCCAGAGCCTGGCGCCACCGCCGGACGACGTGGTTGCCACCACCACCACCAGCGAGCCCGTCGACACCACCAACGAGCCCGTCGACACCACCAACGAGCCTGTCGACACAACACACACCACCGCACACACAGACGCAGCACTCGAGGAGAAGGCCGACGATGCGACGTTGTCGTGTTCGGTTGTACTGCGGCCGGGTTCGTTGGCGGTGGTGCTGGACGGGGCGCGACTGGCGACGCAGCTGACGACGCTGTTCCTCAACGACAACGCGCTGACGTCGTTTCCGGTGGCGCTGGCGCGGCTGGGCCAGCTGCGCGAGCTGCACATGCACTACAACCACCTCACCACGCTCCCGCCCGAGATCGGCGACTTTGCGCACCTCGAGAAGCTCTTCCTCTCCCACAACGCGCTCGTCTCCCTCCCGCCCGAGATCGGCCGCCTCACCTCGCTCCAGGTCCGCGCCCAGGCCCTCCCCGCTCACCAGTCTGATCTTTACTCACCGCACGACACGACACGACACGACACGACACGACACGACACGACACACGCGTAACCACACAAACGACACACAGACGTTGTCGCTGTTTAATAACAAGCTGACGTCGGTACCGCCGGAGCTGGGCCAGCTGCGATCACTCCATTCGCTCTTCCTCAACGACAACGCGCTCACGTCGCTGCCGCCGCAGACGTTTGACGCCCTGGCCGGCACGCTCACCGTGCTGCAGCTCAACGCCAACCGGCTCTCGTCGCTGCCGGCCCAGATCGGCCGCCTGTCGGGCCTGCGCAAGCTCAACATCGAGGCCAACGCGCTCGTCACCGTCCCCGCGTCGCTCGCGCTGCTGACCGACCTCTCGGTGCTGGCCTTCCGGCGCAACCTCTTCCACTACGCCGTCGGCGGCACCTGGAACGTGAGCCCGCCCACGCTCCTCCACCTCGCCTGCGCCGCCGTCCGCTGCCACATCCGCGCTCTGTCCTTGCCGTCGTCTTCTTCTTCGTCTTCGCTTTCGCTCTCGCCGGCTGTCGAGGAGGTGTTATCGTCGGCGTCGCCATTGTCGACATCGACGCCGCCATCGCCGCCGGAGGCGACTTCGCCGATCACAGCCATCTACGACCGCCCGCGTATCGTCGACAAGAATGACAAGAACGCCGACCACCACGACGGCGAGGCGGCCCATGACGGCGTCATGAGCACGCTGGCGATGGTGCAAGGGCTCAACATCACCGAGGAGCTCAAGAAGCTGCTGCTCGAGGGCGAGAGCGCGTGCTCCGTGTGCGGCAAGCTCCTGTACGGCGACGGTCACGTCGTGCGCGTGTTCCCCATGGAACTCACCCCCTCCGTTTCTGGCGGCGGCCTGAGCCTCAGCCTCACCGCCCCGGCCGACACAGGCACCGCCACCGCCCCGGCCGGCACCGCCACCGCCACCACTGGCCAGACCGGCACCGCCGCGCTCGCTGCCCCCCCTACACCGGCGGCTGGCGGGGGCGGGGGCGGCGGCCTACTCACTGCCATCCCGCCTCATCGGTGCGCGTCGTTGCCCCCTTTCTTCAGCTGTGATGGTTGATGCTCATGCGTGTGTCGTGTCGCGTGTGGTGTGTTGTGGGTGGTGGGTGTGCAGGCCGAAGGTGGTGGTGCGGGGCACGTACTGCTCGTGGCTGTGCGCCAAGCGACAGGTGCCGCTGGCCGGTGGATACGGCGGCCGCCCCGACCGTGCGTGTGCCGCGCCACCACCCCCCGCTCTCGTCACTCAGCGCCCATGGCTCCGGGAAACAACGGCGACGGCGGCGCTGTGGCGGGGGTGATGGGCGAAGGACCGGCCCAAGCGACGCCGGTGGTGCTGCCGCTGCCGCTGGTGCACCGCGCACTGCCGTCGCCGTCGCCCGCCTCTTCGCCCACCACCCAGCTCAACTGATGATGATGAGCTCAAGTTCTTCGCCTGCGGGACAAGAAGCACGTCAGACCTGAGTGTAATGTAAATAGAAAGACCGATTCAAGCTTTCTCTTCTGTTGTCCAGCCAGTGCAGTGGGACACCGCTCATGACACATGGGGAACCACTTCAAGGGGCTGTCTGTGCTTTTCCTTTACATCGAGAGATGAGGGGTCAACGCGATTCGCGGTTCTCTTCGTGTGTCTCCTCGTGTCGTCTGGTGTCGTGTGCGCATCATTCGAACCAAACTCGACGGGTCCACTGTTCGCCGCTGCGGCCAGTGTCGTCAGGCCAGACCGTCTGCGAGCTGCTGTGGGCCAGCTCGACACGTAGCGGGCGGCCGCAGAAGCGGGCAGCGTCGAGGGCCTGCAAGGTGATGACATCCCGGGCGGACGAGACCTCGACGAACCCGTAGCTCCTGTGGCGGCCGAGAAGGTCGTAGACGAGATGGACAGAGTGCCCGCTTACGCCGTTGCTTGCCAAGAAGTCATGCAGATCCTCTTCATCAGTTTCCAAGTGAATGTTCCCGATGTAGAACGAGACCGTGGCTGGGGTCTCGTCAGTCTTGGCCTTCTTCTTGCTCGCGTAGGGGCTCCCACACGGCGAGTTGTCGATGCCGTTCTCGTCCTGTCGCTGCCTCTTTCTGCCCATAGCCTGGCCCTCCTGCTCGTTGGGCTTCTCCTCCTTGATTGCTTCCTCCATGCACCGCGTCTCCTCTTCCTCTTACGCTTCTTGTTCTACTTCGTGTAGAGCCTCTTCTTCTCTTTCGAAGAGAGAAAGACGAACAAAGGCCGGCAAACATTGAATTGTCGACAAAAAGATCAGCTACAGCGAATGGGCGCGGTGAGGGTGACCACGGCCTTCCGATCGCCCGTGAAGGCCACCTCGATGCGGCCGTGGCAGCGTTGGTGGCGCTGTGGTTGATGATGGAGGCGGAAGGCGAGGTCGGCGACCACGACCCCGTCGCGGTGGTGCGAGTGCGGGTACCACTGGAGCTTGACGTGGCTCGTCTCTGGTTCGCACTCAGGGCAGGCCATGTCCCACAGGTTCCCCACGCACCCCAACCTGACCACATGCATTTGCATCTTCGTTAAAGAACCAGCCATTCACCCTCTTCATCTTCTTCATCCTCATCATTGTTTTTGTTACGAACTGAACGTACTTGAAGGTGCAGCAGCGACCTTCGGGGCCGAATGTGAGGTGCGTCGGGGGCGCGGGCGCGGTGGCGTTCCAGCAGGCGGCCAGGCCGGTGGCAGCCCTTGCCAGGAGTCGAAGGGCGTGGTCGTCGTCAGCACCAGCCGAGCGGGGCCGCAGGTGCTGCTGGTGGTGCTGGACCTGTGGTCGTTCGGGTGGGAGAAGCTGGCCGCCCAGCTGCTGTGGCGGTCTCTGTTGCAGCTGTGGCGGCTGCTTCGGCTGCTGGCCAGCCACCATCATAGTTGTCAACATCATCATCAGCGCCAGCGTCAACCTCATGTTTGTGTGCTGCATCATTCTTCGTTTTCTTCTTGGTGGTGTTGTTGGTGTTGTGGAGTGTTGAGTGCGACAGGCCAGCCTGGCTGGGTGCCATTCAGGTGGAGCTTCAGGGTCGGTCTGTCCGTTGAGACCAGACCGAAAACTCGCTCGTGCTGCCTGCAAAATTTCATCTCTGCAGATCTATCGCACGCACATCTTGTGCGTTGTCATCTTTGTTTGCACCGCACAAGATCGAACCCCCAAGAGAGAAAGAGCGAATTCAATTGAATCAGACAGATGGACAGAACCGGAGTGACCAAGCCTCACGTGTATGTGTGCCACTCGAAGGACCTCCTCACTGAAGAGTCCGGCGACTTGATCGCTCGTCTCTCCCGCCAGGCCATCGAGTATTGCCCCCCCCCTCTCAAACCCTCCTCCCTCGCGCGTTCCCTTTTCCTCTACTCCTCATCTCAGCAGATTTTATCATTTAATAATTGAATTGATTTATTAATCGTAAAAACGTGCAAAAATAGGGAGCGTGGATCGTTCGTGGTGGCCTTCTCTGGCGGTTCGCTGCCGGCCCTCGTGGCACCTCGCCTCCTCCAGCTCCGCGAATCCATCGACGTACGTCGCTTTCGTTCTTTTGTGTTGCGGCACCATTCACATGTGTGTCCGTGTGTGTCGGTGTGCGTGTGCGTGTGTGTCGTGTGTGCAGTGGGCACGGTGGGAGGTGTTCTTCGCGGACGAGCGGTACGTGGGGCTGGACGACAAGGAGAGCAACTACCACGCGTGCAACGAGGAGCTCTTCCGCCACGTGCCCATCCCCGCCGACCACATCCACACCATCGACGTGTCCGTGCCTCTCCCCGAGTCCGCCAAGTCCTACCAGGCACGCACCTTTCCGTGTGCGGTCGCGTGTGTCGTGTGTAGTGTGCGTGTCGTGCGTGTTGTGTGTCTGACGTGATACATGTACGCAGGCAAAGGTGGAGAGCAAGCTGGGCCGAGGCGGCAAGGCGCTGCCGCAGTTCGACCTCATCCTGCTGGGCATGGGTCCCGACGGCCACACCTGCTCCCTCTTCCCCTTCCACGCGCTGCTCAAGGAAGACCAGCTCCTCGTACGTCACCCACCCGACGGGCCTGAGCGCTGACGTGGCATTGTTGATGACGCGGCAACGTCGTGTGGTTGATCACACAACCACCGTAGGTGGCGCCGATCAGCGACTCGCCCAAGCCGCCGCCGGAGAGGATCACCTTCACGCTGCCGCTGGTCAACGCGGCCCGCAACGTGGCCTTTGTCGTCACCGGCGACGCCAAGAAGAACGTCCTCTTCAACATCCTCGAGGTCTGAATCCACTCATCTCTCTGTGTGTGTCGCGTGTGTCGTGCCTTGTGTGTCGCGTGTGTCGTGTTCCTCAGCTCATCTGCGTACATTGATGATTCGGTGTTGGGTGGGTGGGCGAACAGGGCAAGGAGGAGAAGGAGGGCGAGCTGCCGTCGAAGCACGTGTGGCCGACGGAGGGCGGCCTCTACTGGTTCGTGGACCAGCCCGCCGCCTCGCTCCTCCAGGTCTACGTCGCCTCGTGCAACCTTTGAACCACTGCACCATCGAAATATATAACTATATTCGTTGGCAACACGAAGAAACTTTTGCGGTTGCACACCAACAGTGCATTTTAATTTGTTTTACTGTAATTAATAATTGATTTTGATCACGTTTGTTGTCGACGAGGCTCACCGTGACGTCAGCCGAACTGAAACTGCCGCGTATTACGCTTTTGAGCCGCGGTAGAAGAGGAGAGAAGTGGACGAAGATGGGAGCCTGCGTGAGCGGCGGTCTTTCCGAAGGTGAGAAGGCGGCCAAGAAGAGGAACAATGAAATCGACTACGAATTGCAACAGGACAGAAAGAGGCTCAGACAGGAAGTAAAACTTCTGCTTCTCGGTACGTGCAACAGCCCCCTCTGACATTTCAACTCCACTACTGCCATGATCATCCAGCGCTGTTGCGTTCTATCGTGAGCTTCTAGAATCAAACCTATGCCCTCGCGAGAGAAATTGGCGCTTGGGCTCTACGTGGACTGATTGACGATTTTCATCTGCGTGTAGGGCCGGGCGAGTCGGGCAAGAGTACCATCTTCAAGCAGATGAAGATCATTTCTATGGCTGGCGGCTTCACGCGAGAGGAGCTGATGGCCTACAAGCACGTCATATACGGAAACTGCGTCACACAGATGAAGGTCATCGTTCACGCCGCCTCCAAGCTGGGCATCGAGATGGCCTCCGAGGACAACATGGTACGTGTATCCTCTACTTCGACCATCGATCTCGGATCTCTGCCATTCGATTGCGTTTTAATGCCATATATGGATTAATGCGTCACTAGCAACACGATGGTTCTTCAATCACTTACCATTGTATGGCGCTTGTATGTGGGTCGAGTGTCATCACAGGAACGGGCCGAGCGACTGGCGAAGCTGCCGGCGGGCGGCGACAGCTTCACGTCCCAGGTGGCACAGGACATCGCCGCCCTGTGGGCCGACGCGGGCATCCGCGCCGCCTACGAGCAGCGCGACAAAACCTACCAGCTCAACGACTCAGCCTCCTAGTTCGTGCCTCCCCCGTCCTGGTTTCTGTGTGTGTGCGTGTGTGCGTGTGTCGTGTCGTTAGTCGTGTGTCGTGCTGTGATGACGTTTCTAACCACCAACGTGTTTGTTGGCAGCTTCTTTGACAACATTGGCAGGTTCGAGCAGGCCGACTACTGCCCGACCGAGCGGGTGCGCACACACCCTCTTCGTTCTTTCGTTCGTTCTTTGTCGTCTTCGCTTTCCACGGTCTATGGCTGCCTGACCGTGGTGTTACCCCCCGGTGCGTGCAGGACGTGCTGCGAGCCCGCATCCGATCCGTGGGTATCGACGAGGCCCAGTTCGAATTCGACGACATGGCCTTCTGCATGGTCGACGTGGGCGGACAGCGATCCGAACGCAGGTGCGCCCCCTTCTGCCCAATACCTCTGCACACTCAATCTCGCCGCGTCGTAGAGCCAAGGCGTGGTGGTCACGCACGCACGCAACACTTTCTTTCCATTGCTCGCTCGCTCGCTCAAACTCTGTTCATCGTCGTCACGGATGCATCGCGACGTACACAGGAAGTGGATTCACTGCTTCGACTGCGTCACGGCGGTCATCTTCTGCGTGGCCCTCTCCGAGTACGATCAGACGCTTCGCGAGGACGACAGCCAGAATCGAACAAAGGGTACTTACTCGCGCATTCATTAGTAGCGTGTGTCGTGTGTGTTGTGTGCGTGTGTGCGTGTGTGCGTATCGGTGTGTGCTGACGGAACGAGCTTTCGGTTGTGCGTGCGAACAGAGTCGCTGCTGCTGTTTGATGAGATTTGCAACAGCCCATGGTTCGCCGAGACTGCGTTCATTCTCTTCCTCAACAAGGTCGATCTCTTCAAGGAGAAGATCAAGAAGGTCGACCTCAAGGGCACCTTCCCCAGCTACAATGGTACGCACGCCATGCACCGCGCAACAACACGCACCACGTGCGCACACGGACCATATTTCTGGAAACTGATTGTTGGTGTCTCCCCCGCGTGTGCAGGTGGAGCCAACTTCGAGGCGGCGTCGCAGTTCATCAGGAGCCGGTTTTTGGAGGTGAACACGTCGCCCCACGTCATCTACACTCACTTCACGTGCGCCATCGACACACAGAACATCGGTTTGCCTCCCCTCCCTCCATTCCATCATCGCTCGGTCCCGCTCACACCCGTGTGTGTCGTGTGTCGTGTATTGTGTGCGTGTCGCCTCACGTGTGTTGTGTCGTGTCGGTCTATTCCTTCCCCCACAGAGTTTGTGTTCAAGGCGGTGAGAGAGACGATCCTCAAGACCATCATCGACAACATCTTCTGAGCCAGCGAGCAGCGCAGCCAAAAGCGGTCACAACTTTTGCGGGCAACAGCCACCGGAGCGGGGGAGGGGGTACACATATACACCACAATGCACCTATATATGTAACATAGCACACTATTATCATCACCACCATCACCATCACCACCATCACACTACATTTTCATTTTCGGGGCAGAACAAACACGACCGGACGTTGTTGCTCCCCTGTCTCCACACACACACACACACCAACACCACAACCACGCAACAAAGAGCGAAATGAATACCGGGGGCGCGTTTTCATTCTTCACCCACTGCTGCACGTGAGTTTCGAAGCAGCGCTTCTTTATTCGCCGCCCACGCGTTTGCACAGCTCGTAGGTCCCGAAGCTGATGGCCACGGACGGCACCACCTGCATCGCAACCATCAGCCACGCATTGCCGCACGCGCGGGTCGTGTGTGTCGTGTCGTGTCAGGGGAGAGTAACCTTGAGGTAGGTGGGGATCATGCCCTTGAAGAAGCCGCCCACGCCCTCGAACTGGTGGATCTTGCGGCAGGCGTCCCAGATCGACGAATAGAAGCGCTCCTCGCCTCCCCGGCCCTGCAGCATCATCCGCCGTCGCAGCAGATCGAATGGATACGTGCCTGCACACCGGTGGACACGCGTCAGACCTTGTGTCGTGGCCGTGTCGTGGCCGTGTCGTGCCGTGTTGGGGGGGGGATGCGTACAGGTCATGGCAAAGGTGCCCGAGGCGGCCCCGCACACGGGACCCCAGAGGAGGGGCATTTGGCCGCCGTGTCGCTCCGTCACCTCCTGCCTCAGCGTCTCGAACGTCGTGAAGTTGATCGCCACAAACGGCGCTATGCCCTGGTCATCAATCGTCACCACATGTGTGAAGTGAACACACACAATGACACGACGCACATGTGCGACACACACGATGAACGACGCACACGACACGGAGAGAGAGAGAGAGAGGACGTACGACGAGAGACACGGAGAGGCCCTTCCAGAAGGCCAGGGGTCCCTCCTGCTTCACGATCTGGACCAGACAGTCCCCGATCCCCTTGTACCGGTACTGCATCGGTGTGTCGGGCGTCTGCGCGGCCAACCGCGTCCGCACCAGGTCTGCGTGGAATACCAAGAGAGTGGGGTGAGCCGCTGTGAGCCACCACTCGCTCGCTGGCACACCACCACCACGGCGAAGGGCGAAGCGGGGCGCGGGCGATGTATACCGAGCGGGTAGGTGAGGGTGGTCGAAGTGATGCCGGCCAGAGCGCCGCACAGCATACGCTTGAGCGGCGGCAACGGCTTTCCATCGCGCACCAGCCACTGAACAGAACAACCACACCATCAGCACACGACACGACACGACACGCGACACGCGACACGCGACACGCGACACGCGACACGACACGCGCGGGGGGAGGAGGGGGGAGGGTACGCTGCGGTAGGCTTCGAAGGAGTAGAAGCGGGCGGCGGCGGCCGGGGCGACGTGGAGCAGGTTGGTGAGGTGGCCGCGGTAGAAGCCGCGCCAGCCCTCCTCGCGCAGGATCACCCCGAGCCCGCGCAGCACCGAGTACTTGGGCCGCCCCGCGGTGGTGGTGGCCTGGCCTCGGGCCTTCTCCATCCCTTGCAGCTGCGCTCATTGGGCGCAAGTAGAAAGATGTAAGATATAAGATTATCGAGTAGCGTAGAGAAGGGAATGGACTGAATAAGATGCGATGCGAGACATGAGAGTAGTGCTAGACTTATGAAGTGAAGATGAACGAGGAAGAGGCGCAGGGAAGGAGGAGCTCACCTCAAGCAGGATTTTAAGGCGTTCGAACGGAGCGACGCATGTTCGGGCAGTGGCACCAGAGATGGCACCATACACGCTGTGCCGCCACGAGGCCCCTCCCTTCCCGTCCTTCCCGCCCTTCCCCGCCCCCTGCATGTGCATCATCTTCGACTTCCCTCTTCTCTCTTTCCATTCTCCATTTCCTTTCCATTTCTGTTTTTTTCATTTCCTTTATTTGGCCGGAAAAATGCTTGCGTGTGCGGTGGTGCGTGCTTGTGTGCGTGTGCGTGTGCGGTGGTGCGTGTGCGTGTGCGTGTGCGTGTGCGTGTGAGTGTGCGTGTGCGTGTGCGTGTGTGGTGGTGCGTGCGTGTGCGGTGGTGCGTGTGCGGTGGTGCGTGTGCGGTGGTGCGTGTGCGTGTGCGTGTGCGAAAAATAAAAATATGTTCTGTGGCAAAACTTTGTCCGCCAACTTTCCAGTCAAAATAGCCTGAGATATTCCAAATTTTTTCGAGCTGGGGCGGCAACAAAAGGCATAGTGGACCCTTAATTTAGTCTCTTCTGTTGACAGCTAATCAGGTGGCGGATCGCTTGCGGGCGAGGTAGACGAGGGAGAGGTAGGTGAGCAGTCGCAGGATGAGGTAGAGCCCCGCCAGGCAGATGGGTCCCACCCACGTCGGGTACCGGTCGAAGTCCAGACGGTCCAGCTGCTCGTTTCCATTCACGATCGGACACACGCCCAACACCATCTCGCTCTGTCATCGTCATCACACAACACACCACTCATCAGTGTGTGTGTGTGTGTGTCAAGTTGTGTCGTGTTTTTTGTCGTGTTGTGTGCGGTGGGGAGGAGCAGGTGACGTACAGAGCGGCACTTGAAGGTGACGTCCTCCATCTCGTTGCGGACGAGTGTGACGAAGGCGTAGAAGAAGGGCGAGATGTACTGCAGCCAGATGAAGTACTTGGGGATGTCGGACACCACCAGGAACAGGCCGCCCACCAGCATGTGCGGAATCACCGTCACCGGAAAGATCGTCAACGCCACCCTGTCCAGTCACGCCACACACACGACACACGACACACCCCCGATAAGCGCAGGCCGTTGATGTCTTTGGGTGGTGGTGGGCGCGAGAGAGCGTACGGGAGCTCGGTGCCTACGCTCACGAGGAGGCCGAGCGACTGGGCGATGTTGGAGACGAGCAGGATCACACCCAGGCAAATGAAGAACGCCCCGGCGTCTTCTCGTAGGCCCACCTGCAGCGAAGTCAGACAAAGTCAAAGTCAGTACATATAAACAAGTCAAAGTCCCAGTCCCGGTCGGTCAGAGTTGGTGGAGCGGTGGTGTACCATCCAGTAGGTGATGGTGGTGCCGATGACGGGGAAGACGATGTGGAAGGGGATGTCCGCCGTGGACTTGGCCAGGTAGTAGGCCGTAACCCCATACATCCCGTTGCCGTACTCGCGCAGGAATGTCGGCCGCTCTGTCGGGACTGTAGCGAAACAGTGATCAAAGAGCGAAGGGCAAAGAGCGAAGAGCGAAGATGAAGGTGAGCGGCTATTCGGGGGAAGCTATAACATGTAAGGTGTGTGGAGCGTACAGAGGTAGAGCACAGAGTTGCCGGTCATGAAGACGGCCTGGGTGATCATGAGGAACAGCACGCCCTGCCTGTTCTGGATGTCTGCAGAGAGATTAAAAATAAAGAGAGAGATGTGAGTTGTTGTTTCTTCTTCGTCCCTGGAGTGAGAGCGTACCGGATTGGTAGTGGCCGAGCTGGAGGAAGAGAAGACCCACCACGACGCCGATGTTGAGGGTGATGATCAGCCGCTGCTTGGTCACGCCCGGGTCGCGAATGTAGCACTTCCACGCCCGCGCCAGCAGAATCAGGAACTGCTTCAAGAACCGCGGCCCCGCCTTCTTCAGCTTCGGCAGCTTCTCGTTGCGGAACTCCACATCATCACCACCACTACCGCCAGCCACTTTACGACCATCACCATCACCATCAGCATCGTCGTCTTCTCGGCCATGGTGGTGGTCGATGGGGCTGATGCCGCTGCCCTGGCTGGGGCCGTGGCTGAGGGTGAGGCAGCGGGCGGGGAGGCGGTAGCCCTCGATGGGGATGAGTGCTGCGTGCTGCTTCTGGTGGTCGGCCAGCGTCTCGATTCGCTTCACGTAGTCCTCCTCCTCGACCTGCTCGCTGCGCGACATGAGCCGCATGTAGTGGTCCGCCGGATTCGTGAACTTGGGGCACGCGTAGCCCTAAATGTCACCACACACACACCACACACAACATCAGTGAGCGTGCCATGTGTGTCGTGCGGGTGTAGTGAGATGCGTACCTGGGTCTTGAAGTAGCCGGTGAGCTTGGCCACGGGTCCGCTGTAGACCAGGGAGCCGTTGGCCAGCCAGAACACGTCGTCGAACAGATTGAAGGTCTCCGACGACGGTTGATGAATCGTGCAGACCACCTAACCACCGCACACAACGCACGACACGACACGACACGACACGACACGACACGACACGACACGACACGACACGACACGACACGACACGACACGACACGACACGACACGACACGACACGACACGACACGACACACGGGTGAGCCATTCGTTGTCTGTCTCGAAGCTGATGAAGAGGAAGAAGGAATGAAAGTGTACTGTGCGGCCCTGTCGGGCGAGGTTGCGAAGGATGGTAACGACTTGCTCGGCCATGGTGCTGTCGAGGCCCGACGTGGGCTCGTCGAGGAAGAGCAGCCGCGGGTTGACGATGAGGTCGAGCCCGATCGACACCCGCCGCCGCTCGCCGCCGGAGATGCCGCGCGTCACGCCCGGCACGCCCACGCGCGTGTCAGCGCAGCGCACCAGGTTGAGCTGCCGCAGCACCTTCTCCACCCGCTCGAGCTTCTCGTGCTTGGGCATGCTCCGCGGCAGCCGCAACAGCGCCGAATACGTCAGCAGCTCCCTTAAAGAAAAACAGATGGTCAGTTAGTTGGTGGTGCGTGTCGTGTCGTGTCGTGTCGTGTGTTGCGTGTGGCGTGTGGTGTATATATACCGAGGGGTGAGGTTGCCGAGGAGGGTGTCCTCCTGCATGACGTAGGCGCTGGCGCGCTTGAACTGGTCGCGGCTGAGCTTGTGTCCATTGACCAGGATCTCGCCGCCCAGTTTGCCCTCTCTCGTCCGACCGCTCAGCAGGTTCAGGAACGACGTCTTACCCGCCCCTGTGCGTGTGTGTGCCATGCGTGTCGTACGTGTAGCGTGAGTCGTGGTAAGTGACATCATGTTCCACCCGTAAAATAAATAAATAAATAATAGAATATATGTAGCGGGAAGAGAGAGGTGTGGTGACGATACCAGAGGGACCCATGATGGCCACGAGGCGGCCGGGTAGGAAGTGGCCCGACATGGGCTTGAGGATCTCCTTGGACTCCTTGGTCCACAGCCGGCACGACCTGAGCTTGGGACCCAGGCCCTTGATGCCATCGGCGAAGGGACCCTTCTTGATGCGCACCGAGTAGCTGAGGTCGTTGAAGCTCAGGCAAACGGGCGGCACGCCGCTTGACGCCATCCCTTCTTCGAACGCGCCGCCTCCGCTGGACATGCCGCTGGCGCTGTCAACCAGATCCAGCTCGTCTTCCCGGCTGGTGCCGCCGTCTACTTCTTCATCTTCTTCTACGTGCTTGTCTTTGAACTGCTTCATGGCAATGCCGCCATCATCGCTGCTGCTGGAACTCATGTGTGTGGCCAGTGGCTGCTGAGCAGTGTGTTGGGTGTTGGTGGTGGAGTGGTATGAGAGCTTGACGTGGCCGGAGATGTTGCTTTATATACAACTAGCAAGCAAGTCGTTGTAGGCCGCAGAGATTACGCTTCTTGTACGGATCACTCTCCCGCTGTTGGGCCGTACAGTTTCTTTTTCGTCCGGATTTGTGCGGACCAACCGGGATTTGAGCGCATGATTATCATTTCCTTTTTATTTTCCTTTTTATCTTGTGTTTCTCGCATAGTTTATATTTCTGTGAAGGCAGCAAGCTGAACAAAATACAAAAATTAATCGAAAAAGATCAGGATTTATTGATTTCAATTGCAAAATGTCGAGCGTGGGATACAAGGCAGTGAAGCTGACGGCGGAGGGTCAGGACTGGCAGGCCTGGGACAAGGCTGGCCGTCTCTACGGTCTTGGAACTTGAAATCCCTGCCGACGCCGTAGTGGGTGCGTCATTCTTTTTCATGGCGTAACGCTTGATTAATTATTCAATTTATTCGGTGAAGGTCTTGATGGATCCAGCAAGGTGCAGCGAACCGCAACTCACACCCTCTTGTTCGTCGTGTAGTGGTCCCGCTCAAGAAGGAGGAGCACAACGAGACCGCGTTCGTAGGCAAGCGCCGCGCGGATCGAGTAGTGGTCAAGAACATCACTGGCCTCGACGGCAGCGAGGTCCCCACGTCCCTCATCGGTCGCAGCGGTGCCGTGCCCCCCCCCCACAAAACCTCTTCTCTTCCCTTGCGGCAACGCCTCACAGTCGCACGACACACACGACACACGACACACGACACGCGCGCTACACGCCACACGCCAGACCACGCGTGGGACTTTGTCTACGAGAAGGGCGCGACGGTGCAGCTCTCGCAGAAGGAGCGGGACGGGTACGACACGATGAAGGAGTTCAACGACCCGGCCCACCCGTGCTGCACCGGCATCCACTACTTCGAGACCAGGGAGGGCGCCGTCAAGCTGGCCTCCTTCTGGCAGAACATCCACTCCATCTAACGCCTCGATCGATCGATCGGTAGATGATGATGGTGAAGATGATGATGATGTTGTGTCATCGTTTTTATGTGCAGACCAACATCGACAGTTAATATTATTTTATTATATGTTGTGTTGTGCTGGTTATCGGACCTTCTTGTCCTTGGCGGCCGGCGACTGATCGACGTCGCTGCCGCTGCCGTTCTTCTTCTTCGTCGTCGTCGAGGCCTTCTTGCTGGCCTGGCTGTTGTTGGTCGTTGTCGAGGCCTTCGGCCGCGGTGGTGAGGGAAGAACGAAGCGGGTGACGAAGAAGGTCGCGAAGATGAGGACGTAGCCCGCGTGGTACATCGACTCGTACACCGTCCACGCCCTCGACGGAAGCAGCAACTACGATGATCGTTGGTTGGTCAGAAAAGAACGAAGAACAAAGAGCGAAGAGCAAAGAGCGAAAGAGGAGAGGGGGGGGAGGCGTACGACGAAGGAGACGGCGATGTAGGAGAGGGAGGCCTGCACGGCGATGACGCCCAGCACGTCGTACACGATCTTGGCGGGCCTGGGCGTCACTCCGTCCTCCCGCAGGAACCACGGACGCACCTTTCGCCGCAGGTCTACAGTGTGTCGGTAGCCCAATTCAAAAGATCGTAAGATGCAACATCATCTTAAGACACCACACGACCAACGACACGACACGCACGACACGGCCGCACACGCACTTTTGCCGGTTTCGGTGAGGACAGCGCCCATGAGGAAGAACATGAAGTAGCCCGGGTAGAATCCCTGGTCATTGGTCGCGGGCGAAGATGAGACATGGAACACGACACGACACGACACGACACGACACGACACAACACGACACGACACACACGACACACAGGCACGGCTGTCGGCGAGTTTGTGGGTGGTACGTACGTGCCAGAAGGCGCTGGTGAAGTAGGTGAGCATGGTCGCCAGCATGTTGGGCTTACCATCGGGCGAGAACCGCAGGTACACGTCTGTGTTCCATTGACACGACCAACGACCAACGACCAACGACACGACCAACGACACACGGCATGACACGCACAGCATTTGCGGTGTAAGTTCGTAGCGCGTGTGCGTATGCGTGTGCGCGGCAGGAGGCGGGCGACGTACATTGCTTGAGCCAGGAGGAGGTGCAGATGTTCCACGAGTCGGTGACCTCGCGCATATTCTCCGGCAGTTCCACGCCCAGCGGCCGGTTGACGGGCACACGGTCCCTGGGCGTGTGCGACGCGCACGCGTGAGCCCCACAGCACGCAGGACGACACGACACACGACACGTCACGTCACGACACACGACACGACACGCAAGTAAGGAGAGAACGGGGGGGAACGCACCAGCGGACGCGACCGCGGGCGTCCGTGCCGTTGTAGGAGAACCCGCACGCTACGAAGCCGCCTTCGCCCATGTACCACCCGAAGTAGTACTTGCACCGCACCAGGAACAGTATGAGCCACATCTCCCCGAACCTGCCGCACACGACCAACGACACGACACGACACGACCAACGACACGACACGCGCGTGAGCGAGCGAGTGGCGACGGTGCGGCCTACGGGGGGGAGGGGGGCGGTTACTTGACGAGGAAGGGGGCGTCGAGGAAGGGGCGGGTGAGGAAGTTGTCGATGGGGAAGTAGACGTTGCCGAGGGCCGGACCCGGCAGGAACATGAACGCAAGCCCCACGGTCTGCAGCGTCGGCAGCCAGCTCGACGGCGGCTTCTTCCCGGCACACTCCTGCAACGCGTGCGCGTGCGGTCATGTGTGTGTGTGCGTGTGTGTGTGCGTGTGTGCGTGAGAGCGACGTGTATGCACGCAGGCTGCGTGTGGTGTGTGACGCGTGTGGTGGTGGTGGTGGTGGTGGTGGTGGTGGCTGGTGGTTGAGCGTGCCTTGAACATGTCGCCGTTGATGAAGGCGAGGTAGTCGGACATCTCCATGGTGGGTCCGGCGAGGAACGACGGGAAGAAGAAGGCGAAGCCCAAGTACTCCAGCAGCGACGGCATCCGCTTCACCGCGTGCCGCTTCTGGTAATCCCTCATTTTCTGTGCGTGTGCGCGTGTGCGGTGGTGCGCGTGCGTGTGCGGTGGCGCGTGTGCGTGTGCGGTGGTTAGGGGGTGGCGAGGGGGTGAGGTGGGGGGGGGTTGATGGCGGGCGGACCTCCTGTGCGGCGGCGGGCTGGTGGCCGTCGTAGATGTTGCAGGCGCACGAGGTGAGCTTGATGGTGAGGAGCATCTGCTGGGTGGTCCAATTGAGGGACCACGCCAGCCACTCCGTGTACATGATCCACAGGTGCCTGCGCGCCCAATCACCACCCAACCAACCAAACCACCACCACAACGAAGAGCGAAGCAAAGAAGAAAGCGAAAGCGAAAGCGAAAGCGACAAAGAAAGCGAACACGAAAGCGATGGTGAGCGAGTGGGCGATGTTGTTGCTGCCGCCGTGCGTACCCGAAAGAGAGATAGGCCATGCAGAACTGTCACACGCAAAAAGTTAGAGATGTGTGCGGTGCGTGTGTCGTGTCATGTGTGCCATGTGTGCCATGTGTGCGGTGTGTGCGGTGCGTACCATGAAGACGGCCTTGTGGGCGATGCCGTGCGGGAGGAGGCGGTGCAGGGCGTACGAGACGAGCGTGGTGACGAGGGCGTGGACCCACGAGTAGGGTCCTAGCGCGAAGCTGCAGATGCCGATCGTGATCACGACCGAGAAGAGGTGCTTGACGGCGGCGGCCCAGGCCCGGCCGGCGCCGGCGGCGGCGAGGTGGTGCGGGTAGGGTAGCAGACGGAAGACGAGGGCGAGCGGGTAGACGGCGGCGAGGGCGAACAGGTAGCGCACCTGCATGGCCGGCAGCGACGCGGACACGGAGGTCTGCTCCACCGCCCGATCGAGGGCGTCGACGAGCGGGAAGTGCATTATTGGAAGAAGAAGAAGATGTGATGATGGATGAAAGATGAAGAAGCGTGCTCTCTGCTGATTGGTCACCACAACAACGCATGAAAACAAACATCAAGATGGAAAAATACATTAAAATGAAAGTCATAAATTGGAAACAAATCGAAAAAGCGACGTAGAAGCGGATGAACGATCAAATGGTCTTTGGTTGCAAGAGAAGGGAGGGGGGCGCACAGTTTTATGGACTGAGAAGATGAGAGGATGGTGGTGCTATCCGGCAGTATCGCGATAGTGAAGTGCCGCTACACGTCACCACCCGGGCAGCTGAACGAGACAACGACCACTGACCAAACCGAATTTCTACGAAAGTGATCATCTTGAGATGAAAGACAAAAAATCGAATGCACACACACATGATTCACTCAAAATTGGCCCTTTAATTACATCTCGCCATGGTCTCTTCTTCATCCGCGCTCTCCTGGATTTCCTCTGTCATTCTGCTATGCGAAATTCTATCGATTGTCCGATCGGCATTGTGGAGAGGCTGGGCTTCTTAGTGGTGATGATGGCCGTGGTGGTGGTGACCGTGGTCATGGTGGTGGCCATGGTCGAAATGGTGGCCATGGTGTCCGTGGTGATCATGGTGGCCGTGGTGTCCGTGGTGCACAATCGCGTGATGGTGGCCGCCGTGGTGGTGTCCGTGCTCGTGGTGGCTAAATTGATCACAAGAAGAAGATGAATGAAAAATCAGAGATCAATTTCTCAGTCATGAGCAGATGAGGCCTATTAAGTCGAATGCATTTGAAAGGCGTACCCGTGGTGGTGGCCGTGGTGGTGTTGGTCGACTTCGCAAGATTCGCAGGCGCCCATTGTGCGTGTTATAGAGTTATTAGACAGATGAATGGAAACGGCAACAACTTGTTTTGCGTTTTGAACACCGCAGCAGCGAGGTCGCACGGAGACGGCCAAATTGTAAAACTATGCCGAACTCGCCATTGGGTTCGCTGAAGCCCCGAAAAGAGCAACCAAACAAGTGCCTTTCATCTTTGTAACACCAACCCAGTTGGTGTTTGTTCGTTCTTTTTTTTCTTTACAGACAACGGCAGTCAGGCCGCACACGCACCACCACACCACCGCACACAACACGCGTGGGGGGCGAAACGAACGAACGCGTTCCTTGAGCAGAGAGCCTCCTCAGAGCCGGAAAATCTCGAGGTCCTTACCGCTTCCCTTGCCCGCGGACCCGCCTTTTCCTTCCGTCGTCGTCGGCCCGCCGGCGGTCGTCGTCGCCGTCGCCACCTGGTGGTTGCTGCTGCTCCACAGGCCCCAGAACCCGCCGGACTTCTTTGCCGGCGCCGATGACGACGACGACGAGGGCTCGGCGGCGTCGCCGGCCTTTTGCGGCGACTGGGCTTCGGCGGCGGATCGTGATGAGGGCGAGGAGGCGGCTGCGGAGGCGGCACGGCCGCGCGCGGGGGCGGTGAGCGGGGCGCCGGGCGCGGGGGTCTTGGGCGGCGTGATGGGCGGCACCAGCGACCGGCCCGCCGCCCGCGTGGGCAGCTGCCGCTCGCTGAAGGCCAGCGTCGGCGGCGTCGCCAGATCAAGATCGTTCTTCACCCTGTGCCCACGACACACACGATACACGACACGCGCGCGCACAAGCGAGTGAGCTCGGGAGGGGGCGGGCGGGGGCTGTAGGGGGCGGGTGGGGGCGGTGAGTCTGTACTTGTCGCCGTCGCGCGGGGCGGTCTCCTTGACGTTGCGGAAGGAGAAGTGGCGCGAGAGGGTGCGGAAGGTCTTCTCGATGCGCTGCGTGGTGGTGAGGAGCTCGTTGGCCGTGTTGGGGATCACGTTCGGGTGGAACTGGAGGAAGGCCGACAGGAGCTGGTCGTGCTCCCTCTGCTTCCGGCTCGCCTTCTTCTGCTGCTTCTTGTCGGCCGCCGCGGCCGAGGCCACGAGCGAGTCGGCCGCGCCGTCGGCCTTCTCCTTGGGCGGCTTCTTGCTCTTCTTTTTCTTCTTCGTGATCTCGGCCAGCACCGACAGACGCTTCTCTGTGTTGTGTGTCGTGTCGTGTCGTGCGTGAGCGCACAAGCCGCACACGCCACGGGGAACGAGAGGGGGAAGGGGGAGGCGAACCGCGGCATTCGTCGACCTGGAGCTGGCGATCGATGTTGGTGGCGAGCGCCTTGATCCACTCGTACTTCTCCTCGTCGCTGTTCGCCGCGAAGAGGAACGCCGCCGACGGCGAATAGAACTGCAGAATGTTCTGCATATCTGCGTCCATCGCACATAACACGACACGACACGCCATGACACACGACACACGCCGCAACACGACACCATCCCGCGTCAGCGCACTCGCAAGGGGGCGGGAGGGGGCCGTAGGGGGCGGGAGGGGGCGGGTACCGCCGGCGTCCTGCTCGTCCTTGACCCAGGCCTCGTGGAGGTGGACCTTGCCGAGGTACTCCTTGGGGCTCTTGGCGTAGACCAGGAGGTCGTTGAAGAGGATCACGTACAGGGGGATGATCTGCACCTTGCCCCCCTCCACGATCGCCAGCGCCCGCAGGTGCCCGTCCTTGATCCACACCCGCCACGGCTCCACGATGCTCTGCCCCAACGACACGCACGACACGCAACACGGTGAGCGTCGTGTCGTGTCGTGTCGTGTCGTGCGTGTCGTGCGCGGTGGAGGTGACGTACGTCGGCCTTGGGGCCGAAGTTCTTTTGCATCGTATGTAGCCGGGATCCCTTCGTTTGCTGTGTGTGTCGTGTGTGTTGTCGGGCCGGTGAGTAACGAATTGTCGGGGGAGGGAGAGCGGTGGTGGCTGGTGGTGGTGGGGGTACCTCGTTGACAAAGTCGGCGATGTTTTTGATCATCTCGAGGGCGCTGCAGAGCTTGCGGTAGTCGGCGTGGTGCGGGGCCGTGCACTTGATCAGCTCCTGCAACAGCAGCCGGTACCGCGGAATCCTGCGCGTGTCGTGTCGTGCGTGTGTCGTGTGTCGTGTGTCAGCCGAGTTCGTACGGGGGGAATGGAGCCGGTTGCACCTCTGCACGGGCATGATGAGCAGCGACGGGAGGTCCAATTTGTTTTTCGTCTGCAGCTCACATTGCTGCGCACACGACACACACACGACACACACGACACACACGACACACACGACACACACGACACACGACGAGGTTAGAGAGAACTGAGCGAAAGCGAGAGAGAGAGAGAGATCGTATGTGGTGGTGGTGGGTGGTGTGTACCCGGATGAAGCGCGTGAGCTTTTCGTTGTTCTTGTTGCGCTGGAGGTAGCTGTTGACGTCCTCGAAGTTGCCGCAGTAGGTCGCGTAGATCTTCATGAACGGGAACTAGAGAAGGACGACGACGAGGAGGAAGAAGAAAACGTCATCATTCGGCCGACACGACACGACACACGCGCACACGCGGCACGACACGACACGACACGCGCAATCCGAAAGAAAGAAAAACGAAAGCGAAAGCGAGAGAAGAGGGGGCGCCGTACGACGAGGGCGAAGATGTCCGACAGGAACTGCTCGCCGGGCGCCCTGTTGTCCGCCTTCCAGCTCGCCAGCCGCTCCTCCAACTGCCCACCAGCCACCAGCCACCAGCCATCACCATCATCACCACCATCATCAGCATCGTCGTCGCCGCCGCCACCACGACGGGGGGGGGAGTGGTGGTGCGTACGCGGGTGAGGAAGGTCTGGGAGAGGCCGACGATGATTTCGATGTTGGAGAAGAGGAGGTTGATCTCGCCCTCGCTCACGACCTTGGCCCGGCGGAAGGGCTCCAGGAAGTGCTGCACGGTCATCACCAGGTTGGCCAGGTAGCTCTTCTCGGTGCTCACCAGCTCCCCGATCACCCGCGACCGCTGCACCAGCTGCACCTCCTGGAACGCGTCCAACTGTTGCAACCGCACACGCGCGCGCGTCAGTCGGCACCGCACACGCCCACCGCACATGCGCGACCGCACACACCGCACACGCGCGACGACACGTACGGCTTTCTCGAGGTGCTTCTTGCCGGCCTCGACTTTGCCGGTGGAGGCGGCGGCCTTGGCCTTGAGCTGCTTCTTGCTTCGCTCCGACTTTTCCTTCAGCCGCCTGGCCTCCTCCTCCCGCTCCCGCGCCTTCTGCGCCATCAGCGCCTGCTGCTCCTCCGTCAGCCGCCCCAGCTCCCCGATCACATGCTCCAGCACCTCCTACCACACGACACACACAACGCACGACACGACACACAGATGACGTCAGCATCGGCTCAGGTGTGCGTGTGTGTCGTGTGTCGTGTGGATTGGAGGGGGCGAGGGGTACCTGGTCCCAGGCGGATTCGGGTTTCTTATCGGCGGCGGCAACGGTGCCATCGATGGAGGAGGCGGCGGCGGCGATGGTGCTCTTCTTGCGGACGCCCAGCTTGCGCGAGGACAGGTCATCGCTGCTGCTGCCGCCGCCGCTGCTGCTCCGCTGCATCGGAGAGTCGAACGAACCCTCGGACGGCGCCAGCAGGCTCTTGGCGAACGAATCCACAATTTCCTGTGTCGCGTGTCGTGTGTCGTGTGTCGTGTGTGTCGTGTGTGTGTCGTGTGTGTCGTGTGTGTCGTGTGTCAGTGGGGGCGAAGGCGTGGAGAGGAGGAGAAGAGGAGGAGGAGACCATGATGGACTGTCGCTGGTCGTGGGAGAGGCACGTCTTCTTGCACATCCGCGTCACGAACTTGCGCACCGATCGCACATCGACGTCCCAATTGAGCATGTTGTACGCTGCACACGCACACGTCAGGCCACACGACACACGACACACGACACACGACACACGACACACGACACACGACACACGACACACGACACACGACACACGACACACGACACACGACACACGACCAACGACACGACACACGTACCGGTGGAATGGAGGAGCACGAAAATGAGGGTCGGGTTGAAGGGCACGAATTCCTCGGGTTCCTCCGGCGTCGCGGAGGCGTCGGTCGACGCGTCGCCCGGACCCTGCTGCTGCGTCGAAGCTGCGTCGTCTCCTTTTTTCTCTTCGCCGTCGCCCGCGTCCAGCTGCTGGTAGCCCTTGCGCTGCGCCACCGCCAGCTCGTCTGTCCGACACACGCACACACACACACACGCATGAGCCGCGTGTCGAGTGTGTGTCGTTGTGTGTCGTGCGCGGAATGTGAAGCATGTGAGGAATGTGAGGTTCGGGGTGTGGTACCCCAGAAGTACTTCTCCCAGAACATGAGGTCGCGCCAGATGGTGTAGGCGGTGATGAACTGCTGCACGAACTGCGTCGAGCCGTTGAGAGTGCGGTGGAACGTCGATGCGATGTTCATGATCACTCGCGCCACCGACAGATCCGTCTCGTAGCGCCTTTTGTTTTCCACACGACACACACGACACACACGACACACACGACACACACGACCAACGACACGTGCGTGTAAGGAACCAGTCCAGAGCAAAAGCGAAAAAAAGAAGAGAAGAGAGGAGAAAGTTGAAGCCGGTCACGTACTTGAAGTCGAACGCGTTGATGACCTGCTCGATCAGGCACAGGATGCACTGGAAGCCCTCCTCGGTCAAGAGGAACGACGTGTTCTGCACACATTGCCGCCTTCGTGAACAAAACGCACATGACCGCACGCGCACACACGCGCGCTGGGTGATGAAACACACACACACGAGCGAGTACCTGGCGAGCGAGCTTCTTGAGGGCGACGGCAAAGGCGTTGCGGCCGAGCGGGTGGGCGAAGAGGCTGCCGAGACCGGCCAGCCGGCCGGCCGTGGCCTCGAACACGTCGCTCCCCGCGAAGCCGGCGTTGCAGACCACCGTCGTCAGGAACCGGTGCAGGCCCAGCATCAGCTGCTCGAGCTCGGCCGGCACCTCCGCCGCCTTGCCGCCGCGCGAGCCCCCCTCGCTACTGCGCCGCCGCCGGTGGCTCCCGCTGCTGTCGACATCTGACGCAGCCGACGACGACGTCGACAGCGATGACGTGTCCGTGTCGTCCGACGAATCCGACTCCGAGTCGGCGGCCGAACTCGACTCCGAGCCGTCGTCGCCGCCGGAGCCGGCGTCGCGGTTGCGGCCGCCGCGAGACTTGGCGCGGCGCTTGGCCGGTGGCGCGCGGGCGGCGAGCGAAGCAAAGAGGCCGGCGTGGCTCTCGCGCAGGATGAAAGGCACGAACTCGGACCACAGGGCGGCCTCGACTCTGCGGAGCTGCTCCTGGTCGTTGCTGCCGACGCTGGCGTTGCTGTCGATGCTCGCCATCAGCCCGCTGCCGCCGTTACCGCCGGTCTTCTTCCGCTGCTGCTTGCGCTCGGCCTTCTTGGCCTTGCGCTCGGCGCGCAGTCGCCGCTTCTCCTCCTTGCGCTGGGTTCGCTCCCGCTCCTTCTCCTCCTTCTTCCTTCGCTTCTCCCGCTCCTTCTCCTCCTTCTTCGCTCTCTTGGCTTCTTTCTTTTTGGTGTCGTGCGCATCGCCGTCGCTTTCGCTTTCGCTCTCTTTGCCGTCGTCGTCTACGTCGGCGACATCGTTTGGCGTCTTCTTCTGGTCGTCATCGTCGTGCCGCGTGCAGATGACCGTCGGTCCCGATTGAAGCTCGTCGTCGCTTTCTTCTTCGCTTTCGCTTTCGCTCTTGGCCTTCTGCTTTTCCTTGGTCTTTTCCTTCTTTTCCTTCTTTGGCTTGGCGGCCTTCGTGTTGGTCTTCACGACGGCGCTGGCCGAGACCACCTCCTGCGTTCGAAGCCGCACGCGCTGCGCATCTTCCAGCACGCTCAGCGCACGCCCGGCCGCGCCGCCGTCGGCATCGGCATCGCTCTTCGCTGCGTTCCGTGTCGCCACCTGCTGGCTCTCGGCCCTTCGCTCCTTCTTCTCCTTCTTCTTCTTTTTCTCCTTCTTCTCTTCTTCCTCTTTTTCGCTCTCGTCGCTCGAGCTCTCCTTCGTCTTGGCGGCGGCGGCAACCTTCTTCGTCTTCTTCGTCTTCGTCTTCGTCTTTCGTCCTTCTTTCTTCTCTTCGCATTCGCTCTTTTTGGCGGTGGTCGCGTCGTCTCCCTCTCCGTGATGGACCGCGCCACCGCCGCTCTTGAGTCGCTCGAGTTCGAGCCGCACCCGCTCCTTCTGCTCCTCCAGCCGGGCCAACTCGCGCTTCATTCGCTCCTCGATCTCCCGCACCTGCTTCTCCTTCTCTTCCGCCTCAGCTGCAGCCACCGCCTTGCTCCTCCTCTTCTCTTTCTTCTCTCTCTTTTCCTTCTTCGCTTTCTTCGCCTTTGCTTTCTTCGCTTTCGCCTTCACGTCTTCGCTTTCGCTCTCGCTATCCGTGTCGTCGTCGTCTTCTTCTTCTTCCACCACCTCCTCCTCCTTTTCTACTTCCTTCTCCTTGTTGCCGCTCTTGGAGCTGTGGTCGTCTCCATCGTTCCCGTCGTCGTCGTCATCATCTTCGACCACCTCCTTCTCCTTGTTGGTGTTGTCCTTCTTCTCCCCCTCGACCTTGGTCTCCGTCGATTCCTGTGGAACCAACGACACGACACGACACGACACGACACGACACGACACGACACGACACGACACGACACGACACGACACGACACGACACGACACGACACGACACGACACGACCAACGACACGACCAACGACACGACACGACCAACGACACGACACGCCCAACGACACGACCAACGACACCCGCCCGGCGCCTCGGGTCAGTTAGAGGAACTTCGATGCGCACGCGGTCGTGGTGGTGGCTCAAGGAGGAGGAGGAGGAGGAGGGAAGGGCGTACGGCGAGGAAGGGGCACGACGAGGAGTAAGACAGGGAGGCGAGGGGCGTGGGAAGCACCCCACGCGACCCCTGCAGCGAAAACTCGGTCGAGTCTGCACAGCCCACGCAGCACGCGCAAGACAGGCGGTGAGCAACACCCAAGGCATTGCCTTTGTGGCCGAACCGCAGAATTTCGGCACTTATTAAAATAAATATTAAATATTTATTAAAATAAATATTAAATATTAAACCAATATTAATATTAATATTTGTGCAAATTAAATGATAAATAAAAGGGTAGAAGGGATCGTTCGTACCGAAGGGGAGTGCAGGGGAGGAATCTGCGCTGGCCGTGGTGTCTGGCGCGCGAATCCTGGCGGCCCTAATCTTCTTCTTGGGCGAGAGAAGGGCTTCGTCATCGGCGAGAGCCCTGGGCGACGAGAGCAGCAGGTCGTCGACGACGTTGCTGCGTCCTGCCTCGGCCTTCTGCTTCAGGTCCGTGGCCATCTTTTTCGAATGGAGAGAAAGAGATTTATATTATCTCTTGTCTATCAATTCCTCCTCAAGCTTGGGCAGTTGAGCTTCGCTGCAGAGTCGCGACGTTGTTCTGATCACCAGAAGATCAGAAGTGCGTGGAGGCAGAGATGGACGATTCGCGCAGAATGGATGGAAAGGCGATGTGCTCGGCCGGGCACGCCGAGAAAGTGGTGGTCGACGCGTAGGTCCGTGCGTGCCACTTCTGGTTCGGTTCGAGCCGCGCCTGTGGTCGCACAGGCCCCTTTGGACTTGTGTTGTTGCCGTTCTGGTGCTACGTGCCCTTCGTGCCACCAGCAAAGTCACCGGTTGTTTCCGGAATGCCTGGAATGCACACATTCCACATTCCACATGGACATAACATTATTTGTGGTGTCAGTTTCGCTGTTGATGTGCGTCATTGACGACTACAACAACTAATCGCGCTTGATCTCGCGCTTCTTGCTGGACCGGAGCTCCTTGTGCAGCTCCTTCTGTCGCTTCTTCTCCTCGTCCTTCTTCTCCTTCTTCTCCCTCTGCTCCTTCTTCTCCTTCTTGCGCTGCCGCTCGCGCTCTTTGTCCTCGCGCCTCGCTACGCTGTAGCCGCTGCTGCTGCTCAGGCTCGCCGTCGCCATCCGCGCCCGCGGCGTGCCCGAGATCGTGGCCGACCGCTCCTTGGTCGCCGCCGGGGTGGCGGCGGGCGGTGCGTCGGAGGCCGAGCGGGGCGAAAAGAAGACGGCCGTCATGGAGTGGTGCCTCGCGTGCGTGTGGCGCGGTGACGACACGGTCATGTGGATCGGCAGCGACGGCAGCACGATGGGCGCCAATATCGCATTCGAGGGCAGCGACAGCCGCAAAGCTGACGATGATCTCGACAACGATGGTGATGATGGCGACGGCGACGATGAAGAAGAGTTCGAAGAGATGGAGGGGAGGATTCGCGATCTTCGGGCGTTCATCTTCTCTTCCACCTGACGGAAGATGGCCTCATGCTGCGAGATCAGCATCTCTGTGATGTCTGTCACCACCGACACGTCTTCACGTCGACCGCGTGCACCACACACACACACACACACACACACGCCACACACACACGCCACACACACAGCAAAGGCACGACACAACTCATTGTCAGCTGGCTGTCCCTGGAAGCTTCAACTTCGTTGGTTGAAGAGAGAACTCGTTGGAGGCCGTACTCTTGAACACGTCGCGTTCATTCGCCCCGTTGGGTCGTCGCAGCAAGTTGGGGCCTGTCGATCGACATAAACATCCACGTACATGTAGATAGGTTTATGGATTAATATAAATGCAAATAAAAAGCTGTACAGTAAATGGTTTGGGAATGCACCGAAGATGGTGGCAAGGTTGCTGAGGTGCATGAGGTTCTTCTCTGAGAACTTTTCCACGCGCGCCAGGAACTGCGTCAACACATGGAGGACGTTGTTGTGGTGCTGTGGCGTCCACACGACCCGGCCCGCTCATCTCGATCAGCGACAAACACACGAAAAACATGACGGCACCGCACACGCACACGACACACGACACACGCACACGCACCCCGACACGCACGACACACACGACACACGACACACAGGCAAAGGAGTTCAGAATGTGCACCGAGGAGAGGCCGACGAGGAGCTCCACCATCTTGCGGGTCACCGTGTCTTTGTCCGGGCTGAAGTCTCGCAGTTGCGAATGAGCCACCACAAAACAGTCGTACTGTGATGTCGTTCACACATAAAAACACACACTCACACACACACCACACGATATAACGCGCGCGTACAAAAGTCAGCAAGGAGCGATCATGACGTCAATGTTGGGATGCGACGAGATTGGAGCGGGAGGGCGGGAGCATGCCATGTCGAAGGTGAGGAGCGGTTCCGGTAGCTCGCGGAGGTAGAGCTTCATGAGGGAGCTCACCACGTGCACATCTGTGCCCGCCTTGAACTCCACGTCCTGCCGCAGCCCCCGGGAAAGTATATCAAAACCATATGGCAAGCACACATCATGTGCGCATATGAATCGGAACTGGAACGTTCGTTGGGTAATGCGTGTACCTCGTTGCTGTCGAAGGCCTGCTTGTAGGCTTCGATCTCGAGGGCGTCGCCGGATATCCGGAATATTCCCTCCTTGTCCAGCCCTGTGTGGAGCTCAGCACCATGCACCACGATCGTTGATTACGATGACGACGACGACGAAGACGATGGTGGTGGTGATGATGCGAATGGGTACCGTATTTGTCGAGGTAGGCGATGCATTTCTGGAGCATGACGGGGATTCGGTTGTTCACTTCTCGCTTGCGCGCCATTACCGTGTTCAACTCCACCCCAAACAACTTCGTCGGCTCCGTATTCACACACTGTGACGCGGAGAGACACGACACACGCGACACACGCAACACGCACAACGTTAAAGATTATTATATATATATGATATACATATAATGTTACATTATGCACCAGGACTCATGGGCGAGGCGGTACCTTGGACTGGACGGCTTCAACCCACTTCTGGTGGGTCTCGGGCTCCTTGGAGGAGATGTGGTAGAGCGTGTGCGGGGTCTTGCTCCTTCCCGCCCCGCCGTACACCGCCATCGCCACCTGGTACGCGAAATCCCACAATTACGTTAACATCAACATACAATCATATCGCATTGTTGTTATTTGTTCAGCTATTGCAATATATCGATATATGAACATATAGCAATAGTAATTGTAATTGTATATTGTAATGATTACATCGATAGAAATAGGAGCCAAGAGAGAAAAGCGAGAAAGAAGAATACCTCGGCGTCATCGATGCCAAGGGTGGGGTCTCGGCGCAGGGAGAAGGTGTAGACGGGCGGCTCGTTGCTCACGGACTGGATGCAGTAGTGGTCCAGCGGGATGACCCGCTTCGGCGGCTTCTTGCTCGACAGGTCCTGTCCGATAGTAGCGACGCGTCGTAAGCTCGCCCGCAGCTCACCCACGTTTTCACGTAATATATGTTCTATATACAGATATATATATAAGTGAAAATACTATTAGTGACGTACAATTTGGTTGGGCCACACGAAGAGGAGGTAGTCCTTGATGTGAAAGCACAGCCGCTTCCCGTGCTGGCCTCCTCGCCTGTGAAGGAATAGAGAGAACAAAAACGAGAAGTTAGTTTGCGAGGAGGCCACGAGATACACACCAACGACGTGCAAGTTCTTCATGTCTCGGAAGGAATGAAAACGATTCGATGGTTGTGTGTGTGTGTGTGTGTGTGGAGAGAGAGAGAGAGAGAGATCAGTGTACCGCCCGGACTTGAGGGGCTCTTTGAAGAGGAGGAAGCCCTCCCGCTCGGCCGGCAGGAAGTGTTTGGTGTTGGCCGGTAGTGTCTGACACACGACACACACGACACGCAGCGTACACGACACGACCAACGACACCAAGCGCATGAGTTGAACGCTTTTGGCGATTGACGGAGACGCGGGCGGAGCGACATAGCAGTAGGTACCAATAAATGGGAGATGGGGAAGACGGTCATCTTGCCCTGCGGGTCGAGCTTCTGGTCTCGCGGCGACTCGTTGATGGTCACCCACCGGTTTATTCCTGTGGGCCACACGAAAGGCATCGGGTGAGCGTCACTGCACGCGCACACGCAACACGACACGCACACGCCCCGCCGCACATGGCGCGCATCCGATAAACACGCCACACACGCGCGAATGATGCGTACCGTCGATGGCGTTAACGTCGATTGTGGCGGCGGAGTAGAGGAGGGCAAAGTCCTCCTCGGGCGCACGCGGGTCGAAGAAGATGGCGCGCAGGAGGGCCAGCGAGTGCTTGAGCTTGGCCCCGAAGTCGATCGGCACCACGGCCGCCGCCTCCGCGCCGCCCGAGTCCGTCGCCGTGCCGTTGCTCGCCTCGCACATGTACACCTTCACCAGCACCACATCGTGCATCAACACCACCGTATCCTGCGTGTCGTTGTGTGTGTGTGTGTGTGTGTCGTTGTGTGTGTGTGCCGTGTCGTGTGTGTGGTCGTCGTTAGTAAGCGAGAGGCGAGGTCAAGATGTGGAGGTGGAGCTACTTCGGGAGTAAGCTGGAGGGAGCCCAGGATGGCATCGGGATCGGCGAGCAGACTCTCGCGTCTGGGCTCCGCGCTGCCGAACGGGCGCGGCAGCACTACCAAACGCGGTCCGCCGTCGTCTTCGCCATCACCGCCATCATCGCCACCGTCTCGCTCTCGCCTCTTCTTCCGCTCCTTCTTCTCTTTCTTCTCCTTCTCGCTCTTCTTGTTCTTCGTCGTTGGTCCATCATTGTTGTTGTTGTAGCTGCTGCTGCTGTCTTCTTTGCCATCGTGGAAGACGACGGGCGGGAGCCGGTGGCGCGCTTCTTCTTCGACGAGGAGACGCACGGCCGAGCGCACCTTGTGGTCGGCGGACAGCGCGAACAGGAAGGGGTCGGCGCGGCCCACGACGGTGGCGCGCAGCTCGACCATCATGTTGGAGGCCGGTGTAGAGGAGGACGTAGCGAGCACTGGCCGTAGGGGGCCAGGCGAAGAGGAAGGCGAGGAAGACCGAGAAGATGAACGAGTAGTGGAAGAGCTCAGCATTCCTAGTGAATCTAGAATCGACGGAGAATTTACGTAGCGCCAGGCAAGGGGCAAGATTATGATTTTAAACCGACCAGAGGAACTGGATCAGGCCTCAGCAGCGCAGCATGCGGCGCCCAAGATCTTGACGTTGCGAAGAAGAAGGTGAACCGTTTTTCGGCTTGAATTTGAATAAAAAGAAAAGAAAAGAAAACCAAAATGTGTGGCCGGTCGTGTTGTTGGTCGTGTCGTGTGGTGTGTCAGGTGAGTCGCGTGTGTCGTGCCGTTGGTTGCAGTTTGCGCTGGTCGCTCGCAGGGCACGAGGGAGAAGAAAAAGAGCTGCTGGCAGTGAGGTTTATTTATGATTGAGCCGCGGCTGCACAGGCTCAGAGTAGGGTCTGTGGAAGTTGTTGGCACAGCAGTTGAGGACAAGACTATGGCGGAAACCAGTCTTGACTTTTCCATTGCCGTGCTCGAGCAGGGCAGAGGGAAGACCATGATGTCGCCAGCGATGAGGTGGGCGGACTGGCCAAGCCCCGGGAAGATGAGCTCTCCGCCAGTGAACTCGCCGAAGGGGATGACCACGCAGAAGCCCCAGCCAGCATCGGATTTGTCGGTGTGGAAGTTACACTCGATGTCCCAGTTCAGGACAAACTCGTGAAAGTCGGTGTTTGGGAGGACAGGGGAGCCATCGGGCCTGGTAGGGCAGATGGCAGCATACATCTCCATGACACGCGGCCAGTACTTCCTGAGCTCGTCGTTGACACGCTTGAAGAGTTCCGCATTCTGCTTGATGAAGGCTTGGGCGCCAGCGGTGTTGGTATCAGGCATGATATGCAGCTCTGTTGAACTCTTGCGCCATGTGCCTGTGGTTTTGCCGATGTGAGCTCCAAACAACATCAAAGAGAAAGAGCAGAGGTGATCAGAAGGGAGAGAGCACCACAATGTGCCGCCTTGGTCCTATGGCCATTTCTCTCCTTGTGTCGGGGCGTATTGCGCGCCTGGTAGACTGTGGGCTCCTCTGTTGTCATCCAATCTGTTGCCGTATCCAGCAGGGTCTGCAGCATCTCTGCAGTTAGCCTGTTCCTGAGGAGGCCCAGGCGCTGTAGACACAGAAACCGACACACAACAGTTGATCATGTGTGTAAGAGAGATGAGAGAACATCAGTGCAAAGAGAGAAGGGACTGCACCGGGGTGTCGCGTTGATCATACCACAGATAGGTCTCGCATACTGTTTCTGCTGGGACAGACCTGGTGATTCTGGCTCTCTTGTCCTCGCCCTCAAGAACCGGTCGCTCGATCTCCGCTTCCAGCATCTGTCTTGTGGTAGCGTCGCTCTCCGGGACTATAATCTTATAGTGGCGGGTCCTCTTCTTCTTCTGCTTGAGCTTCCTTCTTTTCCTTCCCTCCTCTGATCTTGCTTTATTCTTACGACAGGTTCTTGAGGGAACTACATGTGTGTGTGTGTGTGTGTGAGTGTTTGGAGCGGTCAGTGTGTGTGTGTGAGTAAAGCATGAATCTTGCGTCAAAACAAAACAAAACCTGAAGTCGTACCAGATGGAGCGGGTGGGGCGGGCGGCTGTTGCCCGACCTGGTTGACCTCGGCCTCGTTCTCCTCTTCCTCGGCCTCGTCATCGACCTCCTCGGCCTGCGGGGACACGGTCAGGGCACAGCCCGCGGGCAGGCGCACAACGACCTGTTGTTGTTGGTTCTCCTGGGTCTCTTCAGGCGCCTTCGCCTCGGCCTCGAGGTCCTGGTGGTCGCCGACGCCGTCGCGCCGGCGCAGCATCTCCAGGTCCCACTCCAGCTCCTCGTCGGCCTCCCGCATCTCATCGGCGCGCCGCTTCTGACCGCGGTTCAATCCCTGTAGACGCGCGGGGGCGTCAGTGGCCATCACGCCCGTCAAAACCAAGATCGACGATCTGTCGGCAGTCGGCGCGAACCTTGGTGGCCGGCGCCGCCTCCTGCTTCTCCAGCATGTCCAGGGCCTCAGGCGGCTCCTCCTCATCAGTCTCTTCAATGTCAACGTCGTCGTCACCCCCATTCGTGTTCCTGTGCTCATAATACAACAAAGCGAAAGGAGGTGATCGAGTGAGCAAACATGTAAGTTGTCACACCACCAGCGAACAGAAATGAGGCAGCCGTACATGTGCTGCTTCAACTGATTAATCTCGAGGTGGCCGTGCGTCGCCTGGGAAGAAGCAGCACTCGCCCTGTTCTTCCTGCGCCGGCTCAAAGCCTCGCTGTGCTTCTGAGAGAGAAAGAAGAGGGGGGGGGATGAGCTCTCAGAAGATGGGGGGGGAAACACAGCTCACAATCTCAACTTGTTGAGATTTATCAAGATGAATGAAACAGCGGGATTGTACCCGCAGCACGCGCAAAGAGCGCCGCATCGTAACACGAAGCGCGCTCACAGAATCGTCCGCTGGCTGTGCTGTGAAACCTGGCCTTCATGTTTGCGGAAGCGACACAGAACCCCTAAAAAGGTTTATGTCATGAAAAACGTAGTTTCGAAATTTCGCTGCAAAGAAACCTAAACCGTGCGCAAACCAAAGTCCTCCCTGCGGAAAAAACGAAAAAGATGGACGCAAGAGCGCAACAGATGAAGGATTTCTAAAGCGGTGGATTGCTAACCACGATAAAAAAGCCGCAAACCTCTGCGCTTTAGCCGCGAGGTCACACATGTATGCATATACGCTTAATGCTGATTCCTACATGCGTGTCGCAAGATTCCGTTCATTCATCTGTCAAACGCGCCGCCGCACAGACGCACCCAACCACAGCCGAGCACCACAGTTCACACACCCCTTGTGTATCAACCCCCCCATAGAGAGACCCAACCCTCCCCCACCTACCGTTACGACCGGTAAAAACTTTGGCGCCTTTTCCCAATGGCAGCCGCCGCCTGGCAACCAGACGCGTGCAACTCCGCTGCCGTGGTCTGTTGCTTTTGTAGACCAACATACCATAAATAAACCATCTCACTTTATGGTAACTGTAACCCGAAAAAAAAGAGTAGCGCCTTGTGGTCGTTCCGCTGTAATACCCAGACAGTACTACATGGAGGCGGAAGATGATTTCGAACCCCCGCGTACCCGTACCAGGGACCCCAACAGTAAGAGAAGTGCGGACGGAGACGACGCTATGGTAGCCTCCACCAAGAGACCGAAGAGCACGCCCCCGACCACTTTGGTGCGATCCCCGTACTTCAAGTTCTCTAAGACACCTACAACTTCGAAGGATAAGATGAGGAGGGCAGCGCCGAAGACCAAGACCAGTACCAACCCGACGAAACCCTCAGGTAAAACCATCCCCAAGACCCCTTCCCCGCCCCTGGGTCCACACCCACCACCCATATTGCCCCCAAATCTGACACCCCCCCAAACCCGGCACACTCCATTCCTGGTGCACCAGAGAATGAAGCTGACGTCAACCTGGGGCGTGAAGCCGGGGCGGTCACTGACAACAGGGGCGCTGACTCTACGTCAATAGCCAAGACCATTGACAGCCTGCCTGAGCCCGCCGGTAATGACATCCCCAAACCTCCTTACCTACCCTTGGACCCACATCCACCAACTATGTCGCCATCACGTCTGACACCACCCTCAAACCGTTCGCACACCATCATGGGCGTGTCAGATGATGAAGCCGACGCAAGCCTCAAGCGAGAGTCTAGGGCGATCTTGGGACCTGTCATCAACAACACGGGCGCCAATTTTGTGCCTATGGATGTGTCTACCCTGGGCCAGGGGATCCCCAATGCTGAGTTGGACTTGGAGGAGGGGGAGATACCTACAACCCCAGCGGCCGGCACAGCTGAGTCCAAAAGAGAGCGACAGCGTCGAGAGTGGGGTGAGTGAATGGCGGTCAAGCGGTCGTCAGCTGCTGTTCGGGGCCAGCCCAGGAAGCAAGCACCTCGACGTGTCGACGAGTCTACCTCTGCACGCCACAACACTGTGGGCGGACATCTCCACAAGGCGCTCAAGAGGGCGGAAATGCAGGAGAGGTATGCGGAACAGAAAGAGCTTGGTCAGGCTCACGCCGCTATGGTCAAACATTTCTCTGCAGACCATGCAAGGAGGGAGGAGGCAGAGGACAACGAGGTCAAGCATGTCGTCATAGTCAAGAACGTTGAGGCGAAGCGCTGGGGTGAGATCTGTGGACGCCTGGGTGCCATTGCTGAGTTCAACAAAGAGAGCTCCTACTATGATGATGTCAGCGAGCTTCTGGTGATTGTTGTGGCCAACGAGAGCTGCCGCGCAGAGTTCGCCTACAGTGGGTACCTCACCAGCCTTGGCAAGCTGATCAGGGTAAGCTGCATGCGCGCGGACATTGTCCGTTGGAAGGTCCAGCCTTTTGCGGTCATTTGTGATGCGCAGGAGATCACGGAAGACCAGGTCGTACAGTCAGTCAAGGACCTGGCCATCCCCCTCCTCGACGCACGCAAGTCAAACAACAGAGCTTGGATGGTGGTTGAACTCTTCAGCGAGGAAGACCTGGACCGCTACATCGCAACCCCCACCATCCTTAATGGCGTGAAGTGGTACAAGGCCCAGTCCTACCAATCATATGGATCCCTCTCACACTGAATGGGCTCTATCCTGTTTCACTACAGAGCTTCTATGGTAACCCCCTTCATGTATGATATGTTGCCCTACTTAGTGAACTTAAATAACACTCTACCTGACATGCAGGTCCAGAGCGTCCTCAAGGACCTCAAGATCACCAATGTAAGCGTCGAGATTATACGCAATCTGAACATGAACATCTCAAAGGGCTGCTGCTTTGCCCACTTCCATTCAGCGGAAGACCTGGCACAGCTCTACAACTCCCTGCCGCTAGTCATCGAAGGGCAGGAGATCACCATCAAGCCAATCAACAGAGCACGTGGGGAGGCGGCCAGACTCAATGCTGAGGGGGAAGAAGAGCGTCCTGGCAACCATCCGCGTCCCTGACACCACTGGGACACAGGGTTCCCTGGCCAGTAACAAGCAGCTCAAGCAATCGTCACCTACATCAATGGTTGTTGCCTCTATTAACATACATGGCGGATGGGAAACTAAAGTAAAGGATTTTATTGACATGGTCACAAACATCAAGCCCAACTTCATCTGTATCCAAGAAGTCCAGAAATATAAGGAACAGCAAGCTGCAGCCGCTAGTACCATGGGAAGCCCACAAGTGCAAAAGTTGGGGTTTAGTGCACAAAGCACTCACAAAAATGCGCAAGGGAGTGTGGGCGGCAGCTGGCGACTTGTGCTTGGCAAAGGGCATCCGTGTGATACAGAAAGCAGCATCTGTGTCCGGAGTGGAGTGGCCGCTAGAAACCACAGAAGAGAAGGTAAAGGCCTGGGTGAGGGATGTGCGTGCTGTCGCCAAGACAAAGATCAAAGACAGGGACTGCAAGACCAGAAACATTCTTCGGCGCACCATCGCCAGCAAAGTGGCTGCTCTACAAAGATTAGGAGATGAAAAAAATGAGGAATACTACACCAAGGTACACAGGGCTATGGATGCGCAGAAGTCCAGGTCTCTCAAAGCTGTTGCGTATGACAATGGTGGTGAGATTAAGGTTGCTACTGACCCAGAGGAGGTCAAGACCAGGACCAAGGAAGTGTGGGCTAGACAGTTCACAGAGCCAGTTCCTATGCAACGTGCTGGGTGGCAGAAAGATATACGAGTGTGGAACTGGGAGAAATACATCCAACCGGTCAGTGACAATGGTAGACTGCAGATTGGTGCTTGTGTTACACACAAGGAGCTTGAGCGTGCACTCCAGGAGGTCCAGAAATTTACAGCACCAGGCCCCACAGGAGAGACACCAGAGATGCTTGTCTGGCTGGATGATGGTAACAGGGACAGGTTAGTGCAGCTTTTCAATGACATCATAGAAGAGGGTGTGGTCCCAGAGGTGTGGAAAACTGTGTCACTGCACATGATCTACAAAGCTGGTAGCCAAGCAAACCCTCTCAATTACAGACCTATTGCCCTCATGTCGGTGGCGTACAAGTTATTATCTAAAATCATTACCTATAGGCTGTATGATGTGGTGGAATCTGAGGGCATTGTCTCCATTGCGCAGGGCGGATTCCACAAGCAGCGGTCCACCCTGAGCCATGTTCATGCACTGCACGGGTGTATTGAGGACGCCCAAAAGCAGAATAAACAAGTGTACATCACATATGTGGACATTGCCAATGCATATGACTCCGTACCTCACTGGGCAATGCTGGATATGCTCCACAAGTACAACCTGCCAGATAATATCTTACATTTTATAGGGGACGCCCTGACAGGCTCTAAGCTGGAGGTCCTCACTAAATACAGGCCCACAGAAATGGTTGATGTGGAGGTGGGGCTCAAACAGGGTGACCCTATGTCACCACTGTTATTTTCACTCTTCCTCAACCCAGTGGTATGTAAAATACATGAGGAAGAGAAAGGGTACCGATTGGGCACTGGGCCGGTAATTAGTATGCTAGCCTTTGCTGATGACATTGCCCTTGTCGCGGGAGGCGAAGATAACATGGGCAAGATGTGGGATGATCTCACCAATTTCTACTACACGTTTGGCATGCGGGTTAACATTGCCAAATCCGCCTACACATCCAATAGGCACATCTTAGGGGAGACGCTGGGATTTGTAAACCGGGACACAGGACACATGGAGCGACTGAAGGTGCTAGGGCGTCAGGAGGCATACAAGTACCTTGGAGTATGGATAGCAGCAGATGGCTGATGGACAGCACATATTGACCGCACAGATAAAAAGTTTAACAAGGCTGCTCACGCCATTGCTGCTAGGGGGCTCACAGCCAAGCAAAAGGTGGACCTGCTCAACTCCGTGGCCAACAAAGTTGTAGAGTATGGGCAGGGTGTTGTCATGTACCCAGCTACAGCTCTTGCGCGCATGGACATTGAGAACAAGGGACAGGTGAAGCGTGCCATGAAGGTAGGGAGCAGAGCGCCATCCGCATGGCTGTGGGCCAGTGCCAAAAACGGGGGTATGGGATTGGAGTCCATGGTCAAAGCGCAGGACCGTAACCTGACCGCCACTGTGGTTGCAATAGTCGTGAACAGCCCAGACTCTCTGGGAAAAAGGGTCATCCTGAACAACCTACGCCTGTATGGGGACCCCACACGCCAGCGGGTCACCACGCCAGGAGGAGCAGCTGCCATGCCACCAGATCCCAAGATGCCCACTACTGGAGCCGTCCTTGGTGCGCTTAGCCGCCTAAACTTGGAAATTATTGTGGAGGAGGAGGCACAACTGGAGGGACACTCCATACCCACAAGCAATGGTGCCAGCAGAGCAGACACAGCACTCTGGCGCAGTGAAGTCATGCGGCGGAAACTGGCGGGTCTCCAACTACAACTTGTGCCAACTGCACAGGATACCAATGAAGAGACGTCCACCAGCCAGTGGGCCAGAAACCTAGCTGCGTCTCTCCCCCCACCCATGCCTGCAGCCAGATGGTCTAACAACCACTTAGCCACAGGGACCCACGCAGCTACCCCAGAGTTGATGGATAGATCACATGACATTGTCATAGAGGAAACAACGGGCGGTTTGGTGCCAACCTGTGGAATTAAATCCCTAGTGGTGGAAGGCCCACATGGAGCTTCATCCTACCATGACGACAAAGGCCAGCTGTGTTGCTGGGTGGATGGCTCAAAAAAAGGAGATAAGGCGGGAGGGGCGGTGTACTTTGGGCGTAAGAACCCACTTAACCAGGTGTTCCAAGTCACAGGGACCCAGTCCAGCTTCAATGTGGAGCTGCAGGCTGTGGAAATGGCCCTCGCAGTGGCGCCGCCAGAGAGCTTGCACATCTTCTCTGACAATAAAGCTGTTTGTGGCCTAGTGGGGAACATGACATTGGGCCACAGGTGGATCACGCGCAAACCCACACTCTGAAAGGTGGCCACCAAAGTCTATGAGAAAGAAGGTAGAGGAGAAACGGTTACAATCACCCATGTGTTCAGTCACATGGAACGAAAGGCCAATCTTGGTAGTGCGGAGAGCAGAGCCCGCTGGGGGGTGAAAATCAAGAAATGGCTGGAGAAAATGGGGGACATGGCAGGCATGGTCATCCGAGGCAATGAAGCCGTGGATGCAATGGCTGCGGACGCCATTAAGGAGGACGACCAGGTGCAGTATGTCAAGCTCGAGGAGGGGGGCTGTCATCTGTACTGGAACAAAAACCCTTTTGAAGAGGAAACACACAGAGTGGCGCGAGAGATGAGTGATGGCGACGCCAATAAGGAATGGCGGAAAGCGCTTCGGTGGGATGAGAAAACCGACGCCACGTGGAGCCTCAAGGCCTCCCTCACACCGATGGTACGCCCAAGACACTACGAAGAGCGTGTGCTCAACTGCCTTACCCGTTACCGGCTGGGCACTACAGTGCTGGCGTCCCAGGTAACCCAGGGGTGGGGCACAGAAAGAGGCGGAGCCCTACCCGAGGAACTGGAACGCTGGTACGGCGGAGGTGTCTGCAAGTGGTGTGAGATGAACCGCGGGGTGCGGGTACAGGAGCACAACCTGCACATGCTAGCCCTATGCCCAGCGTATGAGGAACTCAGAGTACAGGCGATCAAGGAGGTCTCAGCGCTCTACCGGGGACTCGTGGGGAAAAAAGCCCAATGGGTCAAATGGATGGGAGTGGATGCAGTACGCATGTGGACGGGGATCATCCCGAAACCGTGGTATCAAAAAGCACGTCGTGCGGCTATGGCCAGAGGAAACCCAAGTTTAGCTGACAGGTGGGCTGCGGAGCATGTGCTAGTCATAGCCTGTGTTGTCACAAACATGCACCACAGCCGGCTAAGATGGATGAAAGAACAAGGCCTGTTCAGTGCCATCGCACAACAAATCGTGGACCCGGGGGCGGACCCACCTGCAGACGGGGAAGGTTAAAACAGGGCCAGCTTGGGGCTGACCCTTGGGGGGGGGACGGGGGGGCGGGGGTGGGGAGGGGCAGGATGTGGGGGTACAAGACAAGGTGGGGGGATAAGGGGGGAGCGGTGGTGAGGGAGGGATACTGCAGGAACATACCGAGCGGGAGTCACCAGCGAGAGACCGACACGAATGTGGACGCGGCACGAGCAGCGGCGAGTGAAGAAAGGCAGCAACAGCTACGGGAGGACGGCACGGGAGGACGGCACGGAGGAGACGAGGCGCGAGAGCGTAGGCAGAGCAGCGATGAGGGGTGTATGCGCACAGGCGGACATGCCCCCGGCCACGAATGGGCAAGCCGGGTGCCAGTGAGTTTTATTAGCTCCCGAGCAGGCTGGAACGGGGTTCGAACCCCAGCCCTCCAGTACGGAGGCAGTTCCTAGGCTCGTAAATAAACCGTACACAAACAAACAGTCCTCCCTGCGAGGAAAGTCATTTTGATACTACGACGAGGATTGGAAACGACGAAACCGCTCTCGGTACTGGTTTGCTCAAGGTAGGCCAACAGCTCGTTGTCGATCCCGTCCTGCACCACGAAAACACGACGCCGATGGTTGGTGTGTGGGTGTCGCGTGTGTGGTGTATTGCAGTGGTGAAGCGTGTGGCGTGTGGCGTGTGGCGTGTGGCGTGTGGCGTACGTTCTCCTCCTTGAAGCTCGCGAAGCCAAAGTCGGCACCTTCACGTTCCAGTTCTCGTCCAGCAGGTTCGACGGCTTCAGACGCACGATCACCTGGGCATACACAAAACGCGTGAGTTCATCTCCTATCTGAGACCACACACGAGACACACAGCGCGACACACGACACACGACACACATGTCACGGCGGTGTGATGTACCGATGATTAGAACGATATTGGGGTGAGCTCGGAGAGGAAGGCCATCTCGGCGGCATGCGCAGCTGGGCGAGCTTCTGCTTGATGAACTTCTTTACCGCCAGCGCCACGCCCTTTCGCCTGCCCTTGTACACGGCGCCGTAGCTGCCGATGCCAACCTGGTCGCCGAGCTGGTCCTCCTTGAAGTCGATGATCCAGCGGCACAGGTCGGCTGATGCCAGGGAGTGATCCTCCTGGAACAGCATGCCCTCGCCCACGCTCTGCAGCATCTCGCAGTCGCTCTCCGTCGAGGCCTGTCCGAGTGCGTGCGAGCCTGACCAACGGTGAGCAACACACATGAACACGCACACACACACACACACGCACAGCCGCACACGCACACGCACGCGGTCCTACCAGGATGAGCACGCGCAGGGGTCCTAATGGGACAAAGGCTGAAGCGGCCGACCTTCCTGAGCCGCTGTAGCTCGCCTGAATGCCAGGATTGGCCAGCACGTCGCCGAACGTAGCAGCAAAAGTGTCGCCTGCGATGCTCTCCGCACACACGCCCACGCCCACGCACGCCCACGCACCGCGCACACGCGGGAACTGGTACCGGTCGGGTAGGGCTCCTCGTCGGTGGAGTTGTCGCTCCAGATGCCACGGATAACTCCGGCGTGGCCGACTTCGTGATGTCCCCTGCACGCTTTGATTAGCCAAACAACAACATCATCATCATCATCATCAACAACAACAACAACAACATACAGACAGCCATTCCCTGGCCTGGAGTTCCCAAGTGCAGGTTGGTTTGTGCCCGTCACCCTGCGCCACACAAACCAACAACATAAGAGTTTGTAAGAAAGATGAGAGTCAAATATAAACACCACATACTACTTGCAATCTTGATGAAGTGACCATACCTGTTGAGGAATGAGCTTCATACGAGGTCTGTTCAGCTTGAGAGACTGCTGGTGCAACAGTCAACTGTAGTTGTGTGGGTTGGCCCCTGTCTGTCATCAGCCAGGACTGATTGCGTTTGCAATCCGAACGCATGGCCCGACATAGCCCACCAGAGATCCATGCTGTCAATTGCGTTTGCAATCCGAGCGCACATGGACTCCAACCCAACACTACTACAGTGTAGACTGCTGCACTGGCATCACCGTCGGCTTGAGCCCAAATGGTAGAGCCGTCTGAAGTGACTCACACGACGCACACGACACACAGAACACGACATAAAGAGCAGCAAGCACAAAGGCAAAAAAAAGCGAAGAAGAAGGGAACCTTGGAGCGTCGGTGGCATTCAGGTAGGCCTCCATCAGTGCCAGCCGTACCCGCAAATCCCAGCCCGCCACAGGTCCACTGATAAAAGACGGCTAAGCAAACGATTCTTGTGTGCGTGCGTGGCCGCACGCGGTCGTGTGTCGCGTGAGTCGTGTGTGGCGTGTTTGTCGTGTGCCGTGTGTCGTGTCGTGTGTGTGCCCTTACGCTCCACACTAGCGTGTTGAATTCGTTCATTGTTTGCCGTGTGCCGTGTGTGTCTCGGTGTCGTGTGTGTCGTGTGTGTCGTGTGTGTCACAGACCTCGCTCTTGCGCTGGGCGAAGGTGTCGAAGGTGCTTGGCGTTGTAGGCGCCCATGCCGCTCTCGCCCACGCCGCCGAAGGGCAGTCGGGACACGCCACATGCAGAGGATCGCGTCGTTGATCGCCACACCGCCTGTCCACCTCTATCAGCCACTGTGCCTGTGTCGTGTGTCCTGTTCGCCGTGTGTGTCGTGTGTCCCATTGCCGGGTGTCGCGTGTCGCGTGCGTACCGCCAGGGCCAGAAAGCCAGGTGCTGTCCGTGTTCGGTGGGAATGGATCCTGCACGCACCTGCGCGAAACCACGCCGCCGAAGGGGTATGCCACATACATGATCGCGTCGTCGATTGCCACACCGCCTGTCCACCACCCCTCTATCAGCCGCTACGCTTGTGTCGTGTGTCGTGTGTCGTGTGTCGTGTGTCGTGTGTCGTGCGTGTCGCGTGTGTCGCGTGTGTCGTGTTTGTCGTGTGAGGGGAGAGAGAGGTGTACCGCCGGACTTGAGGGCGCTTTGAATAGGAGGAAGCTCAGCCGGGGGGGGGTCCACGCCACCATAGTTCCGCTGCGAAAAGACCGCTATAACCAAGATAATATAGCCAAGATAGTATAACCAAGATAGAGAACCAGTCGCTTGGACAAGATACCGAGCCAAGTCTCGTAATATACCAAGTCAGTCGCCCATACAAGACAATATCGCCAAGTCGATCAGACAATATCGGTATTAATATTTCACCAAGTCACTTGCTGCTCGCTCACGGCTGTCTCATCTGTCCCCCCCTCAACCAGATTGTCTCACCAAAACACAAGGAAGAGAAGTCAGTACCTGTTATATGACAGGTAAATGTGTGGTGGTGGTCGCGCAAGGCGGATCATTTGGGACCGTGCTAGTGATTCCTAGTGTTGTCAAACCCATTGTGGGGACAACAGAAGCAGGAAACCAATGTGTCCTGGCACTAGCCTAGAGAACCTCCCCATTTTTTGAAAACCTTGCAGTGGAATTGCAAAATCCATCTCCCTCCCCTTGATCATCGATGGATTTGAGCAATTTCAAAATACAAAATGGGGAGGGGAGAGTAATGCGTACCAAGGGCGCTGCTATCGTCCGGAGGGCTGGTACGGTCTTGCGGCGGCAACCCATGGGGGATTCGAGGGCCGAGGGCAAAGAGATAAGGCTGAGTCGCTTTTTCCATTTTCGAGTTCTCCTATTTTGTCTTCTTTGATTAAAAGACAAAGAGAATAATACCGTTTCACGCCCGAAAGATGGCGATAAAGACGGCGCGATAGGACCGGCCGACGCGGCGTGGTTCCTCACCCTGGGCCTCGACAAAACCACATTGAGCGAGATTACCCCCCCCCATCTGGATCAACCTCTCAAACAGAATTATAATTAGTGATCAACCTCTCAAACAGAATTATAATTAGTGATCGTTCCGTGTAGGTGTTCCTATTTATTATTCGTTTATATTTATATAAATTATAACAATAAGATGGCAGTAACGAGGAGGTGCAATCGATCACGATGCAGGGGGCGGTGCAGTGCGGACTGCTGCTTAACTGGTTGCAGCACGTGGTGGGCTTCTTCGGCGACCCTCTGCGGAGGCTGCTCCGCCTGACGAAGCCCCGCTCTTCGCCGGCGAACCAGACGGCCCTCCTCCTGCACCCGAGGCCGCGCACAAGCTCATCATCCAGTTCCTCCTCACGGACCACCTTCTGCCCGACCCTCTCCAAGAAGAGGTGCTGCTGCTAACTCCCCGCCCAATCTCGCGGCCTGCATCAAGGCGCACGCGCGACGCGCCGCAACACGACACGACACGACAAGAATGAACTGAACGGACATAGGCGTGAAAGTGGTACTTCACGCTCGTTGGCGGCACGCAGTACAAGATGCTTTTCTCCGTTTACTCTGTGACACATATCTTTTCCTCGTTGACGTTTACATCGGTACCTTCCCCGCATCGCATCGTTAGCTGTTTTCAACTGCATCTCACATATATTTGTGAACTTCGTGTAGTGTCGTGTCGTTGGAGGTGTTGTGGCAGAAGAAGGCCGCGCTTGTTCCGGGAGCTGCTTGGCACCACTTGCAAACACGATTGTAGAGGAGTGGAGCAGCTTGAAGAGGTCGGGTCGGTTGAGGGCATTCCGATGATGAATGTGCAGCAGCTTCAGGTGCTCACAATCAAGACACAGAGAGATGTGTGTGAGTACATATCACGTGGCAAAAGGGTCAAAGAAAGGGATAGAGAGAGAGAGAGCATTTGAGAGAGCAATCACGCACCATTGTGTTTTCTGGCCCTTCCCACCTGTAGACTGTAAATATCTAAATTGCAGGGAGCACACATGAATCTACAATAATGGGAGGGTGCATGGGAGCAGCAGAGTGCGGCATCAACATGCACATCTGTGGCCTATGTGGAGAGTAGAAGTGGGGGTCAGAGTTTACACACTGTTGAGGTAGAGATTTTAAACTCTTGCTCCACCAGTAAGTGATGAGATCAACTTTGGCCAAGAAGAGGCAGAGGTGTCGCACCTCGGCATGGTGGAGCAGGGGCTTGTTGTTCCACGTCTGCAAGCGCCTCACCATTCTGTCGTTGAGATTCTTCTCTCTTGTATACACCCCAGGTAAGAACGTAAACAAACACGCAAGCACTACAATTCGGCGACACACGCGGATAGTTGTCCTTGACGTCCCTCCCTTGTGAGACGAGCGTGCCATTGTCTCTTTGTCTCCCGGATAGGCTGGAGCCCACCTGCCCCTTCGACCAGAACATCGTGGCCACCACAGAATCGCAAGGAGAAGTCAGCAACGTCACTACGCATTGCTACATTGAGTCGTGAGGATTAGAGTGTAGAGATCAAAGTTGGTATCTCTTTTTCCTTTTTCGAATTCTCCTCATTTTTTTATTTATTCCAAAACAAGAGAAAAATTCGGTTTGTTTATTTTTTCCACGCCCCCGTGAGATGAGCGCAGGCGGATTGGTCTCGCTGAATGGAGCCGAAAGGTCCCGCTACGAGGCGCTCTTCCTCAGCGCCGATGGCGATAAAGATGGCGTGATAGGATCGGCTGACGCGGCGTGGTTCCTCACCCTGGGCCTCGACAAAACCACTTTGAGCGAGGTTACCCCCCCCCCAATCTGGAGATCAACCACTCCTCCTCAAAAAGCCATCTTCTTGTTGTTGTTGTGCATGTGTGAATGATTGCTTTCGAAGGTTTATTCATCATTGAGTCTCTACTACTCGGTTCGTAGGTGTGGCGTCTCTCGGATGGCGAGAGGCGAGGATTCCTGTCCAAGGAGGAGTTCTTCCTCGCGCTACGTCTGGTCGCTCTGGCCCGTCTCTCCCGCCCCCTTTCCATCCAAGACGCCTCTCCCCTCACCGCGCCCCGTACGCCTTGCTCTCCCATCATTTTACACTTTTATTTTATTCTTTATCTTTCCATTTGTATTTATTTATGTATGTATGTGTTTGCTTGCCCTATTTATTTATTCACATATATATATATATAATTTAATATTTGTGTGCTCCAGAGTTCAACGTGGCGGGCGGACATCAGGCGTCGCCTTCGCCAGCTCCCTCTGCGGGCACGCCCACGCCACCGCTGTCGCAGGGCGCCAGGCTCGACTCAATGCCGTCCTCAGCCACCGACGTGCGCTCTTGCCTTCCCTCTCGTGTCCGTGTGTGTCGTGTGTCGTGTATGCGTGTATGCGTGTGGTGTGCGTGTCGTGTGTTGTGTGTTGTGTGCGTGTCGTGCGTGTGTGTTGTGTCGTGTATGGCATGGCGGTCGTTAGATGGACGACCAACGTTCTCTGCTGCTGCAGGAGTGGAGCATCACGCCGACGGAGCGCGGCAAGTTTGCAGAGATCTTCGAGAAGGCCGACGACGACAAGGACGGCTTCGTGACGGGTCCGCAGGCGCGGCAGCTCTTCTCCCGCTCCGGCCTCGACATGGAGGACCTCGGACGCATCTGGTCCGCAGCCCTCCCCGCTGAAAACACACACACACACACACACACGACACACACACCACACGCACGACACACAACACGACACACGGCGCACAAGGCGACACACAACTCGACGCGACATTCGATGCGTGTGATGGGCCGATTCTGACTTGACGTCACACCAGGGCGCTGTCCGATGTGGGCCAGGACCACAAGCTGGACATGGAAGAGTTCATCATCGCCATGTACCTCATCAACGCCCGCCTCAAGGCACGCTACACCGCACTAGCGCTTTCTTTCATTTATTGTTATATGTATTTATATATATTTATATATGTCTGTATATGTATATTTTGTGTTTTACTTATTCTAATATTGATTTTATTATTTTGTTGGCTGTGCTTCACTGACTTGTCGACTGCCTTCGCTTCCTCTTCGTTCTTCAGGGAAGAGTGCTCCCGCCGGTGCTCCCGCCCAGCCTGCTCGCTCCCACGTCCGACGGAGGCCACCCGCAGCACCACCAGGCGCAGCCCCAGCCGCATTCCCAGAATCCGCTCCAGCAGCAGCCGCAGCACACACAGCAGCAGCCGCCGCAGTCCCCGCTGGCGTCGCCGGCTCCAGCGCCCGTGCCGGCACAGGTGCCGCACTCGCCGCAGCCGCATTCCGACCCGCACAGCGCCGACGAAGAGGTGCGCAGTTGTGGGCGCTTCCCACCTGTGTGTGTGTGTGTGCCGAGTGTGTTCCATTCCACACATTCCGATGTGAGAGACGACGTTGGACTGACGCAACGGTGTGCAGCAATGGGTCATGACCGCCGACGAGCGCGGCAAGTACGAGGACGTCTTCTTCAAGGCCGACGACGACAAGGACGGCTATGTGTCAGGTACACACGACACACGACACACGACACACGACACACGACACACGACACACGACACACGACACACGGCACACGGCACACGGCACACGGCACACGACACTCGACACACGACACACGACACACGGACGACAGGCGAGCCGCACACGACACGACCACGTGATCCACCACCGCGACCGCCACCTTAATCTCTGCCTGCGCCACCACGACCGCTGCCTTAACATTGCCTGCTGACGACGTGTTTGGTGTGTGTCGTGTGTGTCGTGTCGTGTGTCGTGTGTCGTGCAGGTGAGCAGGCGCGCACGATGTTCTCGCGCTCGCAGCTGCCGTTGCCCGACCTCGCCAAGATCTGGTCCCTCGCCGACTACGGCAAGGACCACCGCCTCGACAAGGACGAGTTCATCATCGCCATGTACTTCATCAACGCCCGCCTCAAGGTACCTCCCGTGTTCTCGTGTGCTATTGTGCGTGTGCGTGTGCGTGTGCGTGTGCCATTGGTCGTTGATCGTGTCGTGTCGTGCGCAGGGACGTCGACTGCCCGACGTGCTGCCGCATAACCTGGTGCCCAACGGGGCGGTGACACAGCCAATGGGCGCACTCCACGCGTCGCTGTCTTCTTCGCATTCCTCGCTCAACACATCGTCGTCCGCCGCTGTGGTCGCGCCATCACCGCCCGGCAGCAGCGGCCGCGGGCCGTCGGCCTACGGCAGCGCCGGCGCCCCTCCCGCCGGCTCCAACCTCGCCCACGTTGCGTCGGCGTCGGGCTCCTTCGGCAGCCTCGACCACCTCCACCAACAGCAACACCACCACCAGCAACAGCAGCAACAACAGCAGCACCCCGCTGCCCCATCGTCTTTCCGCTCCTCGCTCCTCGACGACAACGTACGCCATGATCCGATCCATGTGTGTGTCGTGCCGTGCGTCGTGTGTCGTGTCGTGCCGTGCGTCGTGTGTCGTGTCGTGCTGACGTGTGCGCGATGCGCGCGTGCGCAGGGTTCGCGGGAGAATGTGATCCCGAGCGGCTCGTCGGGTGCGCCGTCGCCCCTGATGCCGCCCACGTCGTCCGGCTTCGCGCTTCCCTCGCCGCCCGCCAGTAGCGGCTCGTTAGCGATGGGCGGTGGCTTCGGCCCGTCGGACTCGTTCGACCACCATCACCACCTGGCCTCGCCCGCGCGCCCGCCCACCAGCGGCGGCGCTCGCCTGCCCGCTTCGCCCCAGCTTCACGCCTCCCTTCAGTCCGCCACCCAAGTATGTCGCACACGCTTCACCGCACGACACACACGACACGACCAACGACACAGAGGAGCTCACGTCGCGCGTGTCATGTGCGTGGTGGTAGCGCGAGGGCGAGATGAAGGCGCGCATCGACGAGGTGAAGAACCTGGCGCAGCAGCAGTACAAGATCAACGACGAGTTCCAGCGGCAGCTCGACGCCCAGCTCGCCAGAAACGCCCAGCTCGAGGAGGACCTCAAGCGCGAGGTACCCGCTCGCGTGCTTGTCGTGCCGTGCATCACGTGTGCTCACACGCGCGAGTGTCGTGTGTGTGTGTGTGTCGTGTGTGTCGTGTGTGTATGTCGTGTGTGTGTGTGTCGTGTGTGTAGGAAGAGCGGGCCGACCGGCTGGCCGAGGAGTCCCTGACGCTGTCGGCTGAGTGGGAGGCGAGGAAGGAGGAGGGCGACGCCGCCGCGGCCAAGCTCCAGGCCGCCGCCGAACGCTCCCTCGCCCACGCCACCAAACTCCAGGAGGTGCGTGTGCGGTCGTGCGTGTGCGTGTGCGTGTGCGGCCCGAGTGTGCGATGACGCTAACAACGGCAACCACCGACGACGACGACGACGACGACAGGTGCAGGGACGGGTGCAGGAGCTGGCGGCGGTGCTTGCGGCGGAGAAGGAGAAGCTGAAGAAGGCCGAGAAGGAGGCCAAGCAGAAGAAGAAGGCCGCCGCCAAGGAGGAGAAGGAGCTCGACGCCCTCAAGGCCCAGATCGCCACCCTCCAGCAGAAGAAGGCCGACGCCGCCGCCACACGTACACACCCCATCGTGTGTCGTCTAGTGCTACGTGTCGTGTCGTGTCTTGTCTGATGTGTGTGTGTCGTGTCGCGTGTCGCGTGTGTGTGTCGTGCGGCAGGAGGGGCGATGGAGAATCGGGCAGCGGCGGCGCGGGAGGCGGCGCAGAAGCTGCGGGAGGAGGCGGCACTGCTGGTCGACGAGGTGGCCGCTCTCGAGTCCGCCGTGGCCGCCCAGCAGCAGGCCGTCGACGACAGCGACCAGCAGCAGCACGCCCTCAACGAGCAAATCAATCGGGTACCACACGGCACACGGCACACGGCACACGGCACACGGCACACGGCACACGGCACACGGCACGACCTCACGATATCCGGCGGTACACGACAACAGTTGGAGCAGGAGAAGGAGCAGATGCGGGCATCGCTGGCCGCGCTCGAGATCAAATCGCAGCAGCAACAACAACAGCTCCTCCAGCAGCAACAGCTCCTCCAGCAGCAGCAACAACAGCAGCAGCAACAGCTGCAGTACCAGCAGCAGCTGCAGAGCTCGTTGAGTGCGACCACGCCGCCGCGGTCGGGTCCGAGTGCGCTGCCCTCCTACGCCGGTGCGGCCACGGCCAGCCCGCCCGCCTCTTTCCACGGTAACCCGCCCCTTCCCCCCCCCGCCGCCGCTGGTTTTGCTCGCGGGGCCGCCTGCTGATCACCGCACCACACACACACGACACACACGACACACACACACACACACGACACACAGGTGGTAAGGTCAACGGAGGAGGCAAGCCCCTTCCCTCCACGCCCCAGCTCGTGCCCGACGTACGCACACCCTCCTCTCCCCCCCCTTCGTTTGCCCCAGCGGACTGGGAGGCTCACAGCTGCAAATCTCCTCCTCCTCCTCCTCCATTACCACAGCACTTCGGTAGCCCTTCACCCCTTCGCGCCACCTCGCAGCCGGACCCGTTCGGAGGCGCGGACTTCTTTGGCGGCGGAGGCGGAGGCGCGTCGTCGTCGTTCATGCAGCCGCAGGGCGGCGGCGAGGAGGTGAACTTCTTCGACATGGCGGTGGGCGCCGGAGGCATCGACCCCGTGGAGACGCGCGACTTCTTCGGCGGCGGCGGTGGGGGCGGCATGAACATGGTCTCGATACCGCCACCGGCTGCCTCGGGCGCATCGTCGGCGGCAGCCGCCGGCGGTTTCGCCTTCGACCCGTTCGCGGCCTTTGAGCAGCAGCAGCAGCAGCCCTCCGCCGGTGCGGGACCCGCCACCTTCTTCTCCAGCGATGACGCCTTTGCGTGAGCGGCTGTGCAGGCCGAGCAGCAAGGGACGCTGGTGGTGGTGCTGCAGCCAGTCTCGATTTTGTGATGTTGCTTTTGGTTGATCTTTATTTTCACTTTGTCTTCCTTCCTCATCTTCGCGGTTTGGTTGCGTTGTTGAGCTCTTTGGCTGCGGCCCAGATCGTGGGATCTTGAAGTTGCTCTGCGTTGTAGGTTTTCACCACGCAAAACAGCACACGAGGCGTGAGCACAGAACACAACGCGCACACATCGCACAACTCCATCATCGTCGCGTCAACGCAAGCACGGCGAAGGGGAGTGTGTGGGCACCTGCTAGCAATTTGAAGGTGCTCATGGCCGCGTGCGTGGGGGGAATACGATCGTGGCGCATCCGGGCCAGGAGCTTTTTGCAGTGGTCGTACTCCTGTTGTGTGTATGTGTGTATGTGTGTGTGTGTGTGTGTGTGGAGAGACACTAGACCGGTGAGCAGCCCGACACACGCCACACGCAACCACGCGCTTGCCGGAAGGCGAACGTAGGGATATGTTTGGGATGGAGGAGGGTTCATGGTGGGTGGGGTGGGGTGGGATGGGGCGTACCCGTCGGTCGTGGTGGTACCGCAGGAAGGTGGTGTAGATGAACTCGTTCGGCTCGATGTCAGTCCCCGCCTTCGTTCGGTTGAGCAGCTCATAGGCCTGTGTGCACACACGCGATTAGGCACCGTGAGCGGTTAAAAACACGCGGCACGACACGACACGACACACCACGCGCAGCACGACATGCGCACACGTGCCACGGTAGAAGGAATCGAAAGGAGAAGTGGGGGGGCTCACCTTCTCTTGCTGATCGTTGTGGAGATACATGTAGATGAGTGAGTTCATAAAGTGCGAGTTCAGCTTCAGGCCCATCTTTCCCATGTCGCGGAGCACGTTCATTACCCTGCGGGGAAAGCGGCGGTGGATTGGGCGGTGGTGAGACACGAAGACACGCAACACGCGACACAACAAAACGCATTCTAAATTGTAACGGAGGGGAGAGCGCGGCGCGCACGTACTCCTGTTCCGTGGTGGGAGATATGAACTGCACGAGGCTCGTGACAACTGCTCCGAATAGGTGCATGGCCGTGCGCTTTTCTAGCGTCGACTGCACGAGGAGCGGGGCAAGAAGAAGAACAACAACAACAACAACAACAAAGAAGAGCGAAGAAGAACAAAGAAGAGGCCGGAGGTTCAGCCAGTGGTGGCGAGCGAGCGCGCCGAGAGGGACAGACAGACGTACGGTGCCAAACCGCTGCTTGAACTGGTGGTAGCCGTGCAGGGTGGGGCCGTGGCCATGCACCTTAGCGAACCGGCTGCACGCCTTGAAGTATGCTATGTAGGTGACCGGCGTGGGCTCGACGCCTGCGGGAGGTGACGACCAGGCATTAGCGTTCACGCGCGCGCGTGCGGCACACGACACGCACGACACAGACATGACACAGCCGAAGGCGATGTGCGCGTACCGGCGTCCGTCATCGCCTGGAGCGCGGCCGTGATTCGGGTTGGACTGGTGGCCGCGGACAGCAGCGCCGTGTAGTGCGACGCGCTAGGTTCTGTGATGAGTATGTGGTGTGAGTGAGTGTGTAGAGAGAGAGAGAGAGAAAGATGAAAGATGAAAGATGAGCGCTTGCGTGTAGAGTTGTTTCGTGGAGAAGGATGAGCGGCGTACTGAGGCCTCGGGCTTGCATTCGGGAGATGATCTCTTGGGCACGCATATCAGCTTCTTGGTGCACTACTTGCGCGCAGGCAGAGAGGAAGGAGAGGTAGACCGATGGCGTGGCCTGATCGTGGTGCTCGAGATCGTCGAGTAGCGCGAAGGCCAAATCGAGCCTTCGCAAGCTGGCCAGGTAGACAAGGAACGCCCTCCAGGACTCGCCCGGCGTCTTGGCGGCTATGTTCTTCGTGTGGTGTAGGAACTGCGCATCGACAGACGCGCTCCGGTCCAGCGTGTGCGTGACAAAGGCCCGATTAGATGTTGAGAAAATCGAAGTAGAGGAAGAAGACGGATGCACAAGGCAGATGCTCGTGCCCCGCCGGGAGAAGCCCGTAGAGACAGAGCGAGAGGTGAGTAGCGCGGAAGAGGAAGATGGAGCCATCGAAGACAGCAGCTGGCTGCAACGGCCACCGGAAGATGAACCGACGCGATGAACAGCCACTGTCGGTGCCCATGCTCTTCCCGATCGTGGCGTGGCACGCATCATCAAGCAAACAACTAAAGATGTGTTGAAGTATTAGGGAAAGACGGGGAAATAGATTTTTTTATTTTCAATTTTTATTAAAAAATACAAAGCAGAACAAGGACCACAGCCACGCCGACCATGGCCCGTCCTCCTCCTGCTGCTTCTTGGTCCCCTTCCGCCTTCGTTCCGTCAATCCGGGCTCTCGTCCTCCTCCATCATCACCGTCGTCGTCCCACAAGAGCGGATTCCCCACGGATCCCTCAACGCGCTGCTGCGCTCGGTCTTCTTCATCGTCATCATCATCGCCCTCATCCCTGGTCTCGTCTGTTTGATGGTGTACACGATGACCGCCCGTCTCGTCATCGTCGTTGGCTTCGTCGCCGCCGCCGCCGCCGATCGTACCCTCTTCATAGCGCCAGTACCGCAGGATGGGCACCACGTCGTCATCCGCGTCCGCCGCCGCTGTCAGCGGACTTGCAGAAGAAGAAGAAGAAGAAGCCAGCTTCATCGCCTCCGCGTGCTCCTCGCGGAAGGCCGCGAGAATGCCGGCCTCGCGCTCGCGATCTCGCATCCGCTCCTCGGCCTCGGCCTCCTCCCAGTGTCGGTTGAGTCCGACGTGCGCCCACTGGTCCGCCGATCGCGCCTTGCCCGCCATCATGGCTCCGATGGCATCACCACCACCAGCAAACTGCAGTCGGCTGGCAAGCCTGCGGTCCTTTTCGCGGCGGCGGGCGATGCCCTTGAGCCGACGGTCGAGCCGGTCCAGGTAGAGCTCCCGCTCGGCCTGGTCGGCGGCGCGCCGCTCGTCGTCGGTCATGAAGGCCGGCGAGGAGGGGAACACGGCCGACGCCAGCTCGTCGGGCAGCTGCACCTCGCGGTAGTGGGCGGCTGTTGCGGCTGCTGGCTGCCTCGAGGCCGGCGCCGAAGAAGAAGAAGAAGCAACCGCGCCTGCGGACATGGCGCGACGAAGCTGCCCTGCTGGGGCAACCAAGTGCGTGGTGGGAAGAGTAGTGGTCGACCACTCGTCGGTGGGCGAGTAGTGGTGCTTAAAAAAGGTGCCCCCTCCCTCTTCTTCTCTGGGCACTGCCGCAAGTTGGACCACCTGGCTGGTCTCCTCTTCTCGCCACCAGCCCTCCTCCATCTTGGCAGAAAACGATGAATCTCAAAATTGGTCTTATTTATTTTGATTTTATAGGCCTAGCGTGAACAGTAATTGTGGGATTGTATTTTCCTTTTCCTTTTGTTTTCGCCTGCCGCGGCAAGATTCGCTTTGTGTCGCCTGAATCGAATCGAAGATGAAGCTCGTCCGCTTCTTGATGAAATTGTCCAACGAAACGGTGACCATTGAGCTGAAGAATGGCACGATCGTCCACGGCACCATCACCGGCGTCGACATCAGCATGAACACCCATCTCAAGGCCGTGAAATTGACCCTCAAGGGCAAGAACCCCATTAACCTCGACACGCTCAGCATCAGGGGCAACAACATCAGATACTACCTTCTTCCCGACACCTTGAACCTCGACACCCTCCTGGTCGACGATACGCCGCGGCCCAAGCCCACCAAGAAGGTCGGCGAGGCGGGTGCGGCTGGACGAGGGCGCGGCAGGGGTGCCCCGAGGGGACGTGGCGGCGGCAGGGGAGGGCCGCGCGGTGCCGGTGGCCCCTCGAGAGGACGCGGCAGGCGCTAATCTCTAACCGAGCGAGCGAGCGAGCGATCATCTCGACCGATTCAAATTCGAGTTGCGCGAGGAGGAATGACATGGACGACGCGAGGGAAGGGGAGGAGCGATCGATTCTGCCTATCATTTCGAGACGCGCGACCCGATGGCGAACGCTGACCTCGGCGAGGCGGACTGCACTCAAGGAGGGCAATGTTCTTCTGCCATAATAAAAAGGTATACACATCGATGAGCCTTGCACGTCAAATCCACGTCGGATGCTGCTACACAAATTGCCTGCCACACACGATCACCACACGCTCGAGTTGCGTTTGGACTTTTCGAGGTCGAGCGCTCGCTGCTCATCTTCGGTCAGCCGAAGATCGAACTCGCGCTGGAGCACCTCCAGGTACACCTCCTTCTCCGTCGGCATACGCTGTTGCCGCTGCTCTTCCTCCGCGGTCGTACTATCGACAGTGGCCTCTCTCGCTACTCTCTGGCCATCTTCATCTGCAGGGCACGAGAGACACTCACGAGCTCAGAGAACAGGGAACGATGGATGCTACGCGGGTGCGTGCGCGATCAGGTGCATACCACTCATCATGATGTTGCGCTCCACGCGCTGGCCGTCGGCGAAGGTGGTGGTGATCAGGCGGTAGGCTCCGCTCATGGTCTTGCGGCCGCTCTCCGAGATGGCCGATATCAGGATCCGCTTGCTCAGGTGCGTCTCCTCGTCCGCTTGCAATGCCTGCACAGTCATCAGGGATGTATCATTACGACAGTGTGTGTGTTGTGTGTGTGTTGTGTGTGTGTGTGTGTGTGTCGAGCGATGTAGGTACATCGCAGTTGGGCGTGAGCTCGGCAAGCGAGCGCGGCTGTTCGTAGATGAGGATGGCCTTGAGCCACTCCCCGTCGGCCTTGCGCCGCCGCTCCATCATTACGCACTCCTGGTCGGGATCGTCCTCCGCCACCTCGGCCTTGACGCGCGTCAATCGGAAGCCCGCCCACTCGCCATCGCCCGGCTGCTCCACCCCGATCCAGTCGTACCGCAGCGGCGTGTGCGGACACGACGCGTAGCCGACGTCGCTGATCCACGTCTGCAGCTCGCAACCATCATCGTCGTCGTCATCAGGAGGGTAGTCCTGCTTCGCCTTCGGCTCCTTGACTCTGACCACGGTGACGACGTGCGACTTGCGGGTCGTCCAGCTGCCCTCGGACTGTACCTGTGGTTCGAAGAGAAGAAGAGTGAGACTGTTGTACTTCCTACGACAAGAAGGTGAAGCGAACTGGTTGGTACCCGGGCTGGGTAGAGCACGACGTCGAAGCCTAGCCTCCGCAGCATCTCCACGTAGAGGCCATTGAGCTGGCATTGTGCATCGAGGAGGGAATTGGAGAGATTAATGCACTCTCCTACACAAGAGATGAGATTAGAGGCCGCGCGCCTTACCTCGAAGCAGAAGCCGCCCCTTTGACGTTGCACCACCTTATGGTAGATGACGTCGAAGTCGAGCACGATGTGCCGCGCGCTGTGCTGGTCGAGGTTCTCGAACGGCACCTGGCGCACCTGGCGCTGGTGCAGCTCCACCAGGGTCGCTGCCGTCACGGCCGGCCACACGGACCCGTCCAGCTGCTGCTTATACTGTGGGAAGAAGCCCACCCGCCGCAGGTAGGCCGCCAGCTCTTCTTCCCTCTTCTCCCTCGTCGTCGCCTCCATCACGCCCGCTTTCTGCATTTCTCTGTTTTATGAGCCAGCTCGAAGGCCAATCGCGGGCTTGTCCGCGACCCAGAGCGAGGAGGCAGAGAGAGAGAGGAAGAGGCAGCTGGAGATGGAGCACCAGCAGGCCAGGTGGGAAAGCGACGGCGACGCCATGGTCGTTCCCTACTATGGGGTGCAGCACGCCGACGATATCGAGGAGCCGCCACCGCCTTCTGCGCCCCTCCTTACCAACTCCTCCTCCTCCTCCACGGACGCCAGCTGCCCCTCGGCCCCCAAAAAGCCGCGGCTGCAGAGCCTCGACGTCTTTCGCGGGTGCGTTGCCCCCCCCCACCCCACATTGTCTCTCTTCCCCCAATTCGTCTCTTCCCCTAAACACCACCTGGTGGGGGGTGGTGGTTGTGGGGGGGGGGGCACGACCAGGGTGACGATGCTGGGCATGATATTGGTCGACAACCAGGGCAACTTCGACCACGTGGTGCGCCCGCTCGACGAGAGCATCGTACGCCACCCCGCCCCGCCCCGCCCACCCACCAATGCCCGATCGTGGGTCGATCCAGCTGACCATTGCGCCCAGTGGGACGGTATTCGGCCGTCGGACTGCGTGTTCCCCTTCTTCCTCTTCATCGCCGGCACGCCTTACCTTCATCTCGCCCGCTCCACGTTGTGCGCTGTCCAACGCGCGCCGCCGCCGCCGCCGCCGCCGCCGATGATGATGATGATGATGATGATGATGATGATGATGATGATATGTCAGGGTTCGCCGTGGCGCTGGCCATGAACGGGTTCTGGGACAAGATCCCCGATCGCCGAGGAAAGAGTACGCACACTCCCCCACATTCCTTTACGTTCCTTCACATTCCGGGACGCAATCTGAACCACCTCACGGCGTGCGTGGCGGTGGGTTGTCGATGCAGTCAAGGCGTGGGCGCGGGTCCTGCAGCGGATCGGTACGCTGTTCGTGGTGGGCCTCCTGCTCAACGCCTTCGGGAGCAACCCGTGGGACAAGTGGCCCCACTGGCACTTCCGCATCATGGGGTGCGTACGCTTCTGTTCCACCCGCCCCCAATCGGCGCTGACCAGTAACCAATCCGATTTCGATCGAAACGCTCTCCAACCTTCAAGGGTGCTGCAGCGCATAGCTCTGTGCTACGGCACGGTGACGGTGCTCTTCCTGGCGACCTCCACCATCGTGCAGCGGGTCGTGATGCTCTGCTTCACCGCAATCTACGTCGGCCTCATGTACGGCCTCGACGTGCCCAAGTGCGGTACTACAACCCCCCCCCCCGTCGGCCAACGTTGCTGTCGCTGTCGACCATGGCCCGGCGGAAGCTTACCGCGCCTCGTCGTTTTTCGTTCTTTTTCTTCGTTCTCTCTTTCGTTCTTTTCTTCGTCCTTTTTCGGTGGGTGTCTAGGGCGAGGGAATCTGACCCCGGGCTGCAACGCGGGCGGATTCATCGATCGTTCGATTTTCGGCGATTGGATGATTCGACCGAACGACCCCGAGGGTCTCCTCTCCACCCTCACCGCCACCCTCACGTGCTACCTGGGCCTCGAGTTTGGCCGAATCCTCCACAAGTACCGCGCCAATCAGCTCGAGGTGCCGCTCACACCCTCACCGAAAGAGTCGATGTGTATCGTGTCGTGTCCGTGTCGTGTCGTGTCGTGTGGCCACCACTAATGATCATAATATGGCGACAGTTGGTGTGTCGGTGGGTGATGCTGGCGCTGGGCTTGATCGGGCTGGCGCTGTTCCTGTGGCTGTGGATGCCCATCAACAAGAAGATGTGGTCCGTTCCGTTCGCCCTGATGATGGGCGGAATTGGCGGTCTCGTGATCTTCATCTGCTACTACCTCGGTACCCACCCACCCCCTCCCGCAGCGTAGCACACCTGTGTTGGCAATTACGGCGTTGATTCACTTCTGTTGCGTATCCATCCGACACGACACGACCAACGACACACACCGACGCAGTGGACATGGTGTTGGCCAGTTGGCAGGAGGACAGTGCGTGGAAAAAGGCGTGTAACGCTGCGATTCAGTACGTGCACGCATTCCTCTTAGATATATATACATTGATATTATATCTATTTCGTTCTGATAGTGTTCTTCGCTTCAAAACTACTATGGCCAGGCCACTGATATGGATGGGCATGAACCCGCTGGCTATCTTTGTGCTGATGATCTTCCTGGAAATTCTCCTCCTGGACACCATCCATTGGAATGGTGACAACCTCTGGTACGCACTCCCTAGGTCCTCACACTATGAATTTATCAGCTCACCTCCGGTACATGCGTGTTGCGTGTCGTGTGCACCGTGTGTGTGTGTCGTATTGTGTCGTGTTCTGTGTTGTGTTGTATGTCGTGTTGGTGCGTGTTGTTGCCGGAAACCCCAGGAATCGGATCTACTGGGATGTGTTCCAGTCATGGATCGTGCAGAAGGAGCTTGCCTCACTCGTGGTGTCCTTTGTCCACGTGGGCCTGTGGGTCCTCTTTGCCTGGGGCATGTACACCAAGAAGTGGTTCATCAAGGCCTGACACGCTTGGTGTTTGGCCAAACAAGAATTTAAGGTTATTTTATTTATAACGAAAATTAAAATGATTGACCAAACACACACACACATCAATCTAACCATGCGCGGATCGTACGCTCGATTGATCGTTCTGGCGCTCGTGTGCCTCGTGGTGTTGTCCGCTACACTCGGCGCCTCGGCCGAGCGGAGGGCCAGAAGGAAGTTCGGGAAGGGAAGTAGCGAAGCTGGAAATGTTCATTCAGATGCTGACGCCCCGCCCGCCGAATTGAAGGTGGAGGTCACCCATCGACCCGACAACTGCCTCAGGAAAACGGCCCCCGGCGACACGATCGACGTTCACTACATCGGATCGCTGCCCGACGGCAAGCCCTTCGATTCATCGTTCAGTCGCGACCAGCCCCTCACCATCACTCTGGGCCACGGTCAAGTCATCCCCGGCTGGGAGCAGGGCCTGCTGGGCATGTGCGTCGATGAGATGAGGAAGCTCACCATTCCTCCTCATCTCGCCTACGGCGACGAGGGCTACCCGCCCGTCATCCCGCCCCGCGCCACCCTCTCCTTCATGGTCAAGCTCGTCTCCATCGCCTAAGGGCGAGACTCGCTCGCTCCTCGGTGAATGCATCCCCATCTCCAACTCTTTCACACAAGATGATGGTGTTGTGTTCGAATGAACTCGTTTATACCCTATGATATAGACGCACTGCACTTCATCCTCGGCCTGCCTTGTTGACGCCACAACCCCCGCAGCCGGGCGTGCTGTTGTACGCGGCGGTGGTGATGTCGTTGGTCATTGTAGTGGTCTCCCGGCAGGCGCCGGCAGTCTTGTTGATCGTCGTCGCTGATAATGACAGTTGAGTTGATGATGATGGCGGCGATGGCGTGGAGTGAAAGGGCTCAAGTGGCGAAGGCGAGCGCCCGCTCGATGAGAAAGTAGAGGATGGTGAGGGCCGGCACGAAGAAGCTGCAGAACGAGAGGAAGGAGTTCTTGGTGGGGAGTCCCTTCTTGGCCTTCTCCTTCTCCTTGGCCTTCTCCTTGGCCTCGCTGGTCCCGCTCTTCAAGCGGGTCGAGAGACGCTTCGAGTAGCTCTCGCTGAACACCTGTTACAATAGTGCCACGCGGTCATTGCACGGCACCAAGCAACACATAAATTCGCATGTCGTGTGTCCATCCGCGCCGTGTGCGTGTCGTGTGCGTGTCGTGTGTGTGTGTGTGTGTCGTGCGACGGTGTGCGTACCTCGAAGTAGAAGGTGGCGCCATACCAGGTGCAGGCGCAGAAGACGAAGAAGAGAACCGCCGAGTGGACGTAGAAGTTTTGGTAGGCGAAGTGCATCGGAATCAGCGTCAGCATCGTGTACGTGAACTGGATCACTGTGGGTGGGGGGGGGCGAGGAGTGAGGCGTGGTGAGTGCGGGAACAAGAAGCGCTTTAACGGGATTCTGGAAACCAGAACGGGAGGATTGGGTGTGTGACGTACAGACAAGGAGCACGAGCGGCTTGATACGGATGCCCTTGACCAGGAGGGCCTTGTAGATGGGGTGGGGCTTGTCCTCCCGGATGAACCAACGGAGCGAGGTCATGATGTTGGCGTCCGAATCCAGCTTCTTCTTGTCCATCAGCTCTGTTTTGAAGATGTACAGAGCCTGCCGTATACGCAACAAGAGGAGGACGGTTAACAACGGGTTAAAGTGCGTGTGCCGGTGGTGCGTGAACGAACCTGCCAGAAGGAATAGAGCATGAGCGGCATCCAGAACGAAGCGGTCCACGAGATGGAGCAGTCAGCATCCCGGCACACGACGAAGCTATCGCTGTGCCACCATCGCAGACAGTAGGTCACTGCGCAGGGGGGAGGGACAACGACAGTTGTGAGCCAACTCGCCCGAGCATCACCGCTCACCAAAAAGCGCCTTCTAAAGCTGCCAAGTCTCGAGGCCCTCGCAGCGCGGCGGGGCGTACCGATGGGCGGGTAAATGTGAATGAAGAGCGAGATCATCTTGTCGATGTCATGGAACACGAGGCTGTTTTTCCACATCACGATCGCTCCGGCAAGCGGACCATTGCTGCCGATGACACACACACACACACACACAACAATACGAGGTGAGGCCTAGCATGGAATAAAGCTCGGCGTAAGCATGTTGTACCTCAGGCAAAAGACGAACTGGAAGTAGATGGGGTTCGAGGAGTGCCAGTAGATGAAGAACAGGAGCAGGATCTGGCAATAGTAGCTGCACCAAACAAACAAACAAACAAACAAACAAACAAACAAACAAACAAACAAACAAGAACCAACGCCAATCAATAAACATTGGAGAGCGAAAACGATAACAACAGCGAAGCGAACCAAAAGTCGAGCATGAAGTAGTGCCACTTCATGCGGTGGTACGAAGCAAAGCGGAACACCATGAGCTGCGAAAGAGCAAAGACCCACAACACTGTGTGTAAGTCGTGCTCGCCACGTTCATCGCTTCCTCCACTTGATTATGACGATGGCGAGGGGGAGGTGTACGTACGGGGAACATGAGGACAGTGTAGAACTGGTACATGGCGTTGGGCTTGGTGAGGAGCGCCTCCGTTACGAGCATGAGAAGAATGCCCATCATGAAGCCGCTGCGTAGACGCACGCGCACACACCGCCACGGTTAGTCGACCACGTAGCGAAGGTTTCTACGGAAGCGAGAGCGGTCTGCAGAGAGAGAGAGAGAGAGCGAAAGAGCAGCGAGCAACGTACAGCTTGTCGATGGTGCGCACAAAGGGAGGCATGTTCATCTTCTCCTTCAGCTCCTTCTTCTTCTTGTCGATGTACTGCTGGTTGATGAGACGCTCGCGCAGCTTGTTGGTACCGCTGCCCACGAATTCAGTCGCGCGCTTCACATGAGGCGACGTCTTGAGCTTGTCGATCATCTTCCTACAAATGTGCCACACCAAGCGAATGAGTGAACGCGAGGGAATGGGAGCAAGGCTGGCAAAGAGGTACCGCTGAGCCCATAGGACAGTAAATCGCTCGAAGAACGATTTCTTGGACACCTTGCCGCTGGCGATTTGTAGGGCCAGATCTTCGGCCCGCTCGGGCTGGGTAGCATTCGAATCGTTCTGTGATTTGTGATGCTGCTCCTCCGATTCGTCGTGCAGATGCTGGGCGTCCGCCGCCTGAGGTTCGTAGGCGCGGATGTCCGCCTCTGGTTCGTTGTGCACAGCGTCCGCCATCTCGATGCTCGTTTCCAAATGTTTCGTGTTGATTTGGAATGGAAGAGGGGAGTGCACGGATGTGGCACGACCCAGATCCAGATCTCTTGCGGTCAAATGGCAAACTTGCTGTGCTACTCGCAACCGCCACCTGCCGATACGACGTTCTGTGATCCTTTGAGACAGTAGGCACCCCAGGCCGCAGAATTGGGTGTCAGTGCCGTCCAGGTGGGCTAGGCTGTTTGGACCAGTCTGCCCGGGCCACCAACAAGAACTCTCGGTCGAGATTTTATTGTTTTATCTTTTTACGCGGCAGACATGAGCGCGCCGCGAGTCGTTAGCCTGGGTCTGTGGGCCTTCTTGTTGTGCTGCCTCCTGTGCGGCAGCGCACCAGCACAGAGCGCCAGCCCAGCCGCCTGGAAGTCCCGCACCATTTACCAGGTACACCGCTTTAGTTAATAAATTAATTAATCATTAAAACAATAAATAATTGCTGGCGCAGCTCTTGACCGACAGGTTTGCACAAACGAGCGACGGCAGCTATGCCCCGTGCAACAACCTGTCCAACTACTGCGGCGGCTCCTTTCAGGGTACCCGAGAGAGGACCGCGTTGGCCGTGTTTGTCGACCGCCACCTTAAGTATTATTGTGTCGCTAATCGGCTGGTCTGTGTCTCGTGGTGGTGGCGGGTCTCGCAGGGATCATCAACCACCTGGACTACATTATCGGTACACCACCATTCTCAGTCTCAGCCTCGCGCTCATCATTCTCGAGAGCTCATCGGCGATGCGTTGACATTCATTCCACACGACGCACACGACACACACGACACGCGCACGACACGCAAACACGACGCACACAACATACACACACGACACGCAAACATGCAAACATGCAAACGCGCAAACACGCACACCCAACACAGGGATGGGCTTTGATGCCATCTGGATCTCGCCCATCGTCACCAACACGCCGGGCGGGTACCACGGCTACTGGTCGCAGGACCTCTTCGGCATCAACCCGCACTTTGGCACCGCCGACGACCTTCGCCAACTCATCAGCGTACGCTGGCCCGCCCCGATTATGGCTGGTGACACCAACCTCACGAAGCTGATGGTGGTGGTTGGTGATGGTTGGTGGTGATGGTGGTGATGATGATGGGTTCGCGATATGACCAGGCGTGCCACGCGCGAGGCGTCTGGGTGATGCTGGACGTCGTGGCGAATCACATGGGAGGCAACGTCCCAATGTCCCAGCTCAGCCCGTTCAACCAGTCCGAGCACTACCATCGATGCGTCGCCTGCCCCAGCAACTGCCAGATCAACGACTACACCGTACGTCGTCGGTCGTCGTCCGTGGTGGTGGTGGTTGTTGTTGTTGTTGTTCGCTGTTGTTCATTCGCATTCATTCGCTGAAAATGATCGCCTCCCCCCAGTGCTTCCAGCCCGAGGTGCAGCTGTGCAAGCTGGCCGGCCTGCCCGACCTCAACCAGACGGTACGGAGGCGGTGGCGAGGCGCGCATGAAATATAGTCTCTCTCTCTCTCTCGCACGCACGCACGCACGCACGCACGCACGCACGCACGCACGCACGCACGCACGCACACTATCATCATCATCACCACGTGTGCGTACAGAACCCGTACGTGAAGAGCCAGCTGATCAACTGGATTCGCACGCTGATGGACTACGGCTTCGACGGCCTCCGCATCGACACCGTCCCCGAGATCGAGCCCGGCTTCTGGGTCGACTTTGTCTCCGCCGCCAACACCTACGCCGTACTACCCCTTCCCATCCCTTCCAACATCCACTTTCCCTCAAATTCCGCGTTCGTTGATCAACGCGTGTGCGGTGTGTGCGTGTGCGTGTGCGGTGTGTGCGGTCCGGGGCGGGGCTTGCAGGTGGGTGAGGTGTTCTCGGACCTGAGCTGTTGCGCGACCTACCAGAAGCAGGCCCTGCCGGGGGTGCTCTCGTACCCGCTCTTCTGGACCCTTCGCTCCGTCTTCCAGCAAAAACAGTCCATGAACCAGCTCCAGGTCGGTCTCCCTCTCGCTCTGTGTGCCACACCGATTCCTTACCTGACACATTCGAATTTTGCACAATGTGTGTGTGTGCGTGTGTGTGCGGTATGTGTGGTGTGTGTGGTGTGTGCGACAGAGTACGTTCTTCAGCTACCAGAGTCAGTTTGCTGACATGGACCTGCTGGGCACCTTCATCGACAACCACGACAACGCCCGCTTCCTCAGGTACGCCGGCCCCCTATCGATATTTTTACTTATGATATCCCGCGATCCAATGGGCGCACACCATTCATTCGCGGCGGCTTGGTCTGACTTTGTTCTTTCGTCGTTGGCCGCCACGCACCATCAGTGGCACGAGCGACTACAAGCTCTACCAGAACGCCATCACCTACACCCTAATGGCGCAAGGCATCCCCATCATCTACGTACATACAATCACCTGCTCCATTTTTCTGTTTATTCATTTGTACCTCACTTCCCTATGCCCGCGACGGCTTTTTCTTTTCTTTTCCTCGCGAGCACAGTACGGCACCGAGCAAGGTACTTTTGGCCCTCTCTCTATTTGCTTCCCTCGCAAGACTCGATCGATCGATTGATTGATTGATTGGCGGCGGGTGATGGCGCAGGATACGACGGCACGAACGACCCCAACAACCGTGAGTCGCTCTGGCAGACGCGCTTCTCCACTCAGAACCCGCTCTACCAGCTCATTCGCACCATCGTCAGCTATCGCAAGCAGGCGCAGGTCTGGCAGTACCCCCAGGTAGGACACGCCATGTCGCCATACGACCATGCCCCGCGCAACTCACCATCACACGACGCACAATCGCACACGCACGCGATACGTGTGTCCACAGGTCCAGCGATACAGCGACGACACCTTCTACGCGTTCACGCGAGGCACCACGTTCGTCGCCCTCACCAACGCCGGCAGCAATTCGGGCACCCTGATGCGCACCATCACCTACCACCCCTACAAGGAAGGCACCAAGCTCTGCGAGATGTGCGCCCCACCTAACCCCCCCCCCACGCGCGCTCACAATTCCGTTTCTGTCGTATATGTGTGTGCGGTGGTGCGTTTCGTGTAGTAGCGTTGGCTTGGCTAACCAGCGTGCCTGGGTGTATGTGTACACGTGCAGCTTCTATCCGACCGACTGCGTGGTGGTGCAGAACGGGTCCTTCCCCGTGTACCTCGACAACGGCGAGTCGAAGATCTTCTATCCCGTCAACTAGCTCGCTCGCCTGCTCCCCCGCCCGCAAGCAACCCAGTCATCAATGTACCGTACCGGTTAGCGAGGGCCCACCTTTTTTTTTTAATAACAATTTTGTTCCATCCTCGGGCCAGGCTTAGGGGGGGGGGGTAACCAAGGGTTTGGGGTGAAGCGTTATGGTTTCGAGTTATGGGTTATGGGTTTGGGGTTTCACACGTGGTGGCAAATGAACTCTGCAAAAACGGTCGAAGAGATGTACAAATGGTGGTGATGAGGCCAGCGGGGCTCCACTACACGCGGCGGCGCTGGGCCAGGAGGTCCTGGTGGTGGCGCTTGAGGCGGTCCAGCTCCGCCTGCAGGTTCTGCTCCTTCTGCTGCTCCTCTGCCGCCTGACGATGTGCCGGACAACGAACACCACAAGCATGTTCGACCAATCATATCAATAATCGTAAATAGGGAGCATGTAAAGAGTGAAACGGGGAGAGTGAGGTTACCTGAGAGTCGAGCTTGGTGATCTCCTCTTCCCTGGCCTTGAGCATCCGCTCGGTAAAGTGGCGCCTCTCCTTGGCCTCCTCCAGCTTGTTCGCCAACAGCTGCCGCGGCGAAGTCTGATGGTCCGCGTTCATCACACACACGTTCATTCGACACACGACACGACACGACACACGAAGAACGAAAAAGCCGTGAGTTGGCGCGGAGAGAGAGAGAGAGAGTGAGAGGAGTTGAGGGGTTGGCGGGGAGGGGCGAGCGCGTACGACTTCCTGGGCCTGGATGAGGGAGACCTGCTTGGTGAGCTGTCGGAGGATGTAGTTCTTCTCCGGACTCTCGGGCAGCCGCTCGGCCATCACCAGCGGGCTGCCCACGTCGGTGTCCGCGCCCTGCCGGGGATCGGCACCCGCGCTCAGGAGCAGCTCCACAATGTCGACCCGTCCGGCCTTGACGCCATACTGCGCGCCACACGACACACGACACACGACACACGACACGACACGACACATAACGAGGAGAACCGGTTAATAGGCAACGCCGTGGCAGAGATCACGACGGGGGGGGGAAGCAGCGGGTACGTGGAGGGGAGCCTCGCCGCCGGCGTTGGTGATGGAAACGTCGGCGGCGCGCGCCAGCAGGAGTTTGATGGTGTGCAGGTTGCCGCTGTGCCCCGACCGAATCGCGCTGTGCAGAGCCGTCTCGCCGCTGCGTTTGTGCGTGTGTTGTAGTGCGCGCTTCGATGATGAGCGACATCGCAGTTGTGTGTGTGTGTGTGTGTGTGGTACGCAAACCTGGTGGGGTTCTTGAAGTTGACGGAGTTGCCCTTGAGGAGGTGGTCGAGGGCCTGCTCGAAGGCGTCGAGCTCCTTGTCCTTGGCCCCGTGTCGCACGAAGTAGTCGAGCGGCCTCGTGCCGTCGACGTTGGGCGACGTCACATCGGCCCCCGCGTGGACTGCGGAAAACCAGGAATGTCAGCCACAGACTGTGCGTGTCATGGAAGTTGTGTGTGTGGTGGTGGGTGGTGGTGTGTGGTGCGTGTGGTGTGTATGGTGTGGCACGAACCGAGGGCGTTGACGATGGAGGCCGAGGCGGAGGCCTGGCACACGCAGTGGAGCGGCGTCCACTGGCGGTTGTCCCGGGCGCTCGGGTTGGCGCCCTTCTGCTTGAGGAGGTACTTGACCAGCGACGGGTCGGCCTCCTCGCCGTAGCGCGAGCACGCGATGTGCAGCGCCGTCTGCCCGTCCTGGTTCAGCACCTCACCCGCCAGCTTGCCCGCCGCGTTGTGTAGCTGCACCCACACGCACGAAGTTAGTGAGAGGTGTGCGTGTGCGTGTGTGTCGTGCGGTGGTGCGTGTACGACTCGCGCATGATGAGCGGAGAAGGTGGCGCACCTTGATGAACTTCTTGAGGTCGTTGACGCCGCCCTGCTCCAGCACCTCGTTGAGGGTGGCGAAGGTGCGCTCCTTCTTCTCAGCCACCACCGACATCACCCCGAACGCCGCAGAGCCGCCTCCCGTCGACTCCAACAGCGCGCGCAGGTCCTGCTCGCCATCCACCACCCGACACACCACCGGTGAGCAGCGCTAATCTAGGTATGTGTGGTGTGTGTATGCGTGTGTGCGTGCGTGTGTGCGTGTGTGTGTGTGTCGTACAGCCTGCTCGCCGATGCCAGATCCGCCCTTGGGTCCGATGCTGGACTCCTTCTTGCCGAAGAGCATGGTGCGGCGCTTGCTGCCGCCCTTCTTCTCCCAACTGGGGCCGCCGCCGGCACCGGGCTCGCCGGCCGAGTCGAACGTGGCCAGCGTGACGGTGGGTGACGACGGCGAGGCCGGGCTCGCTGCGGCGGCAGACGCGGCCGAGTTGAGGAGGAGCAGGCGGGCGGCCTCCTTCTCCTCGCGCTCGCGGGCCTTGAGGGCGTCCTTCTCCTCCTTCTCCTTGCGCTTGCGCTCCTCCTTCTCCTTCCGCTCGCGCTCGCGCTCGGCCTCCTTCTCCTTCTTCTCGCGCTCGCGCTCCTCCTTCTCCTTCTTGCGCTCAAAGTCCTTCGCGCTCAGCGTGGCCCGCTTGTCGCGCTTCTTGGCCTCCTTGCGCAGGTCCTTCAGCTCGAGCCCCGGCTGGGGTGCCGGCCCGAGGCCCAGGCCCGGCGGTCCGCCCTGGCGCAGAGCCTGGGCGAGTCCCTGGGGCGCCAGCATGGTCACGGGGCGAAGGGTGCCCACCGCGGGGCGGGGCGCATTCGGGGCGCTCTGGCTCAGCGCACCGCCGGCGGGCGACGGGGCGGCCGAGGGGACGACCGGGCGGGTGACGGAGGGCGAGCCCAGGGGCGAGGCGAGGGGCGACGTTCCGGCGGAGATGGGCGGAGACGGGCGCGCCGTGACTGGGCGCGGCGGCACCGAACCCTGATGAGGCCTCATCAGCGTTTGCGAGAACGAGGGCGAGAGCGAAGCCGGCGACGAAGACGTGGGCGACGGGCTGGCGACGGGCGAGTGAGAGGCGGGCGAATGGGAAGAGGCGGGAGGCGACGAGACGGAGAGGTTGAGGTTCGCCCGGTCCCTGTGCGACGGCGGCGGTCCGATCGCGGCCGCAATGGGCGGCGCCGGCGGCGAGCGCATCGTCCCGAAGCCCCGACCAGCTGCGGGAGCCGGCGCAGCGGTTGCGGCCGCCGCGGCGCCGGGGGCGGTGGAGGGCGGGAGCGGCCGCACGAATCCGCCCCGACCGGCGGCGGCGGTGTTGACCGGGGTTCCGGCGGTGGCCGTGGTGGAGCCAGACGGCGACATGAAGGGCGGAGGGCCGCCGCTCACGGTGAACGATCGGCGGCCGTTCGAGGGGGGCGTGGGGACTGGCCGAGCGACCGGCAGGGGCCGCGCACCGGCACTCGCAGCGCCAGCAGCGCCGGGGACGGCGGGCGGCGGGCGAATGACAGGGACGGGCGAGTTGGAAGCAGCGGGCGCGGGCGCGGTGCGAGGGGCGACGGGCGGCGGCGCGCGTGCAGCGGAGGGCGCCGCCGACGCCGAGAGAGGCGGACGGGCGACGGGCACCGGGCGAAGCCCGCCGACGCCGACGCCGCCGGTGGGTGGTGGTGGTGGTGGTGGTGGTGGCCGCAGTAGTGGCGCGCGCAGCGGCGGTGACGGAGGGGTGCGGGCGGACCCCGCCTCCCGGAGCGGCGGCCCCGCGCTCAGCAGTCCGTGGCGGCATTCCACCGCCGCCGGGGGTGCCGCGCAGGCCTCCGACGCCGGCGCCCACGGGCAGCGACGCCCGGTGGTCCCTCGCCCCCGCTGCGAGCTGCGTGGGCCTGCCTCCCACACACCGTCCACGTGCGACATCACCACGCCCATGCTCAACGCCCGCCCAGAAGCTGTGGTGTGTGTGTGTGTGTGGCCGTTGTGTTGTGTGTTGGGTACCGCGGCAGGGGCGTGGGTAGGCTACGGCCGGCGTTGGGCTGTGCGGGTGTCGTTGTCGACGTCGCGGCGGCAGAGGGGTCCTGCACTGGTTTCCTTGGTACCACCGCTGCCCAGTACCGTTCAGCAAAATAGTAATAATAAACAAATATATGAATATAACTATATTTATAAAAATAGTGAAAAGGAAATAGGGTTTATAAATATGGCTTGGAGCACCCGTGAGGGGGGGGGTTAAACAATAACGTTTTGCGGGTGGGGCTCTACCTGGAGGGAGGGGCCGGTGGGAGGGTACTCCCCCACTAGCTGGGACAGCCAGGGAACGCCTGCGATCAGGCGGCAGCTCGCTCATCTCTCTCAATTTTTTTTTATTTTGGTCTTTGTGTCTTTCTTCCGCCTTCGGTGATTCGTGATGGCCCCCGAATTTCTTTGTCGGCAGTGCCTAGAAAAATCAGCCAGAGAGCGCAAGAGGAGGAGGAGGCGAGGATCCACACAACGACGAGGCAACGGTGCCGCCCATCAGCAATAACTCTGCCGCCTCCGAGGAGGGCACCGCGGACGATGGCGAAGCCGACGCAGCCCACAAATAACACTCTGTACGCACACAATAAAAATAATAATAAAAATAATAAAAATAAGTTGTGGCAGGGAGAAGGCTGCCTTTTGTTTGTGGACGGCTGCATCACGGCTACACGTCGCCCGCGTCGGCCTTGGACCCACTGCCTCTGTGTGGTCCAGAGTTCTTCTTCATGCGCTCCTCGAGCTTGCTCTTGGTGCGGAAGAAGCGCTTCTTCTGCTCCTGCTGTTTCTCCTTGAGCTTGGCGTCCTCCTTCTTCTTCTCGACCAGGTACTTCTTCCTCTTTTCGGCCTTCTTCAGCTTCATGTTCTTCGTCTGGTCGTTCTTCATCGTGTTGAGCTGCTGCAGCAGCGTGTGCACCTTCTTCTCATGCGGCTCCATGACCACCTGAGAGGGGGGAGGAGAGAGAGAGAGAAAGAGAGAGAGAGAATGAATGAATGAATGAGGCGGTGCTGTGCGTCGTTTGGTGTTGGTGTTGGTGTTGGTGTTGGTGTTGGTGTTGGTGTTGGTGTTGGTGTTGGTGTTGGTGTTGGTGTTGGTGTTGGTGTTGGTGTTGGTGTTGGTGTTGTATAGGAGGTACCTTGCGCTTGGTGCCGAGGGTGGGCTTGGAGCGCTTCTTGCTGTCCTTGGGCTTGGAGGCGAAGGGGAGGTCCTTCTGGAGGGAGGCGGGGATGCGGAGCGGGTTGAAGACGCGGCGCTCGCGGGTGATGGGTCGGTAGTGGGAGTCGGCCGAGTTGGGGACGGGGATGTTGCGCTCCTCGCGTAGCTCGCGCACGGTCTTCATGGCGCGCCAGCGGGTGCCCTTCTTCTGGTCGCCGCGGCCGGAGAGGAGCGAGGTGATGGGGTTGTAGTACTTCTCGACCTTGACGCCGAACCAGGTGCGGAGGAAGACGATGTCGGACATGAGGACCTTGTCCTCGAAGGTGGCGCGGTAGGCGCCCGGCGGCTGGGCGGCGGCCTTCTTGATGGCGCCGCGGATGCCCGAGACGGTGCGGATGGCGGCGCCCTCGAACCTGGCCACCTCGAGCGCGCTGGAGAACATGCCCTTGATGAAGGCCGTGTTCTTCATGATCTTGTAGGGCGCGCCCGTGAGCTTGAGCTTCTTGACGATGCTGAACGACTGGTCCAGCTCCAGCACCACGCCCGTCGCGCTCACCCGGAACGAGGGCTTCTCGTTGGACAGCGTCTGGAAGGCGATGAGGCCCGTGTTGGGCGGCGTGATGGGTCCGTAGAAGGTGGCCACGCAGTGCATGTGCTCCGGCGTGTACTTGAGCATCCGGTTGCGCCCGTTGTGGTCCTGGATGGCGTACACCGGCAGCGCCTGGAACCGCCGCCAGCCCAGCGAGAAGATGAGCGGGTCGTTGGTCTTGAGGATCTTCTTGTGCCACCGGTGCCGCTTCAGACGCGCCTGCACGAACCCCAGGTTCTCCTCCGACGGCAGCAGCCCGCCCACGATCACCGGATAGATCGGGTCGAAGCACTCCACGAACTCGGCCGGCACCCCACCCACCTTGAGCCGCACGTACGCACCCGCGCGCACGCCCTCCAGCTCGGCACGCGCCTCCGGCGACAGACTCGCGAACCCGTCCTTCGACGCCGACGCCGCCGCCGACGCGACCGTGGTGCCGGCGGCCTCCTCGAGGCCTCCCCCGACGTCGCCCCCATTCGCCTCGCCCTCCTCGGCCTTGGACCCGTCGTACATGTCGTCAAACTTGCGCTTCATCGCCAGCTTGGCCTTCAGACGCGCGTCCTCGTCGTCGTCTTCCTCGTCATCGCTTCCATCACCGCCCTTCATGTCCCCGTCCTCGTCATCGTCGTCGTCGAGGCCGAGGCCGCCGCCGGCGGCGTCATCGGCCGGCTGCGCGGGTCCGGTGCCTTCGTGTGCGTAGGTGAATCTCTGGCGGAGCTGTTCGCGCAGGTCGTCGAGGTCCGGGCGGTCCGAGTCGAGCAGGGCCAGCGTTGGGTCGTCGGCCTGCCGCAGGGCCTTGGTCGAGTCCTCCTCCTCGCCCGCCCCCATCGCCGCCACCCCGCGCCGCCTCGCTGCCGCCGCCGACGATGCGCTGTTGGGCTTGCCATCGGCGGCAGCGGCGGCGCCGTTCTTCTTCTTGGGGCGGAAGAACTCGTCGCCGTCGTCGTCGCTGCTGTCCTGGGCCTCGTCGCGCTTGTCCTTGTTGCTGCCGCCCTGGTCGTCGCCGTAGATGAGGCTCGAGAGCGATGCCGACCGGCTGCTCCCGCCCAGGTTGAGCTTGGCCTCCCACTCTGCCACGATGCCCAGCTGCCTCGACCTCGCCGCCTTCTCCGCCTCTCGCGCGCCCATGTCCCCCTCCTCCTTCTCTTCATCCATGTCCTCGCCGTCGTCGTCTTCGTCGTCGTCGTCGTCGAAACTGAGCCCTGCACTCTGCCGGCCCTCCTCGCCCTCTTGGTTGGCCCACGGCATGCGTCCGTTTCGTGCCCGCGCCGCCGCCCCGTCGTAGTCCTCCTCGTCGTCCTCCTCGTCATCGTCGTCTTCCTCTTCATCTCCGTCGTCATCCTCATCCTCATCTTCGTCATCTTCGCCGTCGTCCACGCTCATGCTTGCTCGGGCGGGGGCCGAAGAAGAAGCGCCGAAGAAGCGGACGTTGCTCTCCTCCAGGAGCTTGTCCAGGGGAGCCTGCAGGCCCTGCAGCTCCTTCAGCATCTTGTCGCCTGTGGTGGCGCGATGATGATGATGATGATGATGATGATGAATGATGAATGATGGGGATTACGGGTTAGTTACTCCACCTCATCGACCACCGCACACGCCCAATGGGGGGGGGTTGTGATGACCGGAAGAGGGGAGGGGTGAGCACACCTTCGCCGAGTTCGGTCTCTTCGTCGTCGTCGGCGGCGCGCTGTTTAGCGGCTTCGAGGGCGGCGGCGGCCGACGGGTGATGTAGGTTGATGTAGACGACGTCGTTGTCGTAGGCGACGTTGCCGATGTCGCTCATGGGGGCGTAGAGCAGCTTGTCCTTTTCGTTGAGGGTGCGCTTCCGCTCCTGCGAGGGCAGCGGGCACGGGTCGCCCAGAGCCGTGAGCTCCTCGAGCCCAAAGTCGCCGCAGCCCGGCACGTGCACCTTGGTGCTCGGCTTCAGGTACGTGCCCCGCACCCACCCGTACAGCGTCACGTCCCTGCTCGCCCCCCAAACCACCCACCCACACGTGAGACACACACACACACACACACCGGACAAGGAGCAAAAGAGCAAAAGAGCAAAGAGCAAAGGAGAAGAGAAAAGAGGGGCACCTGGGGCAGGTGTTGTTGGAGGAGCGCTTGAGCTCGGGGTCGGTGAGGTCCTCGACGCGGTCGACCAGCACGTAGGGGTGCGTGTTGCGCCAGATGAGCGGACGGAACTTCATCACCGAGATGAACCGACCCAGGTTCAGCACCTCCCTATTGTTGCCAGCAGCAGCAGCAGCAGCAGCGTTAGGTGATTAGAAAAAGCATTTGGTGGGGCGGGGCAGAGCACGAGAGCAATTTGGGGGGGGGATGACAAGGTCCGTGTGTTACCGTTTCTTGTAGCGGCCGTTGACGTGGAGGCCGGTGAGGTAGAAGAGCTTGGCGCCCTGGTAGATCTCCGTCCAGAAGCGGTGCTTCATCTGCTTCTTGGTGTTCTTGAGGGTCTTGGCGCTCTTGAACTCGTCCATGTGGGTGAGCACGCCCATGATACGCGGGAATCCGTGCACTTGCAGCACGTTCAGAAACTCGAACGTTTCCTGCGTACGCGCGCGTGTAGCGCCGTCAGTCGCGGTGCCAAGCAAAGCCCAAAGCCCCATCGGGAGAAGGGGGGGGGAAGAAGGAAGAGAAAGGAGCACCATCTCGAACCCAAAGTGGGCGTCCACGACCAGAAGCACGAGGTCGGCGACCTTGGCGATGTCGAGCATGGCATTCATGTCATTGGGGCACTCGAAGAAGGTCAGGCGGCGCTTCTTGCCTGCAGTAAAGGAGATGAGCCACGCAATTGCATAGCGTGTGCGGTCGCGAGCGTGTGTGGCCGTGTGCGTGTGCGATTTGCGCGCGTGCATGGGCGGCGGAACGCTGCAGGGGGGGGGGTTTACTGACCTGAGACAACGGTGATGGGTCCGTTGATTTTGGTGAGGTTCTGGCCGGTGTAGTGATGGACCAGAGAGCGGATGACGGTCGACTTGCCCACTCCGGGAGGGCCCACCACGGCGACGAGCACCGGCGGCGGCTCCTCCGGCGTGCGGTCAACGAGGGGCGCGTGCTGCTTCTTTTCCTCCTGGTCCAGCCGCCGGCGCGTTCGACGCGTCGCACTCGCCACCGAACGCAACGCAAACGCCTGCACCGCGTTTACACACGTCTTAAAAATGGCTCTCCCTTTTACTTGTAAATGCATGATTAATATATACTGTATATTAATATGAATTAACATTATAATATTATGAATTCATATTATTAATCTTCCCCTTCCGCCGCACAGTGGGCGGCTATCACAGCCAAGCGGGGCGAGTGGGGGAGGGGAGGACCTTCGGGTTGCGCTGCTTGGCGGCTTCATTGTCGGCGGGCTGGTTCGTTTGTTTGGACAGCTGCCTGGCCTTTTTCTTTTGTGCCTTGGGTCCGGCCTTGGGCTTTCTGTGCGGGTGTGCCGCCTGCTGCTCCATGATGTCTTCTTGGCGATTCCTATGTCCTCCGGAGGTGATGGGAGAAGGAGGGTGCCAAACGAGGCCGGCGAAAGAGCACCGGGAAGATCGGAGGATGTCACGCGCAGATGATGCCGCGGCTGTGTGATGTTGTGGCAGCAACCCCGCCGAGGACTTTGCCTCTCCGGGTTCTGCCCTTTTTCTCCGTGTTTAGAACAAAGAGAAATTACGTGGGGAAACAACGAGGCAGCGGGAAAATGAGAGCGGAAAAAAGATCTGTATTTTGGCGGGGGGGTTGGATTGGAATGGGGGGATAGGAGATCAAGAGTGCTGGTAGTTGGGGAGCTTCATCTTGAGGAAGACGATCGCCAGGTTGTAGGCGATGAAACAGCACACGCCGCCGCAGATGAGAAGGAAGTATCGATTCTTCGTCTCGAGGCCCTTGGCGTTTGCCTTATCGAGGAGAATGACACCGAAGCCGCCCAAGATGAAGAGGAAGCCCGCCGACAAACCCTCGACGATGAACTGACCGTTGATGCGATACTGCAAGAACACTACGGGCTTCACTGAGCCGTTGGGTTCCTGATGGCTTCCGATGGAGGGCGGCTCGACGATGATGTCGTAGATGATGCCCGAAAAGACGAGGAAGCACGACAGGAACACGAATGCGAACACTGTCATCGGTCCCGGAAGGCTCACGCTGGGAACCCTGAGGCGAAGGTTGGGCACCCTCAAGAAGTGGAAAGGAAGCTCCAGCACGTCCATCCTTGTGTGTGTTGTCGTTTGCAGCGTAGAGCGCACTGCCGTGCGTGTCACTTTACCCCCCCCCGCAAAAAGAAAACAATGCTGAGGGAAATGGATGAGAAAAGGCCGGGGGGAGCACAAAGCCACAATCAAGCAGGAGAGATGGACGTCGTAAAGGAGACCTTCTCCGCGCAGTTTGAGACCATCAAACAGGCCATTCTGTCATGCGACTTCGTTGCCATCGACACAGAACTCACGGGTCTCTCGGCCTCCAAAAAGGCGAGGATTAACTCTTTGGACTCCGTGGAAGAGCGCTATGTACGTGCCCACCCCTGACAGCTTTCGTTGCCTTTGGGGCGGCGTGGGCAGGAATTGAAAATAGGAACGCACCTCTGCAGGGCAAGCTTCGGGAGAGCGCTTCCAAGTTCATGGTGCAGGACACCCTCCCCTCTTTCCTAAGCTTTAGGTGGTGGTTGGCCACGCAGCTGCACACCCGCCCGTCTTCACTTCGGGTGACCCTCAGCTTCCCATGTTTTTAACACGTATGTGTGGTGTGTGGTGTGTGGTGTGTGGTGTGTGGTGTGTGGTGTGTGGTGTGTGGTGTGTGTGGTGTGTAGACAATACAATGGGGGTTGTGCACGTTCACGAAGACCTCTGAGGGAGAATATGTGGCCCAGCCCTTCAACTTCTACGTCTTTCCCAAGGTACGCGTGCGGTCGTGTTGGTCGTCTGGCTCGCTCGCGTGCGCTGGGAGGGAAGGAGCCTCTGAGCCACCCGTGTTGTCATCTCTGTTGTGTCGTGCGCAATGCAGCCTTTCCACCCCAACCTGGACTACACCTTTGTGTCGTCGGTTTCGTCCTTGCACTTCCTGGCCTCCAACAACTTTGATTTCAACAAGCTCATCTACCACGGCATCCCGTGGCTGCGCAGGTTTCCCTCCTCCCCCCTACGCCCGCCCACCGCACTACGCAAAGGCAAACATTTTAGTTTAATTTACATATTTTTAGGAGTACATATTCATTTGTAGTGTGTAAGATGTATAATGCTGCTCACTCGATGCCCACTCGACCAGAGATGAAGAGGAGCGGATCAGAAGTTCCCGACCCGCAGAGGCCGCGGGTGGCGCACCAAAAGATGACGTGGCTCTGGGCGACAAGGACAAGGCCTTCATCGACGCCATCTGGTCCGCGCCTCTCTTTCCCCGCTTCCGGCGCATCTCTGTGGGTCCACCGAGCAGGGTGCTGATGGTGAGGACGATCGTCTCGCAGTGTGCAGATCGACGAGTGGCTGAAGACGGGAGAAAAGGAGCTCAGGCTGGCTCCTTGCAACAGCTTCCAGCGGCGCATCACCTATCAGGAAGTCGCCAAGAGGTCCACACTTGGCCCAGCCTCTCTCTCTCTCTCTCCCTTCTCATCGTTCTGTCTCGCGTTTGTGTGTCGTGTTGCGTCGTTGGTGGTTGGTCGTGCTGCACGACAGGTACAACAACGCCATCGATGCGTCTGCGCAGAGCGACGAAGGGTCGCACCTGCGCTATATCGTCCTCAGTCGCTTGAGCGATGAGGAGAGGAGTGCCAAGCGCCAGGAAAAGGCCCAGCAGGGCGATGTACGTTGACCACCGCCAAGCGGACAAAGTCTTCTGCTGCCTGCTCGCTCACTCGGTTTTGTCGTCACCTGCGCACGCAGGCGGAACTGGAGGCGGCGGTCGGATTCAGGCGGGTCATCGATGTGCTGACTGAAGCCAAGAAGCCTGTCGTGGGCCACAACTTGCTGCTCGACCTGGTCCACACGCTCTCGTTCCTCCAGTTGCCACCGCCCACGAGCGACCAGTTCAAGAGCCAACTGCACTCCCTGTTCCCCACGTACGTGAATCACCCTCAACACACTGCTCCATCTCTCTCTCTCTCTCACACACACACAGGATTGTGGACACCAAGTTCGTGGTCAGCAGCTCGCCCGAGCTGGTGAGCCAGTGCGCGTCCACGGCGTTGGGCGATACCCACGCGGCCTTCGATGGTCCCCGCTTTCAGGACCGCCCCGCCATTTCCTTTCCCGGTGCGTGCACCACACGCGGCCTCCCTTCTGGCAACCAGACACGATATGGGTACTGAACTTACGCATGCGTGTGTGGTGTTGTGTGTGGTGTTGTGGTGTTGTGTGTGTTCCCCCGAGGACAGCTGGGTTCGGGGCCTACGCTGAAGATAAGTCGCGCTTCCACGAGGCGGGCTTTGATGCCCTGATCACCGGTGTGGCTTATCTGCGCATGGCCTACCATCTGGGTGCGGGCCACCACCCTGCCACCCTACTCGAGACAGAGCAACCACTCAAGACGTGGCGTGTGCGACGTGTGTCATGCGTGTGCTGGCGTTGGTTCAATGGTTGGGGTGACCGCAGCCGAGGCGAGGACCGGGAGTGCGGATGATTTGCTGCCCACGGGTCCGCTGATGGAGGAGTACCGCAACAAGCTGTTCCTCCTACGCTCGGACATTCCCTACTACAACCTGGCCGGCCCTGACCGTACGCTCGAGAGCCCCTCCCTCCCCCCCCGCCCACTTTCTCTCGGCGACATAGCCCCCTCCTCCCCCCCGGGTGTATCGTTGGCCGTTGGTTGGTGGGTGGGCAGCCCCGCACTCACTCCGCTCTTCTGACCTGGTTGGTGGCTGGTGGCGGCTGCAGCTACGCCGGACCGAGCCGGGGTGTTCTACGTCCACAACTTCAGCCCCTCGCTGCGCACGGGCGACATTGTGCGCCACTTTGGCTCCTTTGGGCGGGTGTTCGTCAACTGGGTCGACGACACCTCCCTCTTTATCACCCTCTCCGACAAGGCCCAGGCGCCTCACGTACCCCCCCCCTCCTTTTCCCCCTCTTTCATCTTCCTTTCGCCCGCCACTATCCAGAACATGTTGCCGTGGCCGTCGTGGTGGTGCGGGTGGACTCACCTGTACTTCAACTACATCGACGGTACCAGGTCATGGCTCACTTCGACGGCGTCGAGACCAGGCCGCCGTTTGACGTGCTCGACAGTGCGGGCTATCAGGCGTGGCGGCATTCCCTCGATGGCGCCCCCTCGAGCGTAGGTCTACGCTCACCAACGTCCCCGCTCCACCCCTACGCGCCGGGATCCCTCTCGTCGCCCTACTCCCCGCGCCCTCCGGCTGCGTCGTCGTCGTCGGACGCTCGTTCCGCCACGACCGGCAAACGCAAGCGGGACGCCCCTGAGGAGCTGGAGGAGGGCGAGATACGCGAGGAGGGCCTGCCCACCGCCACCGCCACCACCGAGGAGGAGGAGGAGGAGGAGCAACGCCAGGCCAAGCGCGGCCGCCACGAAAAGGAAGGCGACAACAACGGCCACCACCACCACGAGGAGGAGGAGGACGAGGAGGCCCGGCAGAATGACGACCAGCCGGCGTCGTCGTGTCTCCTCCAGTAGGCGCAAATGTAAGAAAATAAAAATGGCATTTATTTTGGTTTTCGCCGTTTCTCTGGCGTTTTTCTTTGATCCGATCGATCAACACGTCACCGGCAGAGAGGAGGAGCATCCGGCTGCAAGGGGCGTTAAGATACGGCAGAACCATGGGCGTGTTGTTTTCAAAGGTATGGCAAGCCTTCTTCAGCTACGACGAATTCAAGGTCATCATCGTGGGTCTCAACAACGCCGGCAAGACCACCACCCTCTACAAACTGTATGGCCAGCTCCACCACCACCACGGGACGTCGCACGATCTGATTTCTTTTTTGTTTGTTTGTTTGGTCGGGGGGAGCAAAGGCTTCTGAATGAAGTGGTGGCGACAGCCCCCACCATCGGCAGCAATGTGGAGGAGATTGTCTACAAGAACATCAAGTTTGTGATGTGGGACATCGGGGGACAGGAGGCCGTGCGGTCCTCGTGGACCACCTACTACGTCAACACCCACGTACCTCCCCCCGCCCTGCCATTTCCCTCCGCTCGTGCCACGCGCGAGTGCCCCTTCTCCTCCTCCTCCTCCTTTCGTGGGAACGCTCACGTAGGCCCACCACCACCGCCACCAACCGCGTTGCACGCGGCATCTTTATGGTGCCTCTACACACCTGTTTTTGTTGTGAAAATGTGGTCATGTGGCAGGCGGTGATCCTGGTCGTGGACAGCACAGACCGTAAGAATGTGAAGATCGTGAAGGAGGAACTCGAGAAGATGCTTCGACACGAGGTGCCCGAGACCTCTTCTTCCTCCCCTTCCCCCGCCCCGCTGACTGGTGGTGGCGGTGGTGGCGGTGCGGGCCACTTGACCAGTCGCTTCGCACGGCCAAGATACTGGTGTTCGCCAACAAGCAGGACCTGAAGGGGGCCATGACCTCGGCCGAGCTCTCCGACGCGCTCAATCTGCACGCCGTCAAGGACCACGACTGGCACATCCAGGCCTGCTGCGCTCTCACGGGAGAGGGGTACGCCCCTTTTCCCTCTCTTCTTACTTGCCCCCCTCCCCCGCCCCCTCTTGCGCGCTCTCTAACCACCTCTCTGCGTGTGTTGTGTGTGTTGTGTGTGTGTGTGTGTAACATGCGCCGGCAGGTTGTTTGCGGGCATGGACTGGCTGGCGCAGCAGATCAAAGGATGAGCGAGACGGCCGTGTGGACCATCCGGCCGGACAGAGTGGCCACTTCGCGAGCGAGTATGTAGATATGGGCGTGTGTGGCCAGCAACCCCCCCCCCAACCACCAAACCTGCGCGCCCGGGCTTCCCCCATTTTTTTTTGCTTGCTTTGCTTGCTGCTGGTGCAGTTGGCGCGAGCGATAAACCAAAATCAAACCAAAACCAAGCCAAGAAGTGTGCGATCATCGAAGGAATCCCTTCCGTTGTCGTCGTCGTCGTTTTATCTCTTTCTACTTTCTTACAATCAGCCGTGCTGTACATGGTGGGTGGTGGTTGGGGGGGGGAGGTGGTTCAGGCCGTGTGCGTGCCTCACTGTCGCTGACATTGGTGTGGCGCGCCGGGCACCGTGGGCGGGAGCGGGGAGGAGAGAAAGCGGAGGGGAGAGTGGTGGCCCACCAGCTGCACGCTGCCGCCGCTGCTGCCGGTGGTGGTGGTGGTGGGCGGGAGCATGAAGGGCGGGCCGGGGCGGAGAACAGCTGCGGTGTGGTGGCCGAAGGCGGTGTAGCGCTTCTTGGGAGGTGCGGTCGAGGGCGGGAGGGCGAGCTTCCTCCGTTCGCTGAGGAAGGAGTAGGGCAGCGACGAGGAGAAGCCCTGGCCGCCGCCGCCGCCCGGCTCATCGACCTCCATCGCGGCACTGCTGGTCGCCTCGCCTTTGGCCTCCTTGGCCTTGCCTCCTCCCCTCGCCTTGCTGCTACTGCTGCTGCTGCTGCGATCGTTGGCGGCGGCTGCAGCGGCGGCGGCGGCCTTCTTGGCCTTGGCAGCTGCGGAGGAGGGCCGTTCCTTTCCGGCCGCGACTCGTCGTTCCTTGGCCCGCTTGTTCTGTTGGTTGCCACGTGCGTGCGTGAGACTATGCAAAGAAAGCAGATGGCGACACGCAACTGTGTGTGTCGTGTCGTGTCGTGTGTCGTGTGTTTAGTGTGGCGGGTGTACCTGGAACCAGTTCTTGACCTTGGAGGGCTTCATGCCGAGGCGTTCGCCCGTGTGGCGGATGAGCTCCGACGAGGGGAACTTGTCCTCGCGGTACATCTTCTCCAGCACCACGACCTGGTCGGCCGTGGCCCTCTTCCGCTCCACGGGCCTCTTCCGCTTCCGGTGGTGGCCGGTGCCGGTGGTGCTGCCGCCGCCGCCGCTCTCCAGGATCTCTTCCTCGCACAGCAGAAGAGTGTCCCCGTCGTCGTCCTCGTCCACCTCGACGTCGTCATCGGCGGCTTCGTCGTAGCTGGTGGCCGCCTCCCCGTCATCGTCCGAATTGTAGTGCCTGGCGGCGGCATCGGCCCGCTTTCGCTTGCGGGTGGCCCGGAGGACCACCTCATTGTCGTCGCGGGCAGTCACGACCGTGGCCGCGGACCGGCTCACCCGCGGCGGACTGCAGAGAGGAGCGGGTTGGCTGTCGCCGGCTGGGACCACGGCCGGAGACGGAGCCTTATCCTCCTCCTCCTCTTGCTGCTGCTGCCGCCTCCGGTGTTGGTGGTCGTGGAGGCGGCGGCGCTCTCGTCGTCGCAGGCGTCGCTGGTCGCGGTAAACCCGCTTGGCCTCCTCGCGGCGCGCTCGCTTCTCTGCGCGGGCCTGCTCGACACCCGACGACGAGGGGGCGTCCTCGCGCCCCTTCCATTCGGCTTCCGTGGGACGCCTCTCCTGGCGCCCCTCCTCCTCCTCCTCGCGACTCTCCCCTCCGCTGTCGTGGCCGTTGTGGCCGCCGCCGCCGCTCTTCTTCGCGTGGTGGTGCTGGTGGTGCTGCTGGTGGTCATCACGGGAGGCGAGGGGGGGCTGCTCGGTGTCTTGCTTGAGGGAAGGGTGCTTGAGGGCCAGCAGGAAGAGAGCGTTGCGCATGATCTCCTCCGCACCATCGGTTCCGCCCCCGCCGCGCGGCGGCGGCAGCAGCCCTGGTGGTGGCGGCGGTGGTACCGATAAGCGGGCCGCCGACGCCGCCGCCCGGGGGTCGTGCGGTGGTGGTCGTTGCAGCAGCAGCAGGGGGGGTGGTGGTGCTCCTCCGGCTGCCCCGTGGTGGTGGTGGTGGTGGTGGTGTAGGGGCGCCGGGCCAGGGGAGGCCGGGGAGGCCTCGGGCAGCTCTGGGCGCTGCTCGCCCTCCTCCTGGCCGTCGTCCTCCTCCTCCTCCTCGTCTTCGTCTTCGATGATCTCGAGACCCGTGTCCTCATGACGGTCGTCGTCTTCCTCCGACAGAACGTCGTGGTCGTCCTGGTCGTCCTGGTGGTGGTCGAGGAGGGGGCGCTGCTCGGTGGTGGGGGCAGCGGCGGACATGATCGCCCCGCCGGGAGCAGCCCTGCGCAGCCGGTGGAGGTGGAGGGCGTGCTGCTTCTCCTCCTCCTCCTCCTCCTCCTCCCCCACGTCGTCGTTGTTGTTGTCGTCGTCGTCGTCGTCATTGGCGGTGGTGGTGGTGGTGTAGAGGTGGTGGTGCGCTACTGGCGCGCAGGCGGTCATGGCCGGCACCAATGTGCGTGGCCACAGCGAGGGCGAGCTGGTCCCGCTGCTGCTTCGGGGAAGATGCAAAAAACCACCACCACCACCGGTAGTGGTGGTGGTGGTGGTGATGGCAGACGTCGTCGTCGTCGTGGTGGGTGGGGTGTGTACAAAGTGGTGCAGGCTCCCGGCGGGAGGAACGTCAGGGCTGCGAGTGGTGGCGGTGGGCACCCGTTCTACTGGAGTAGTAGTGATCGAAGAGGAGTAGGTGTGGCAGATATGGTCGTTAATGGCGGTGCTTGCGAGTACTCGCGTGGTGGGTAATAGGAGTAGCCGTAGTAGTAGTAGAGGGGGTAGTCGTACTCGTGAGTAGTGGGGTGGTGTGCTGTGGTGTGGGACAACGAACGAATGGAAGGACGAACTGCCGCAGCGGCGTGGCCTTTACTACGAGTCCCGCCCCCCCGGAAGGCCAGGTACTGGTCAAAGTCCGACTTCTCCTCGTATGGGTGGGCGTCACGCCCTTTCACTGGGCAAAGTCCGACAAACTGGGTTATTGCAAGGAATCTTACCCCGTCGGAGTCTCCTTCATTCCGCGGAAGAGAAAGTGGCGATAGCACTTACCATAACCCGTCGTGAATGAGCCGGATAAATCCCAGCATGCCATAATTTGCTGCCTTTTCTTTGCCTTCACCGGGCATCTTTCCCTGGACAGGAAGTGACACCATGGTATGACTCCAGACATGGAGATCCCTGACAGAAGCTTCCTGAAGCTGGCAAAAGGCATTTTATTGTAGCAATTTTCTTCCGCCACGGCAAGAGAGCCAAAAAGTTTACATTTACGTTGCCAAGACTCACTTGCCCACGGGGAGAACTTCGTAGGTGGGAGCAGTTGACCCATACGTAGTGGTGGCCTTGCTATCGCCAACAGACCCATAGGAGGTGCTGTAGGTGGACCCAAGACCCTTGTGTGGTGTGGTGGCGTAGAAATCGCCAAGCACGTTGGGATCAGGCTCCATCGCAACCTCCACCTGGTCCACTGCATAGCCCCCCTGACGTCTGCCCTCAACTGCGAACGCAAACACACACAACAACTGAGCGTCCTACGCAACCAAAAAGGAAGGGGAGCGGGGAGGAAACCGTACTCTTCTTGTAGTCCTCTTCGATGATGTCGCGGAAGTAGACATACATCATCAGGTGCATTGCGCCAACCAGCATGGCCAAGATACCAGCCAGCACTCCGAGAGGTCCCATGATTGTCGTCAGCAGGCCCACGCTATTTGTGCCCACGCAACGGCCGACCGGTTCACTTTGTGAGAGACCACCCTCGCTGAGGCATGGGGGGCAGGGTCCTGAGAGGGGAATGCGCAATGATATATTGAAACGAGTACCAGAAGGTGAAGATGCCCCGGCCATTGTAGGCAGCAAGGAACATCGCCCAGCGGAAAACGATGTCCCTTATTTGCGGAATGGGGAAAGCAGCCATGACCACCATCACGCTGCAGAACCTGCGTGTGTGCGCCCCCACCACCACCGCCGCCGAGGCGTGAGTCGGGCGGGAAAAAGAGAGGGGTGGGGGGGGGATAAAACTACAGAGAGAAGATGGGGGACAAGGTACAAAAGAACGATCCCACCTATCCAGCGGAGAAGGCTGAAGCCGGCGAGTATGCCAAGAAAGATCGCTACGCAAAGAAAGATGCCCGTGACGAAGGTGAGGAGGTTCATCATCCACACGGTGGGCTTGGCTTCCAAGTATCGGCGCAATCTGCCGCGCAGCCCCTCCGCGGGGGTGGCCAAGTTGCCATCTGTGGTCAGGTAGACCGTTTCGTTGGGGGCCAGTATGGCCGTGTTTTCCATCATCTCGGCCCAGCCCGTTTGTCGCGCCTACTTCTGTGGCCCAGAAAAATAAATATATAAAAAGAAAATACAACAAAACAGCTTATGGTGGCATTTTCTCAACAGTAAAGGCCCACGCACCATGATCCACTTTGTGTTGCTCCTGAATCGGCAGGGCAAGACGCGCCTGGCCAAGTGGTTCTCCACCTACACTGCCAAACAGCGCGCCCGTTTCTCGCGGGAGGTTTCCACCTTGGTTTTGAATCGTAATGCGCGCTACTGCAACATAATCGAGTGGAAGGAGCACAAGCTCATCTACAAGAGGTACCTCTCATACTGGCTCTGTGCGGGAGAACTTTAGGCGATGTTGGATTCCGAATAATGAAATAACCAGGCAATGATAATGATAATAAATTAATAAATCAATTTATTAATAGATATGCAAGCCTCTACTTCGTGGCCTGCGTGGACTGGAACGACAACGAGCTGGTAACTCTCGAAACCATCCATCACTTTGTTGAGATCTTGGACAAATACTTCGGCAACGTACGCTGCACCCGTCCTTGCGCCTTGCCTGCATAACGCGTTACTCACGCCGGGTTGATGAGGGGTGGTTGCAGGTGTGCGAACTGGACCTGATATTCAACTTCCACAAGGTGCTCCCCTGCTCAGCCGTGTCCCGCCCGTTCGCTGGCTGCTCGGTGATCATTCATCATGATAACCGGGTGGATTGGTTCTTGTTGCGTGCGTGCGTGCGTGCGTGCGTGCGTGCGTGGGGGGAGCACAGGCCTATTTCGTCCTCGACGAGCTTATCGCCACGGGCGAGCTGCAAGAATCTTCCAAAAACGCAGTGCTTCGCTGCGTGGCCCAACAAGACGTCCTCCAGGTTCGTTCCTGCTCCTGTTCGTTGCGTTTCTCTGATTCCCCTGCCACCTGTTCATTCCTCCCTCCCCTCTCTTAACATCACAACAGGAAGCGCCCCACGAAAACAAGGCCGAGCTCTAATCTGTATAGCTCGTGTTTGTTCCACTGCGCGCCACCATTTCAAGTTTTAAGGACCTTCACCCACAACTACCTGTTGGGTGGGTACATTCTCAGCCGATCTTGGTCTGTGGTGCTGCCGCGCGGGTTCTTGTAGTACTCCGTCCGGAAGGCACGACCTGCATCGCTCTCACCTGGTGGTGGATGATGAATGGTGGGTGGTGGACGTTAGCAGTCAGTGAAGCTACTCATTCCCGTCCTGCTGTGAGAAATCCGCGCATCCAGCGGGAAAGGCTGCGTGCCGTACATTCCTGTACAAGAATTCCAGCGATTTTGGTCGCCCTAGCAGCCACAACGACGATGCCAGGACACCACACATTAGGGGGGTCTGGGTCAGACACCAACAGATGAGAGGGCATGGATGCGGAAGAGGAACCCAAGTTTTATGAGCTGGCGCCATGGCAGCGCATGCAGTATAAGGTGGAAACCCTTCTTATTTCTTGGGAGGGGGAGGTAGCAATGTCCTTCGTAGATGAAGGCGCAAAAAGATGAAGAACTCACTCTTTGTCTCACGTTCGTCGTGGTGTCGTTGCACTTCTAGTCGTTCCGAGGCTGGTGCAACAACTACCTGCCACCGCACCGCCAGATCAAAGCCCTTTCGACAGCCTTCCAAGATGGTACGCACCGCCCAGTCGTTACTTGACCCGGCCAGCCGACGAGGGGGCATGCGCACATGTGATGAATTGCCAACGCACGCACTCGCACTCACGCACGCACTCACGCACTCACACTCATCAGGTCTGCTGCTGGCCAAGCTGCTCAAGGACCTCAGCGGCGAGTCCGTGACGGGCCTGAACAAAAACGCCAAAATGAAGATCCACCGCATAAACAACCTCTTCCACTGCTTCAACGTCATGCGGGACCAGAAGATGAAGCTGCAAAACATCTCCGCCGAGGGTTCCTACCCCCCCCCCTACTCTCGCTGTCGCTAGCGCATGCTCCCCTCCCCTCCCCTCTTGATGGCGCTGTAGTGACCTTGTGCGTGTGTGCGCTGGTGTGTGTGTGTCGTACAACGTTGCGGCAACAGATGTGGAAGAGTGCGACCTCAAGCTAATTGTGGCCCTCATCTGGCACTTCATCATGCACTACGAGCTCCAACTCGAAGATGGTGGCACCGGTGCGAGGGCCTCTCCTCTTGCGCATTGCTCGTCGCGTCCCATGCTTGTGCTGTGGCCGGCCGGCTCTTGTGTGCGCTCACCATTTTCATTAACCGGTGGTGGCTGCTGGTGGTGGCTGCTGCTGGTGGCTGGTTGGGTGGATGAATGGTTCGCAGCCAAGGACAGGCTGCTGGAGCGGCTCAACAACTTCCTGCAGGACCAAGACGACCACTCCAGCGCTTCCCTCATCACTCCTAGTTCTCCTCGCCAACAGCCTCCTGAGCAGCAGCAGCAGCAGCAGCAGGCATTGTCCCTCTCCAATCGTGTCGTGTATCACATGTGTATGCTGTGTGTCGTGTCGTTGGTCATGTCGTGTGTGTTTTTTATTGTGCCTTCTTTTCCGCTGCTGTATGTTTGTCCGAGACTCATTCTCAAGTTGGTTGTGCCGCGACCACGCTGCAGCCCACCGCCACCGCGCAGGCAGCCGTGGTGAGCAATTTTGATACGGCCTTCCAGGACGGATCGGTGTTCTTCCACATGGTCAAGAAGCACCGGCCCGACCTCCTCCCCAGCGAGCCCGCCAGCATGACCATGGTGTGGCGCCACGCGCACTCCCCTCCCCCCCTCCCCTCCCGGCTTCTCCGTTGTTCGTCGAGGGCGGGCGGGCTGACTCGTGGCGTGTGCGTGTGCGTGTGCGTGTGCGTGCAGCGGGAGTTGCTGGAGAAGGTGTTCGGCCTACTCAACTCCGTATGGGGCGTGCCGCAGCTCATTTCGGTCTCTGAAGTGGTCGACTCCAAGCCCGACGACAAGTCCATCATGACCTACGTCGTACGCCTTCCTCTTCGTCGACGGAGACACACACACACGCCCTCCCTCTCTGAACACTTACCCTGAGCACGCGTGAGCTCGTGGGCAATCAATCTTGGGGGGGAGGGGGAGTGAGAAGGCCGCGTTGCTCATAACCCCCCCCCTCTCTCCTCCATCCCCCCTCCCCTCTACCTACTCCGGCAGGCCCTGTGCCTGGACGCGTTTTCGCGGACGGCGTCAGTCCTTACACCGCTCGAGGCGGCCGAGAAGCTGTTCAAGAAGGCGCTCGCCTTTCGTCCGCACGGCAGCCCGGTGGGAGGCGATGAAAAGGACGGGCCGGGGCACGAGCCCGAGCCGGAGGCGGACGAGGAGCGGCAGGTGGAGCTGCTGTTCGCCCTCGATCTGAGCATGAGCTGCATGCGCGCCTTCGGTCAGGAATGCGACAAGCGCGAGGAGCTCCAGAAGGGGCTACGCCGACTCAAAGACCTCCGGTCGCGATTTTACGCCGCCGCCTCCTCCGCCACCACCGGGCAGCAGCTGGGCGAGGTCATGGCCGAGCTGGAGCGCGTCCACGGCGAACTGGTGCAGCTCATCACGTCCGACCCCGAGCACCAGCGAATGATGAAGCTGCGCGTGAAGCGGTGGCGCCGCCGCAGCAAGGACCCCAAGGAGGACCTCCACATCCAGGCCTGGGGCTCCCACCTCACCCGCAAGCTGGCCACCCTCCCCGCCGCCCCGCCGGGCGATGACCCCGCCGCCGACTCTGCCGCCACCCAGGTACCGTTACCATGTAAACAGTTTCTATCCATAGATAAATTAGATAGCTCATGTAGCCGGGCTTCATCCTCTTCCTCCATTCTCACCCGCTCTCCGTGTGTGTCGTGTGTGTCGTGTGTGTCGTGTGTGTGTCGTGTGTGTCGTCTAGGCGTGCAGCAAGCACACCGAGTGGAGCATCAGGAGGAGCATCAAGAGTCTGGAGGAGGTGATGGCGCAGTGCCAGGGCCACCTGCGGGTGGGCGACTTTGACGAGGGGTGGTTCAAGGTGGTGGTCGAGGTGCTCGTGCGCAACATCCGCCACGCTCTCCCCTACCTGCTCCGCCGGCTGCTGGCCGACACCAAGACCAACAACATCGACAACCTCTCGGTCTTCTCGGGCGAGATCCAGGTGGAGGAGCTCGACACCGACCACAACCCGTTCGCCGACCTCATCCGTCCGCTCGTGGCCGCGTCGATCGACCTGCTCCTGGCGTTCGTCTCCTTCCGGAAGCAGACCAACAAGGTCATGATGGCCACCATGGCCGCCAAGCGGGCCCACGTCCGGCGGGCCTCGTTCTCGCTGCACGCCCTCCTCCACAAGTACCTCCTCGCACCCCACCACCACCCGGCTCCCCCCGTCATCGCCTCGCCCGCCCCGGACCGCGTCATGCACCGCATCCGGCGCATCGAGCGGCTCCGCCGGTTGGTCACCGCCATCAAGCGCCGCATGCAGGAGCGGTTCTGGCGACGACCGGTCGCCTCCAACGAACTCTTCGACGAGGGCGAGCTGTTCGACCTCCGCTGGATCCAACTCATCAGCCCACTCTGGCTCGCCCTCCTCGGTACTGCCCTCCGTCACTTGACTCACTTGACTCACTCCACTCCACTCCACTCCACTCCACTCCACTCCACTCACTTCACTCGCTCACCCTTTCTCTATCACCACGACCACCAACCCGACCATAACCAACGTTGCTGCAGGGAAGGAGCTGGTGGAGATCACACATATGACCATCCACGAGACCAGTGCGCCCCACACGTGGGAGCACCTGCGGGGCTGCCTCGAGGCCTTCCTAAAGAGCCTCGCGGACATGGTGGGCCTTCTCACACGCCAGCGCTTCGCCTGCCGCGCCGCCGCCGCCGCCGCCGCCCAGGTCGAGCAGCACTCGGGAGCGGTCGAGGAGGAGAAAGAGGGGCAAGAGGAGGAACCTCAGTCGCTCGAGCGACCTCGCAAGTGGACGGCCCGCGAGGACGACGACTTCATGCTCCAGTTCCGGCAGCTCCGCAGGACCCTCTTCCGCCACCTGGTGCGTAGCGCTCCTCCTCCCTCCTCCATTGCTCCATCCACCACGTCGCCAGCCGTAACCCCGCCACCGGTTGTGGCGTCGGTTTGCTTCTCGGTCGCACTCGCACTCACGATATCTGTGGCGGCGGCGGCGGCGGCGGGGGGTGGGGTGGTGGTGGTGGTACAGGAGGACTACATCCACGGGAGCCGGTTGGTGTGGAACGATGACGCCCTGCCTTGCGATCCGCCTCGCGCCTTCCCGCCGGCGCTACACGACCTCCACGCCCTGGCCGCCCAGCTCATGGCTGTCGCTCGCCCCTCCTCCTCGTCGTGGTGCGGGGTGGAGGGCGAGGCGCTCGAGGCCACGGAGCGGTGGGTGGAGGCGTGCCCCGTGGGGTCGCTGGTGGCCTCCAACAAGAGCATCGTCATGCAGCGCGAGTGGCTGGTCGGAGTGGAGACGAGCCAGAGGCGGCGTCCCCCCAAGGGCAGCAGCGACAGCGACAGCGAGGGCGGGGAGAGCGGCAGAGCGACAGAGGCGGCGGGGATCAAGCCGACAGAGGAGAGGAGAGGGGTCCAGCAGCAGCAGCAGGGGAGCGGCAGCCGAGTGGGCCAAGGGTCGGGCCTGCTCAACAGCCGCAACCAGAAGGAGATCAAGGTGGCCCTCCACATGAACGCGGCCGCCGACGCCGAGGTGGAGCGGCAGAGGCGCAAGGAGGAGCGCCGGAAGGAGCAGGAGCAGCGGGCACGCACCAACGAGGAGACCTTCGAGCGCACCCGCGAGGAGCTCGACAACTCGCGCCGCGAGTGGCAGCTCCTGCGGCAGGACCGCGAAAAGCAGAAGCGCGACGCCGCCCGCCAACGCGAAAGGGACAAGATCGACCTGGCCCTCGCCGCCGCCCACCAGCTGCTCGACAAGGCGCGCCTGTGTGCGTCGGCCGACCCTCAACTCCTCCTGGTCTGTACCCTCACGTGCTTGCGTGCTGGCGTGCTGGCGTGCTTGTGCTCCTCTTCTCGCCACCACTCACCGTACGTGCGCACGGATCACGGTGCAGCAGCAGCAGCAGCAGCAGGAGCAGGATTTGGTGGGGTGGTTCCGCGTGACCGTGGATGCGCTGGTGGGCCACGTGCGCAAGATCGCCGAGGGCGGGCCAGTGCGGGAACTCACGCTGCTGGGCTTCAACAACGCCGCCGAGTTCCTCCTCGAGTGGCACCTCTGGCGAGCCGCACAAGCCGGCCTGCGCGAAGGAGGCCAGCAGCAGCAGCACCAGCAGCAGCCCGACCACGACCCCAAGGGCAAAGGCAAGGCCAGGGCCAAGGGCAAGGGCAAGGCCCATACCGCCGCCGTGGCAGACGAGAGCGGGGCCGACTCGCCGCCAACGATGGACGGGAGCGCGGGGGGCCGTAATGCGGCCTACGTGGGCTACCTGGCGGATAACACGCGCGACGGATTCGTGACCGTCCACAAGGCCCTCACCGTCCTCCGCGACCACCAGACTGCTGCTGCTGCTGCTGAGGGCACATCCGCGGCCGCCGCCAGCGGCACATCCATCGCCGAAGAGCGCCTCAGGACGACCAAGAAGCGGTTCGAATGCCTCCCTCCCCATTCATTCTGCCCCCCCCCACCGCCATTTCCCTCGCTTCGCGCCACATGACACACCCGTGGTGGCTGGCTGGCTGGCTGGGTGGGTGGGTGCGCAGAGTGAGGGCCATGCAGGAGCAGGTGGTGTACCTCGTGGAGACGCTCAAGGAGAAGCTGGCCAAGCCCTTCTACCTCAACGGTGGCGGATGGCGCACCGAAGTCGACTGGCTGGTGATGATCGTACGCGAAATCCTGCGCGCCGCCCTGGGTACCCGCCCGCCCACCCACCACACGCTTCTTCCCGTGTTGGTCCCGCTTCCCCCTTGGCATTGCCCGCGCGCGTGTCGTGTGTGGTGGTGCAATCCGTCTCCACTCAAGTCTTTCCTCTCTCTCTCTCTCACGCGCGTGCGGGGACTCACGACACACGATGCACGACGCAGAGAGTTGTCCGGACGTGGAGAGCGGGTCGGCGGAGAGGGTGGTGGAGGCCCACGTGGCGGGGATGGGGCTCGCGGTGCGGGAGATGGTGGGCCTCATGGAGCAGCACTTCGGCACGGAGGTCAAGGTCAAGAAGCGCTTCCAGGACCACCGCGATGATCTTCTCCGCCACGCCGACGACCTCGTGGCCGCCCTCGCACGCCTCTGGAGTTCCCGGAGCAGCTCGTCCATGAACCAGCCCGCCAGCCACCACCAGGTGGCCGTGGCCACCACCACCACCACCACCACCAGCACATCGGCTTCGCTACCGGTGGAGCGCCTGCTGGCCGACCTCGACGACCTGGAGCTCAAGAAATCGCGGAAGCGTGTGCCCGTCGTCGAGGCCGAGACCACGCAACAGTGGGCCGCCACGCTCCTTGCCCAGATGACGGCCCTGACCCCCGCCACTGCCGACCCCGCTTCTTCCGCGGGCCACGACGAGGCCGAGGTCGGCGGTGTGGAGGCGGAGGGGGAGGAGGAGGCGCCTGACGGCGACGACGAGATTGACCTCGAGCAGGAGCAGGCCGAGGCCGCCCAGTTCATGGCCAACGCCGAGGAGGGCGTGCGGCAGCTGAACGAAGTGTCCGCCCTCACGGACCCCGACGTCATGGACGTCGACGACTTTGACGAAGACAAATTCAAGACGCGCGTCAAGGTCTTCTTCGACACCAACAAGAAGACCCTCCTCTACCTCCGCAAGAAGTCCAAGCAAACGGTGCGCCCTCTCTCCTCCGTGTGCCGTTGCGCGTGCGCGTGCGCGGCGGTGCGTGTGCAAAATTGGACCAACGCGCGCGTTCTGACGGGTGAGGGCGCGTCGGCAGTTCATGCGCCTCGCCCTCCAAGCGAGGAAGCTGGTCGACGATTCGCGAGGACTCCTGGAGACGGTGGACGAGTACAAGAACACGCTCACCGGTGCGGCCACCCCCCCCCTCTCCCTTTTTCAGCTTGAATGTCTCCACACGGCACGCACACGGCACGCACGCACGCACGCACGCACACACACACACGACACTGATCGGGGTGCACCGGTGGTGGGATCCATGACAATAGAAAAGGCCAAGGCCAAGGTGACGGCCAAGGCGCGGGGCGTGAAGGAGAACGTGCAGGGCATGGCCAAGGCGGTGACGACGGCCGTGAAGGAGGAGGGCGAGCGGTTGCAGGAACTCAAGACCCGGATGCTGGCAGCCGTGAGCAGCGAGGAGAGCGAGGAGGAAGTGGAGCCGGGCGCCCTCCACGACATCATGGAGCACCTGTCCTCGCTGCACCTCAAGGTCGAGCGGGCCACGAGCCCCCTCACGAGCCCACGCTCGCCGACCACCACTCTAGCCTCCGGCAAGGCGGGCGTGGGCGAGGGCGAGGGCGAGGGCGGCGGCGAAGGGCCACCGGCGCTGCTGACGACGCGCGCGAGGATGGTGAACGAGAAGCGGAGGTCGTGGCACTCGCGGCAGCTCGAGATGCGGTCCATCGACGCCTTCCTCAAGCAGAGCAAGCAGGACAAGGACGAGGACGCGCGCCTCCGCCGCCAACGCGCCGACCAGGCCCGGCGCGAGACGGACAAGCGGGAGCGCAAGCTGGGCCGGAAGGACAGCCAGCGGCGCAAGAAGCAGATGCGCAAGCTGGGCCGCTGTGTGCGTGAGTGCCACCACGGCCTCGTCAAGCATCTGATCTCCGCCCGCGAGGCCACCCTCGTGGCCCACGGCCAGTGGACCTTCGACCTGCGCTGGTTCCTCTTCGTCACTCGGGGCGTCCTCGTCAGCGGCAAGCACCTCATCGCCCTCAGCGAAGACCGCCAGGGCGGCGACGCCGCCATCGCCCGCGCCAGAGCCCTCCGCGCCAGCCTCCTCAAGCTCGACGACCTCCTCAGGCTTCCCCCCGCCTCTTCCGCCTCCGCCGCCTCCGCCTCCACTCCCGCCTCGCCCCGCGGCTGCGGCGACGACGATGGCGACGGCGAGGAGGATCTGTCCCTGGCACTCCGCAACTTTGGGCTCTTCCGCACCAACATCATCGACGACCTCAGCGCCCTCATCGCCGCCCTCAAGCTCCTCTGGAAACGACCCACCGCTCGTACCGCACGCACCAGCCTCTCGCTCTCTCTCTCTCTCTCCGCTCTGCTGACACGACCAACGACACGACACGACACGACCAACGACACGACACGACCAACGACACGACACGACCAACGACACGACAGAGCTGGAGGAGGAGAGGGCAGCGGTGGCGAGCACGGTGCAGGCGATGGAGGGCGTGATTCGGGGCTTCGAGGCCATGGAGAGGAACGTCGACCTGGCCAGGCGCACGGAGGACAGCGATGCGCCGGACGAATGCGACGCACAGCAGCCGGCCGAGGCCAGCAACGGTGGGAGCGGGAAGAAGAAGAGGAGCATAAGCCTCCGCCGGCTGCGGTCACAGCCGGAAGTGTCGACGACCGCCGGTCTCCTGGACGATCGCAAGCGACACAAGGCCGCCCACAAGTCGGCGTCTCCGCGGGAGCGAATGTCGTCGTCGACTTCGGCGATCGCCACGACGACGTTGCGTGGCAGGGGCGACCAGCAGCAGCAGCAGGCCTCGGAGAGTGAGGCGGACGCGGCGGATCGCTCGCTCAAGACTTCGCTCTCTTCGGCGGCCTCCTCGCTCTCGCCGTCGCCGCGCTCGGGCAGTGCGCCGTCGTCGCCGCGCGAAATCGAACACCTGGGCAGGGGGAGGCCGCCACCGAGAGCGCCTCGCGCGGTGACGCGGGCGTCGCGCAAGCAGGAAAAGCGGCTGCAGAAGCCCCTGGCCTTCATCTTCGAGGCCGACATGGCCCTGGATGCCGCCCCCGCGAGCATCGAAACGGAAGGCCACCACCACCACCACCACCACAACGTTGACGCGGCCGAGGCTCCCGCCGACCCCGACCACCCGGTAGCCGCAGCCGCAGACGAGGACAGCGATGAGGAAGTCCTCACGCCTCGGGCCGCCCAGGACAAGGCCCGCCGCAAGGCCGAGCGACGCGCGCGCAGAGAAGCCCGCACCCAGCGACGCGAATGGAAGCAATGGAAGCGGTACGAGCTCGTACCCAGACCCCTCTCTCTCTCTCTCACTCTCGATAGCCCCCCCTCACTACTGGCGGGCGTGGTGGTGGTGGTGGCTGGTGCTGGCTGGTGGTGGCTGGTGGTGGCTGGTGCTGGCTGGTGCTGGCTGGTGGTGGCTGGTGGTGGCTGGTGCTGGCTGGTGCTGGCTGGTGGTGGCTGGTGGTGGCTGGTGCTGGCTGGTGGTGGGTGGGTGGTGGTGGCTGGTGATGGCTGGTAGATAGCACCAGGCTCCGCACGCACTCGCATTTGGTGGATATGTTTCTTGGCCGACAGGCCTCTTCCCGCGTGCGATACCAACCAAACCCAACCCAAACCAACCCAAACCACGGCTGGCAGGGACCAGAACGTGGGGCGGATGTGCGATACCCTGCGCAGCTTTGCCAACGATCTGCGTGCCCAGATCCAGGTACCTACCCACCTACCGCGACGTCATTCGCCCATCCCGCCGCCGCCGCCACCGCCGCCGCCGCCGCTACCACCACACAGCCCAACACTCGCGGGTGGAGCTGATTCGCCGTTTGATCCCCCACCGCTGCCGCTGCTGCGTGTTGTGTTGTGTTGTGTTTCCGCGTGGGTGGCGTGATGATTTCAGGCGCGTCTGTGGGAGCCACACGTGGTTGCCGGAGAGTGGACTCTCGATTTGGATTGGTTCGTGGCTGCCGCCAAGGAAATGGTATGCGTGCTAGCAGCGGTGCCTGTCGTCCGTGTGTGTCGTGTGGTGCGTGTGTGTGTGTGTGTGTGTCGCAGCGTCCCTGTACTGAGAGGCGGGCGGTTGCTGGCGAACGCAGGTTCGCGTGGCCGAGGAGACCATCGAGCAGGTGGGGAAAGACCGAACCCTCGGAAAGGAGAAGGCGTGCAGCAGCAGCAACACGCGACCCACGGAAGGCAGCGACGAGAGCGACAGCAGCACCAGCACCAGCGACGCGCCGAACAAAGATGACGCAGACCACCAAAAGAGCAAGAGCACGCGCAAGAGCAAGGCGGCAACCAAAAAGCAAGTCAAGTCAGGCGCCGAGCCCCGCAGTGCTGACGACGAGGACGACGACAAGAGGCGAGCGGCGATTGTGGCGGGCTCGCACGGGCTGTACGGGGCCATGTCGTCGATTGTGGCGATGATGCTCGCCCACACGCCCACTGACGACGAGGCACGGCGGTACGGGGCCTACCGCAAAAAGGTCATCGACGCACTCAACACTCTGGTGGTGCGGATGAAGGCCGTGTGGGACGTCCATCCCATTGTCACCTGACCTGAACGACCTCCCCCCCCACCACCACCACCACCTCCCTTTCGCGGCGATGATGAATGCAGTTGCGTTTAGACAGTGGTGTGTGTGTGTGTCGCGTGTCGTGTGTGCGCAGCACTAGTGGACCCGCCGTTCAGTGGGCGGGGTGCTGTGGCCGACAGCTTCGGCGTACGCCGAGGCCGCGTGCGCGGGAAAGAGGAACCCCGCAGCAGGCTCGGCGGCGGTGAGGGTCGCTTGGTCCACCTGATGGCCGGAGGGCCGCCAGCGCTGTTCTCGACCGCTAGAGGTCAGCCCGGCCCCGATGCCGCTCACGGTCACGACCGCGTTGATGGGCGGCGCTCCGGCGGCGGCGGCGGCCACGGGGTACTCTTCTTCGTCGTGGTGGGCCAGGTCTTTGGGGATGCAGAGCTCCAGGAGCCCCGTGGAGAAGGTGATTTTTACGCACCTCATTCGTCGGTCATCGACCCAAGGCGGGAGTGGCATGGTGACCATGTAGTTGGCCCCCTCCTCCCATCCACCCTCCCCATCGGAGGCCTACACCACACACCACACACAACATACAACTGTTACCCACCGCGTACTCGGCAGAAGAGAGGAGTGTGTTTGTGGTGGGGAGGGTACCGGAGCGAGGGAGGGCTGGCGGGAGGCCATCAGGCGGAGAGTCCCCTCGTCGAAGGAGAGGGCGATGTCTCGCTTGCGCGCCCCTGTGTCCCCCCGATGAAATAAGAACGAGAAATAAGAACGAGAAAAAAGGCGCATCTGGAGCCCGAACGCACCCGTGAGTTCGGCAAAGACGAAGAGGTTGCTGGCTGTTTCGTGGGTGTAGGTCCGCGGGATGGTGATCACCGCCTGACCCGACGCCGTTGCCGCCCCCGCACGAAGCTGAGCAGCTGCAGGAGCCATGGTGATCACGATTGGCTCTTCCTCGTCGTCCTCGGTGGCCTCCTCCTCCCTCTTGCGCTTCCGCAATGCCCGGGCTGCGTCAGCACTCGCCTCCGCCGCCGCCGCCGCCGAGGACGGAGCGGGCGACCGGAGACCGTGGGAGGCGGCGGCGTGGAGAAGCAGGTCGTACCGACCCGGACTGTTCCATCCCGCCCCATTCTGCCGTGATCACGACACACACGACACACACACACACACACGACACACTCACACACACACACATACACACCACACACACACCACACACAACGAGGACCACGCAGCGATAAGCCCATCCTTCGCCCCAATGATGGTAGAGTGCTCGATGATGATGGGGTGTTGAAATATCGTCATCTGGAGGGCTGGGGGAAGATGGGCGGTGCGTACACTGGGCTTCGTCGTCTTCGAAGTTGTCGCCGGGAGCGAGGGCGCCGAGGAAGAGGAGTTCTTCATGATGGGCCGGCAGCTCGCAAACTGTTGGTTCCAGAAGGCGTGCGAACTCCAGGCCGTCGTGCAGCGCGTGGTGGTCTCCACCCCCTGCGCCAGCATGTCCAGCTATGATAGAAGGCGAACCGCACGACAAGTGACCAACAACTCAACGGGAGACCGGTGGTCATTGGGGCGAAGCCCGCCTCGCGACATTGGGGGGGGGAACAAGGTACGGTACCGTGTGCCCGGCCAGGCCCTCCTTGTTGGGTGCTGCTGGTGCTGGTGATGGGGCTGCTGGTGATGGTCGCGGTGGGGCATCGCAACCACGAGTCGCGATTACAGGCGGTGGCCAATCACCGCTGCTTCTTGCAGCCACCGCCGCAGCTGATGGGAGGGTGGAAGCCGGATCGTAGCGTCTCATCGTCGCTGATCCTCCTGCTCCTGCTCCTGATCCTCCTGCTCCTGCTCCTGCTCCTGCTCTACTGCTACGATACCCTACGGGCGAGAAGGGAATTCCCCTCTCGCTGCTCGTGTACGCGTGCCCGCGACCGTGGGTACGACGGCTGCTGCTGCTGCTGGCGGCCGCGGTGACGGTGGTGACGGTGGTGGTGGTGGTGGTGGTGGCGGCAGCGGCGGCGGCTGCGGATAAGGGGGAGGTGGTGGAGGTGGTGGTGGTAGTGGGAGCGAAGCCGTCACCATGGCTACCATCGGCGGCGGCGGCGGCGGTCGTGATGGCGGGTGCGCCTGTGCGCAAGTGGTGGGGAGCGCTGGCGTGGAAGGTGTGCACCAGGTGGCGGAACAGGGCCTCCAGCTCCTTCGCGCTCCTGGCCTGTACAGCAGCAGGCAGCAAATGACCCGCCACCGCCGCGCCGCATTGCTGCTGCTGCTGCTGCATTGTGGTGGTGGTGGTGGTGGTGGAGGAGGAGGAGGAGGAGGTGGTAGTAGCGGTGGTAGTGCGCTTGCGGTAGGGCAGGGCGGGACGCTTGAAGTCGTCGTCATCGGGGGACTGCTGCTGCTGCTGCTGCTGCTGCTGCTGCTGCTGGCGGTGGCGGTGGCGGTGCTCGAGGGGCTGCTGCTGCTGCTGCTGCTCCCGGTGGAGACCGCCGCTACTACTGCCGGTAGCGGGGGAGGGGGAGGTGGTCGGGCGCGGCTGGTGGCGCCGATGGAGCTGATGGTGCTGAATGTCGTGGCTGCCGTGGGTGGTGCCGTTGTCGTCGTCCTCCTCCTCGGCCTGCCAGGCGTGCGGTGCTGGTGGCGACGACGTCGGTGGCCACGGCCCCTTGGACCCTGCTGGCCCCGGGAGGTCCATGGAGCGGAGGCCTCTTTGACGGATGAGGTGGGCGATGGCGGGCGTGGCTGGCAAGGCACCGGGGTCTCGGTCGGTGACACGCGCGATGCTCCGGCTGCCTCAGCAATGCCAGCGACCACCACCGCCACACGCCACACGCCACGCGGTGGCGAAAGGTGGGCAAACGACACGCACTCACGCATAAGGATCCCGACTGTCCAGGCACGTACGACATGACAGCAGGGGGGCAAGCACGCAACGAGAAGGGACAGATACCAGCGGCAGGGGCATTCACACTTGCCCGAGGTATTGGCCTTCAGAACGACGACGGGGATCTATATCGCTACAGAGATGGCTACTGTGGTGGGGGGGCGCGGTGTACGTCCAAATGGAGTGTGTCCCCACCCAGTGGATGGCACCTTTGCTTCAAGCCCTGGGAGCCAATGGGGAGTGTCGACCCCGACCCATTTTCGAGCCCTTTGTGTGGTTACTCCAGGAATATTCGCTCGTTTCCCACCCAGTACCCTGGCGGAAGTGGCGCCAAAAAAAACACCAAAAAAAAACAAAACAAAAACAAAAATGTGCAGCAGACCACCCCAAGCACCGCCAGCGCAAGTGGCCTTCGCCGCCGATGCCACGAGGGGGGCAGCGCCGCTGCCGCTGCAGTGGCTGGTGGGCACGTGGCGGGGCACGGGGCGTGGCCACTACCCCACCATCCGTACACAGCCCCCGCTCCTACACATTTATACAAATATATATATATACCATTAATATATATTAATATATATTTATCTTTCTGCTGCGCAGAGAGTTGCTGAGGTGTTTGCGGGCTGACGGTGGTTGGTGGTGGTGGTGTGGCGGCCGGTGCAGAAGGATTCGAGTACGGAGAGGAGGTGCGGTTCTGGCGGGTGGGCGGAAAGCCCTTCCTCGCCTACACACAGCGCACCTGGACGGCCGAGGCGCCCCACAAGCCCATGCACACCGAGTGTGGCTATGTGCGCCCGCAGCCCCACCACCGCGCCGAATTCCTCGTGTGCGACCCCACCGGCATAGCCCAGGGTTCGACGGAGCCTTCTACACGCCACACCCACGAGGCAACACAGCTACTAAGCAGAGATTTGGGGGGGGGAGCGTGGTTAGTGTACGAGGGAACAGCGGACCCGGAGCGTCACGCGCTGGAGGTGTCCAGCACTGCGGTGGCGCGCACGTCGTCAGCAAAGGAAGTGACACAACTGCGGCGCGTGTACCGCCTCCGCGCGCCAGCGGAGGGGGCCTCCCCTTCGGACATCGGCGTCCGCCTTGGCTACGGTACGCGTCTCTCTCTCTCTCTCTACTTACACCAGATACCTTATTTTTGTGTAAAGTACACGCACACACGAGATCTTGCCACCACGTGGTCCACCGCCTGGCGGTCGGCAGCAGCTTCCCGTTAACGATGTGGTTTTTTTACCTCTCTATAATATGCGTGCGTGTAGAGGTGGAGATGGCCGCCATGGGGCAACCGCTGCAGCAGCACCTCGTGGGCGAGCTCGAGAAGCTGCAGGAGGAGGAGGAGGAGGAGCTGCAGCTGGGCCAGATCTCACCCGACGCGCTGAAGGAGCAGCTCGATGCCTACACCGTGGTGGATGTCCGGTGCGTGTGCGCCCGCTCGTCAGAAGGAAGGAAGGAAGAGGGACACACACACCACACACACACACACACAACACACACACACACACACACACACAAGACACACAGATCTATCGGAAGGCTGGGGCAGCACACCTCATCGCGTCCTCATATGTGGGTGGGCGGTGCAGGGAGAGGGAGGAGTACGAGCGGGAGCACGTGGCGGGGGCCATCAACCTGCCTCTGGGCCGCCTCCTCAGCATGGCCGCCACCGACCTCGCCGGCCTGTTGGCGCTGCTGCCCCGCCAGCAGGTGGTGGTCTACTGTCGCCAGGGCTACCGTGGCGCACTCGCCCAGAAGGAACTGCACCCCGTACATCCCTCCCGCCACACAGTTCCTTGCTGTTTTCGGCGAGCCTCTAACTCTTGTCTGGGTTCATTCACGTGGATCGTGTGCCGTGCCCAGCTTGGCGTCTCCCGTATCGTCTACAATCTGCAGGGCGGCTGGGAGGGGTGGAACGCCGCTGCGTGACGCTTCGGGAGTTGGTTGTGCACATCGTCTGTCTGCTCGACGAGCGCGTGATGCGGCCCATCCGGCGCGGCCCGACCACCGTCGCCACCGACGAGGAGCTCCGCTTCGTCGACTGATAATTATAATTATTATTGGTTTATTACCCCGTACGAACAGGGGGGGCGACCACCACCCAGCTGGGTGGTGGGGCTGTACATTCACGCGTTCGGGGGGGGGGATGTGTGGTGGTGGGGCTCACTGAGCTTCTCACTGCGGGGCGGGCTTGGGCTGTGCCTGCTGCTCGGCGATCTGGCGGTCGCGTGCCTCGCGGTCCTTGTTGCGCTTTTCGTAGGTGAGGCGGTGGTGGATGATGCGGTCGACGATGGAGGTGGTGGAGAGGCCCTGGGAGTACTTGATCTCCTGGAAGATGCCCAGCTTCTTGGCGGCGGCGTAGGGGTCGTCGGCGGACGGGAGCGGGTAGTACTGGTCGCGCTCGTCGCCGTGGAGGACGAGCGAGATGCGCAGGTTGGTGAGGTCGTCCTCGGAGATGCCCCAGGGCGCGCCGATGATGACCTCGTCGACGTAGCGGCACGAGAGGACGCAGAGGGCGCGCTCGTTGAGGTTCATGATCGGGTAGTTGGAGCCCCGGCTGCGGTTGATGTCCTGGTCGCTGTGCACGCCCACCATGAGGTAGTCGCACATGGCACGCGCCTGCTTGAGGGCCTCGACGTGGCCGGCGTGGAACAGGTCCCACCCGCCGTCGATGTAGCCCACGCGGTCCCCCTCCTTGGGCGACCTCCCGTTGGAGAACAGATAGAGGATGCGCGACGAAAACGCCACCGGCTTGGGCCTCGGCAGCTGGTCCGGCAGCGACTCTGCCGCCTCCGCCGGGCTTCTGTTGAAGTGGTTCTTGGTGAGCAGCAGCATGCGGCCCACCAGATCCGTCGTCGACACCCCCGTCGTGCGCTTAATCAATCTGCGCGAGAACCACAGTACCCCCCCCCAAAAAAGAGGTGGAGCACGAAGAAGAAAGAAGAAGAAGGAGAGGAGGAGGAAAAGAGGAGCGGCCATGGATGGAAATCGAGAGAGAGCGAGAGAGCGAGCGAGAGTGTGTGTGTGTGCGTGCGTGCGTGCGTGCGTGTGTACATACTTAGTAGTGGGCACCGGACACAAGCCAGGGAATGCGCGAGGGACGTACTTGAAGCGCCCGGCCTTCTTCACCTCCTCGTAGGAGTCCGTGCCGTCGCTGTTGACCGAGATGTCCTCCCCGTGCACCGCGAAATCGATGTTGAACTTGTCCAGCGTGGCCAGCGTCGTCTGGTAGGGCGCGTCGAGCGTCACCTCGTCCACCCACTTGCACGCCTTCACCACCGCCAACCTGACACGCGCCACACAACGACCAAGGACACGCACACGCACCAATTTGGCACCCGTAAGCCTGACTGATTGTGTCCTCCTCGGGCCGGGGCAGCGGCACTCCTCCACCACCAGTGACTCAGCACCTTCTCTCTCTCGCCTGCCCGCACCGCTCCCGGCCCGCTGCAATATTTCTATATATATATATATATATCATGAAGAAGGTGGCATGTGTTTGTACCGCTCGTCCTGGTTCATCACGGGCGGACCCTTGTTGCGAATGATCTCCTCATCGGGATGTATGCCCACCACCAGAACATCGCCCATCTGCTTGGCCTGTACGTGCATGGAGCGGTACGTTGAGGGTCACACATCTCGGGGGGGGGGCAAAGAAGAAAAACAAATAAAAGGTCTTGCGCTCTAACGGGCACAATGGGAGGGGGTGCCATCTCGATAAGATTTTGTTTACATAAAGAGAGAGATGGTGTCGGGGGGGGGGTACCTGCCGCAGAGCGTTGGCGTGCCCAAAGTGGAACATGTCGGCGCACATGTCGATCCATACACGCACGGGCTTCTTGCCCGCCTGTTGTTCGCCTTCTCCTTCGTGCTTGCCCTCCATTACGTTCGTACCGTAGTAGTAGCGGTCTCTCTCTCCTCTCTTTCGGCCAAGTGCGGTGTTGTGTTTGTGACAGATCTTCTTTCGCCCGTGGTGCGGCACTTCAACCCCCCCCACAGGCGGAGGAACAGTCGGCGAAACTTCGAGCGAGAACCCCACCGCCGCGTGTGACACCGCTAACCCCCCCCCTGCAACAACGTCGACGTTGCACCACCGGGACACACTCCACCGGTGCCCCACGTCCTCCCCTCTACCCCCCCCCCACAAGTGGTGGTGGGTGGTGTTTGCATTGCCCTAAAATCAAACTGTTGTTGTTGTTGTTTTTTTTTCTTTGCGCAAATCAAACGCCGTCCTGCTGGGCGGCGCCCACGGAGCGGAAGAGGGAGTGGTGTCCCTCGTAGGGGGAGGAGGGAGGTACGCGCGAGACGGGGGTGCGTCCGATGGGGGACCCCATGCGCACGAGCGTCTCCACGGGCTTGGCGCTGTGCGTGAGCAGGTCCTCCTCCCACTTGATACGGCCCCTCTCGAACAGCAGCACGATCGTGCTCCCACCAAACGCAAAGTACCCGTGCTCGTCGCCCCTGCTCTCCCCCCGCCCCACGTCCACGTCCACGTCCACGCCCACGTCCAGGTCCACGTCCACGCCCACGCCCACGCCCACACCGACCCGACCCGACACCGACCCGACCCGACATCGTACACGCGACACCCCATCAGCAGCAGCAGCAGCAGCAGCAGCAGCAGATGTTGAAGTAGTGCTTCGAAGACCGACCCCCCCGGTAGTTCGGTCTTCGAAGCAAGAAGAAGAAATAAGAGTGGGGTGGGGGTTGGGGTTTGACGGTACCGTTTCACGTGGTCGCCCTCCCGGGTGGTCAGCACGATGGAGCCCACGATCGTCGCGCCTATGGTCACGTACATCACCGGACCTTCGCGCCATCCACGCCACGCCCACGCCCACGCCCACGCCGGAACTCAGAGACGGTGACGCGGGTGGGGTGGGGGGGGGTTCCGGGTATGGGGAGGTGGCGAGGGGAGCGGGGGGACGTGTGGTGCGCACATACCGAATTGTGGGCTGAAGATCTGGGTGAGGACGCGCTTGTTCTCGCCGTAGACGTTGATGGAGTTGTTGATGGCCACCGGATTCTACCACAACGGGACCGCGTGAGCGGCCAAGCCCAATACAATGCACCGCAGTGGTGGCCGGTGGCGGGCCGGCGCTACGAATGCAGAGTGATTGCATTGTGTGTGGTGTGTGTGTGTGTGTGTGTGTTGTGTGTGTGTCATCGTCGTCGTGTGGTGCGTACCACGGTGTAGTAGGCGCCCTCGATGGTCACCGAGGGTCCCATCACGCCTGCAGCCCCACCGCCAGCCAGCCCGCCCAGTAGCGAGCAAGGGTCGAGGGCGCGCCCATCCTCCTCGTTAGACACTCGAGCGAGATCGGATCGGATCGGATGAAAGGAGGGGGAGGGGGGGGGTCGCGCAGGGGGCGTGGGCGCACCATCGACGGGGATGTGGTATCGGTGGTAGTCCTGGGGCGCGAGGCGGAAGATGCCCACGGAGCAGCCCTTGTACTGCTCCACCAGCGCGGGATCGCACAGGAGAGTCTCCAGGTTGAAGTTTCGTCTGAACACGCAAAGAGAGAGCGAGGAAATTGGGGGAGAGGGTTGGAGGAGGGGAACGTGTAGCGACGAGTGAGCGAGCTTTGTTGCTGACATCCCTTCACCTACCGGCGGAGGTGATTGGCCGGCTGTTAAATAATTGGGAGGGGGGAGTCACGCGCACCCTTTGATCCACAATTCGGTGGCCGTGGAGATGGAGGGGAATACTATACAACGGCAATCCGCAGGCGACACCGCAATTTTCTGCTCGAGTGCGCCGACGAAGAACGGGAGTTAGCCCGCACCGCACGGTGCCCAGGAGCAGGGTTGTGTGTGTGTTGTCGAGTGTCGAGTGTACCGGATCGTTGGGATAGGCAAGTGGCCGCACGGAGGGTTTGAGCTTTCGGTAGAAGAATTGATTGAAATTCTCGAAGCTCTCCACGTCCTCCAAAAACTCATCCGGGTTGAGGCCGTGGAACTGCAGTGATAGCGACGATGCCGGGAAAGGAGAGTGCGTGGTTTGAGGCACATACGACGAACACTACTTCAACATCTGCTGCTGCTGCTGCTGCTGCTAACGAATACCAACATACGAAAAGAAGACTGCTGCGGTGACGTGGTGCGCCGTACCTCGATAAAAGGCCTGATCTCCTTCCTACTCGCTGGCGAATCCGATCGCTTGCCGCCACTCACCGTCATGTGCTGAAGAATGCGGCGCGCTTTCTTCGATCCCACGGCTGTGCAGCGGAAGAAAACGAAATGGGTCGCGGACCACCAGCCACCACCAGCCACCACCAGCCACCAGCCACCACCAGCCGCCACCACACACAACATAAACGATCCGTGCTACTGCTCAAGGGCAAGAGAGACCCATTCGGTGCAGGTGCGCGCGCGTGGGTGGGGCGGAGCTTGCGGCCGTGTGGCGCGTGTGCGTGTGGAGAGGGACTGGGGGGGGGGTCGTACCTTTGGCCGCGCGGGTGTTGTACATGAGTTTGAGGCTTGTTCTGATGTAGGTGGGGATCTTTTCCTCGATGAGGTGGCCCGTCTGGCGGGCGGACACACGAGCGCCCGGGATAGGAAGAGAAGAGAAGAGAAGAGACCCAAAGTGATTCAGCTCAGCTGCGCTGAACGCCAGTTGGGAGGGGGAGGAGGGGGGGGGTATGGGCATACGTCGCGATCGACGACGAGGAGGGTCTTCTTCTCGCCGGAGAAGGGAATGTAGTTGGTGATGCCCTTGATGGCACCGAACGGGGACAGCATGCCAACCATGACTGGAGTTCACCCATCGCCACACCGACGCGTCATTCATGATGGCCGTCGTGTGTGAGGCTGTGCGTGTTGTGTGTGTCGTGTGACGTGTGGTGAGGAAGAGTACTGGAGTCGCGGAAGCGCGAGGAGTTGCGATGGTAGCATGTCGCCAAATGGAAAATGAAGTCGCCGTGGCCCGACAGGTCTGTGCCGCACGCAGGGCACCTGGTCACCGCCGCCAGACTGTTGTCTGCACGCACACGCACACGCACACGCACACGCACACGCACACGCATGCAACGGTCAGTACCTCCCCCTCCCGGGGGAGGGGGAGGGGGATAAAGGCGGGGGCGTGGTCGTGAGGGTACGCACCCTTCTGTTCCATGTAGAGGGCGATTTCCTCGGGCGACAGAATGCCATCGCAATCGCGATCGATCATCTCGAACTGGAACGGGGGGGGATACATGGAGGGGGAGGCGTGCTCAGCAATTTCCCGGCGTAATGCATATTTTTGGATATTTATATATATACATCCAAATATGTTGGAGAGAGGAGAGAGGAGAGAGGAGAGAGGAGAGAGGAGAGAGGAGAGAGGAGAGAGGAGAGAGATACATGAGGTAGGTGGGGGGGGTGCGTGGGCAGAGAGTGGGGAGGGGTACCAGTTTGTCGATCTCGTCGTCGGTGAGGTTGGACATGCCGAGGGCATCAAGGAGGGTGACCACCTCCAATCGGTTGATGTGTCCATCGCCGTCCACGTCGAAGAGCTTGGCGCACTCTCGCCAGAAGCTCAGGATCAGCGCTGCGATCGACGGACAAGCGGGGGAACGCTCCATTTAAGATATATACATACAAGTCCATGGAGGCATATAAGACACAAGACACAACAACGCTACTAACAACACTAATGCTACCAACAATAGTCATGCTCCTAATAAAAATGATGATGATGATGATGATGATGATGATGAAGCGTAAAGGTCCTCCCCATGGTGGAGAACGCACCTTGTCTCCCGATGAACTGTGTCTGGATGCGCAACTTGCAGTACTTGAGGTTCTCCAGGCGGAAACCCTCTGACTTGGACGGGTCGATGTTGAGCCACTTGTCGTGCCGGGGCACGCCCCTGATGGTGTACCCTGCATTCCCCCCAAAAACCACCACCAGCGACAAAGACCGAGCGCGTCAGTGGCCCTGTGTGCTGTGTCGTGTCGTGTCGTGTCGTGTCGTGTCGTGTTGTGTCGTGTGTGGAGGGGCTGTGGCGCGTGCCTAGCTTGTGGCTCAGATATTTCTGGGCGGGACTCTTAGCCTTGCCGATGAGCAGGCCCTTGGCGGCGGCGAGCTTGGCGGGTTCACCGCCGCTGCCCCCCCTCTCGAGTCGGCTGTCGTAGACTGTGAACACCAGCTCGCTCTGCAAGTCCGAGTACCTGAAAGGCCTGCACCTCCCCCCACCCACCGGCCCACCCGCCCCCCACACGAACAGCCCATTTACACGACACACGACACACACGACACACACGACACACGGCAGGTGCCATGACGTGGTGAGAGGTGCAGCACAGCCAAGTCCGGCTTGTGGTGGTGCTTGTTAATGGTGTGGTGCGTGGGTAACGTACACGGTGAACTTCTCCTTCCAAGTCGGGGTGACAGTCTTGATGGCGGGCCTGGTGGACCACGCGGGATACTCGCTGCCGTGCGCCAACTCGAGCGTGCAGTACGGCGAGGGCTTGCCTGGGTTCGTGAATGCAAGTCGGTGGGGAGCGGGGCGGGGCGGTGAGAAGGAGAACCCGGGGGGGGAGGCAAAGCAGGTTGGGAGTGAAGAGCGGAGAAGGGGAAAAAAGAAAGAAAGAAAGGGGATTTGGGGGTTGGTGCAATCCCACACGCACCGTTGAGGCCGCGAGGCAGCTCCTTGGCCTGCACGATGGTGACGTTGAGGATGCCACAAAAGTCGCGGCCCTCCCGCTCCCTTTCCTCCACCTCCCGCTTGTTCTTCTCCGCCTCCGGCACCCCTGCAGCCAACAACCCAGACCCCGCCCGCCCGGGGTCAGCCATCACTCCGCAGCTTTCTCCAATCCACCCCATGACACACACACACACACACACAGTGGTGGGAGAGGGGTAAGAAGCGGCACCAGAAGAGAGGAGGCTGAAGAAGGCCATAGTGCTGTTGAGGTCGCTGCCGGCCGCAACAGCGAAACGGTCCTCGTCGGCCTTGGCCTCGCGTTCGAACAGTTCGTTGCCGACGTCGGCGTCGTTACTGTTGTTGTTGTTGGCGACAGGCTCGTCCTCGTCGTCGGCCGCCGGCTCGTCTTCACCCGCCGGCTCGTCCTCGGCGTCGTCGTCGTCGGCCTCGTGGAGCTCGTCGTAGCGGCGGCGGCGTGTGGAGCCGCGCCTGTTGCGCTTCTGCGAGTCGTAGGCCTGCTTGCTCTCGGCCTCGTCGCTGCTGTGGCCGCCGAGCAGGAGCAGCCGGTCGCCCGATCGCCTGATCCGGGAGGCGGCGGCGGGCGATTCGGCGGGGCTCCACGTGGCGCTCTTGTCCTCGGTGGTGGTCGACGCGGACTCCTCGTAGTCGTAGTCGTTGTCGTTGGGAGTGTCCTCCTTGAGCATGAGCGTCGTCAGGTCCAGCAACGACGAGTGCCGCCCGGTGGCCCCGTTCCAGTGGTTCAGCAACACCCGCATCGCCCGATTTCGGTTCTTGAACGACCAGAAGACCAACTGCACGGCACGCACAACGCACAACGTCATCAGCGGCATGCCGTGACCGCCGCCGCCGCCGCCGCCGCCGCCAGTGCACCCG